TAGTTAATCTGAAATAAAACGATACACGACCACAACAACACCGACACAATGCTCACCACCTTGGTACCCCACCACACGTGCTGCACAATAAACGGACACAAAGAAAACTCGTACTGCCACTCCTGGGTGCTCTCGTCGAAGCGACCGGTCATCAAGCCAGTATTGCCGCCGAAATCTCCCATCATCGCCCTAACAGTGATCTCGTGCACGCTCTGACCACCAAGTTTCTCCTTGCTGGCCTCCCAGGTGCCATTGTCCAACTTGTTGAACCAATTCTCGCACCCCTCGTGGTCATGACCCGTGAGGATGATACCCGGCTTCCCGTTATCAAAGATCGTATTGAGCACCTTCTGTGACTCCTCAAACCCGATAAAGTTCTGCGATCTCAATAACGACTGCTTGTACGGTTCGCGCTCGTAGTCATGCGGATAGTTTACATGCTTCGGGCCGTCCACACACAAGCCTTCGCGCTTGTGGAATGGAATGTGGGTAAGGAGCACCGTGGACCCATTGAACTTCTGTTCGCCTAACTGGCGCAAAAACTCCCACGTGTACGTGCGGAACTCCTCCTGTAATGCCGGGCCTTCCAAGAGCAAGTCGTTCAACACCACGATTCGCCAAGGGTGGTCGGTCTCACGGTCGTACTCGATCCAGTAGTTGTCTTTGCCGAACAACTTGACGTATCTCGCCATGTGTTGCCATGTGGCATCACCGGCATAACCGATATCATGGTTTCCGGTCAAGTTTATGAAAAGCGGCTCGCCGTTGAACGCCTTGAGCTCCGGTACTGTCCACTGGTAGATGTCTTCGTAGCCAAACTCCAACTCAGCAAGTGGAATGGCTACCTTCTCATCCAAGTATGTTCTCCAATCCACATCATGATGCTGGTCGATCCAGTGCTGAATATCGGTCACGTACTCCGCTGGCTGCGGAAACAAGCGCGAGATATACCGCCTCGTGCGGTTGTAGAACTCGGTGTCGCCGATCCATTGGGAAGAGAAGAGGTCACCCAAAACTGCCACATGGGTAGGGGTCAACCTGGCCTTCATGACACGATAAATATGGCCCAAATAATGGTCATTGCCGTAGGTGTCCAAGCGCTTGATGTAAGGGGTCTGGGGCCATACCCCGCCGATTTGAGGGTCCCCAAACGCCATCATCTTGATTTCAGGCACCCGTTTCGGCGCTGAAGCCACCTCAGATGCCACGTACTGTCTGTACAAGTCCCCGAGGTACGGAATCTCCGCGATTTTGCTGCCCAAGCCGTCGCCTGCGAGCTCCGGCTCAAACGCCCACAGGCACTGCTGCGCGTGGAGCGACGGATATGTGTAGATGTAAATGTTCAAAGCCACACTAGTAAGTGCAAGATACTTTGCAAATGTTCTCAAGGCACCCATTGTGTGTAATTTTAATGTGATGGAAGTGATAGAAGACGGTGCTATCGTGGCCGTTTTAGGCGGTGTCTGTGACCCTCCTGTATAGAGATGCGGTTCGAGTCACATGATGGCCCCAGGCCATGTCGTGGAGCATCAGGTATAATTAATAAAATAGGCCGAGCTAAGAGGACTGGAAAAAATGGAGAGGATATGAAGAACAAAGAGAATTAAGGCCGGGTAAAAATGGCAAGAAGATGCTAATTGCGAAGATATGCTACATCGCAAAGTGGCTTAAATCTAGAGCTTACAGGAACAAAATTGTGAGAGTCTTCATGCCATTCCCAGTATTGTATTCAAATTACTGTATAATGCCAGGATCCATGTCTTGATAAACCTATATATTAGGAGTTAATTTATGGAATAAGCATTACACAATACTGGTAATGCTCGTAATTATACCTATCATGTTATTGACGGTGTTGCTCATATCCTTGAGGATCAGGACGACCGAGCCTTCTCAGAAAACACCTTCATCTGCATAATACCTTCATCTTAATAATACCCCCACCCGATATCGATATCTATTTTGTAGCGCATATCCACCGAATATGTTTCAATTTTCACAATCCATCAAAACTACTGGCTCTTCCAATCACGTGATCTCATGTTTTTTTCTTGCTCGCCACCAGATAAGGCAACATCAACACAGCACGGACGGCACCCGCTCTTACGTTATCCACACAATGTCCATTCCCTACATCAAAGACACCAAGGAATTCGATTCCTACCTCTCTGCCAACAACGCATTGGTCGTTTACTTCACCGCCGTATGGTGTGGGCCGTGCCAAGCCATTAAGCCGGTGATTGAAGGGCATTACGAGCAGTACCCGAACGTTCAGATTGCCAAGGTGGACATTGACCAGAACAAAGAAGTGCCAGCGCGGTTCCAGGTCTCGTCTGTGCCGTCATTCCTCTTTTTTTCCAAGGGGAAGCTCACAGAAACCGTCAGAGGTGCCAATCCCCACGGAATCAAGACCGCCTTGGACAAGCTCTCCGCCTTGCATCCTTCCGCCAAAAGAAGCGTGGCCAGTGCCGCTGCTCCTGTAGCACCAGCTATTACCAGTTTCGTTCCTAAAGGCTTTGAGGTGTTGAATGACTTCATCTGGTTTGCCGACTTCCAGGCGTTAAACTCTGTTCCGCTATACAAGGGCGATGGTGATTACATTAAGAAAGTGTTCAAGACGAACGAACCAAAGTCTAGTTTGATATCAGATGCCGATTCTCAGCTTTTGTTCCACGTGCCGTTCTCCAATATCTCCAAGATCTACTCGATTTTGATCAAGGTGAAGCCGCTAGCAGAGATGAACCTTGAGACCGCGGATGTTGGTGATATCGCGGATTTGCAGCGTCCTTCCACTATCAAAGTCTGGGCCAACAGCCCTATGATGTCGTTTGAGGATGCCTCTGCTGATGCCGTCACCCCATTACACGTGGAGGATATTTCCTCGGATAACGAGTGGTACGAGGTTAAATTGAAGTACGTCAAGTTCCAGAAGGTGCAGAGCTTGGGGATCTTTATCGAGGGTGAGGATGAGGACTTGCACACCGTTGTGGAAAAGATTGTGTTTGTGGGAGTCAATGGTGAGAGCAAGGACCAGGGGAAGATCCAAAAGATCGAGGAACATGATCATTAGCAATTTGGTTCAACAAAGCTGGGTCAAACAGTAAGCCATGTTAGCTTCCATAGGTTAATAGTATACATTGGAATGGTGCGTAAACAGAGAAATGTAAGTTGAGCGTTGGCCCGGCCAGGATCCAGCGATAAATCTCGTGCTAAGGCGTACGTTAAGGTGATGCTGAGCTATAGTACGCTTACGTCGATCATATGGTTTTGGCCAGGAGGGGGTTGGTGGCAGGTAAAGAAAAGGTTAGTCGCGGTCATCTACAACGGATATCTCTATAGAGAGCTCATTCTTACAAAGTTTAGCGCATGGGTTTCAGAATATAACTACAGGCCACTAAATACCAGTCACCCTGTGGTGTATTGCATTATCTTCTGGCCCCCAAGGTGCGTTTGAAGCCATCAAAACGTTTAAGCCCCTCACACGACGCCGACCTTGGCACGAGACAGATACCCACCCGCTTAACTGGCACTTGTAACCTTCGAATGCCGAATATCCCTGAATGAGAAACACAAGCTTTTCTTCGTTAACCAGCATGGCGTGATTGCCCTCGGTGCTATCTTAAGCAATCGTATCCACAGGGTACGAGCGTCTACGATGGACACGGTCCGGGTTAAAATAAAAGGGGTTTACCTATATGAATATAACGTAAAAAAGAGTGCATAAAAGACTCAGGGGGTTTAAGCGAACAAGTCACCGATGTTGGCTGGCATCTCTTCGATTTGAGTGGAGTAGAACTTCTCAATCTCTCTCATCATGCCAACATCCTGGTCGGTGACGAAGTTGATGGCAACACCCTTACGACCGAAACGACCACCTCTACCGATTCTGTGGATGTAGTTTTCCTTGTTGGATGGCAAGTCGTAGTTGATAACCAAGGAAACCTGCTGAACATCGATACCTCTGGCCAACAAGTCAGTGGCGATCAAAATTCTGGAGGAACCGGTTCTGAACTCTTCCATGATCTTGTCTCTCTCAGACTGGGACAACTCAGAGTGGATGGCGGAGACGGTGAAGTTGGAGGAGGTCAACTGCTCAGTCAAGTACTCAACCTTTCTCTTGGTGTTACAGAAAATAACAGCCTGGGTGACGGAAATGGAGTCGTACAAGTCACACAAACAGTCAAACTTGAACTGCTCTTCTTCAACGTTGATGAAGTACTGCTTGATACCTTCCAAGGTCAATTCGTCCTTCTTGACCAAGATTCTGACTGGGTTTCTCATGAACTTGGTGGTGACTTCCAAGACGTTTTGTGGCATGGTGGCAGACAAAAGAACGACCTGGGTGGTTTCTGGCAACAAACGGAAAATGTTGTAGATCTGCTCGGTGAAACCGGTGGACAACATCTCATCGGCTTCGTCCAAGATGAACATCTTGATCTTGTCAGTTCTGAAGAAACGACGGTCAATCATATCGTAGACACGACCTGGAGTACCAACAACGACCTGGACACCAGACTTGAAGGCCTCGATATCGTCCTTCATGGCGGTACCACCGATACAAGCATGGACGGTAACACCCAAGTGCAAACCAATGGCCAATACAACCTTCTGGATCTGCAAGGCCAATTCTCTGGTTGGAGCCAAGATCAAAGCCTGGGTGGCCTTTTCCTTCTCGTCAATGTTCTGCAAGCAAGAAATGGTGAAGGTAGCAGTCTTACCGGTACCAGACTGGGCCTGGGCCAAGACATCGCGGCCTTCGGTGACTGGCAAGATAGCACGCTGCTGAATGGCAGATGGGGTTTCGTAACCATAACCAAAGATACCTGAGACGTTAGTACGTGCTGGGGGGGAAGGCACCGCGACCTGATCTGGAGGCAAATTGGTCGCAAAACAGTTGACAACCCAGGGGCAAATTAGCCGCGGGTCTGTAGCTAATCAGCAATCACAAAAGATTTAACGGTGCTCACTCATAAGGGACAGTTATACATACCTCTCAAAATTTCAGGCTTCAAGTTCAAGTCATCGAAAGAGTAGACGACGTTGTCGTAGTTGGTTTCGATCAAGTTAGAGTCGATTTCAGTAATACCTTCAGACATGTTGGAAATATTTATACCGTCTTAAAAATAGAGTATACGCTTAGGGGGGGCAGCTCTATTGAAACTTTTTTTTACAGGTACGCTGCCTTAGAAAAAGTTTGGAGTTGCGACATCTTGGGCCAGCGGCAAACAGGAATGGCCTGAAAATTTCTTCTCAGCCGGGTAACTGTTACGCGCACGACCCAGCGGACTGTCACTGGCCGTCCAACATATACAGGGAAAATATTCCAAGCAAAAATATGATTGATTGGAGACGCTTACTTGGATCAAATATCTATTGGGTCACAGCTTCAAAATTGATTGGAGCTTCTATTATAAATATAAATCGTGTGTGTAACAACGGCTAGAAGCCTGATATGCAGCATGCAGGCCCGATAAACATGCACGGGACGGAGATGCTACAAGTCATTTTCATCGTCCTGAACCGTGGAAAGGGCACTGAGTCTTTCGGTGGTCACCAAGAACTCGTCGGCATTCACGTCTGCGGTCAATTCCTCCGATGCCTCGGGCTCAAGTTGTGCCAATTCCTGTTGGGCGTTCTCCTCCATTTCCTGTTCTACCTGCTGGGCTCGCAAAAGCTTCAACAACTTTTCGCCAAACTCGTACTCAGGTTCAGACGTGGCAAACACTCGTTCCACAGCAGTGGCTGGCCTGCGTTCCCACGGGAAAAGCGGCTTTGGCCTGTCCACGGCTGGTTCTGGAGTCTTCTCCCTTACCTGCAGGACCACCACGGGCTCTTTTGGGGCCGTCGCTTTATCTTGAACCTCAAGCTCTGAGGTGTTGACGTATTCAGTTTCGCCCCATGATCTCTCGGCCGTGTAATCGGAGTGGCCACCGAACCAAGGCTGGTGGTCGGGTTGAGACTCCTGTACCGCTGGCGGTTCAACATAGAGCTCGGAATAGGGTTCCTCGTCCCAGGAGTTTCCATACGTGTCAAAGTTGAAGGTCTGCGTCACGGCTGGCTCGGTTCTTGGGGGTTCCTCCGTCGCAGGATTCCAGATGTCTGAGGGCTCAATGGTCTGGAAGTTCTTGAACGCCTCAGGGTCGCAGAGCGTAGCAGGGTCGAAGGAAGACACAGGTTCGGTCTCCACAGGTGGTTCATCAACTTGCAGGTGAGGGTCGTTTTCTTCCCCTTGGCCTTCCTCGAAGGAAAAGTCGCGGCCTACGAACTCAGCCACACGAGCCCTGCTCAACTCCCTGAGCGTCTCGTACTTCCACGCAAGTTGCATTCTCTCCGCGAAACTCAAGCCCTTCTCCCAGAAACACAACTGGTACACGTCTCTCAACGGCTGTCTGGAGGAATCGTGTCCCGCACCATGCATAACGTGCAACTCAGCCAAAGAACCCTCGTAGTAAGTGTAGAAGGAGTCCCACCACAATTTGTGCAAGTGCAAAAGCGCGTTCCCGTCTGAGGTCTCGTAAACGTTGCCAACGTGCCATGGCTTGTCAGGACCAATGAAATGTACCAATCTGACCTGGTGCTGGAAGAACTCGAAGGCTGGTAAGTATTGGTAGTGCGCAGACGGTGTTGTGTTGTACAAAAACGGCAATCTGATCCATTTGTTTGCAGAAAACGGCTTACGAGAGATTTCCGTCGCTGACAATGAATCTGGGAGTGGAATCACCGCCTGGTTGTACTCCGTGTTGAAGTACTGGTTCAACAAACCTTGATCGGCACCGTCGAAAGAGACGGATGCGTCCTGGCTATGCGCTAAGCGCAACAAATTTCCATAATCCTGGGTGTTTGGCCGTAACATGAACACCCCGGAGTTGAAAATGTCCGGCCAGCCACTATCTGGGGCCGCTGCAATGTGGCCCTCTGGAATATCCAAGTTAAACAAGTCCAAAACAGAGTCCTGAGTAATGAGTGGTAAGGTATCCGCATCTAAGTAAAGAACCAGCTCAAACTGAGTCAAGCCCCATAGATGAACCTTGGTGTAAGTTTCAGCCAAGTCCGCGCGGTCCATCAACTCAAGGTTGGCAGAAAGCGACGAGCGCAACGATTCCACTGGGATGATTTCATCGTAGAGTTCCTAGACGTTAGTATGCGTAAAGATTAGCCGGCTGGCGATACATACATGAAGTAAACTGAATTGGTATTCGGAGAAGTTGTCCTTGTTGGCCATGACCACCAACTTAACCAGCCGCTCAGTGTGGTTAAGAAGTGTTTTCAAGTTGACTCCAAGAGCCAACGCTCCCGGTAAGTAGCTGTCGTTGAATAACAAAGTTACAATCGCCCGAGTCATTGTGTAGGTCAGCGGCAAGGGTCTCTATCGGAGGTGTAGGAAATACTGGGAAAACGACCAAGAGTTCTGCTTTTTTTAAGTTCAAAAGTAAAACGTAAAGGTATACAGTAATCCAGGGGGAGTTTTGTCGTGCTTATTTCCCAGTAAGTTTCGTTCCGACCACAAGGCTCGGAGTGTGACCCCCCCTTTCCCAACAACAATAAGGGGGGATCTCGGGGAAAATCGAGGAGCTGATGCGGCCGATGCACGGCTCAATGCAGGAAATATGCAATGTTGTGTTAGCCGATAATCCCTTTCCGGAAAGCGATAAAATTCCGTAGCGAAGCCCAATAAACATATTAATCAACAAATGGGCTTGGGCAAATTTTGATGTTAGCCAACATTTAGAGGCTGACAGTAGAGATATCAGCACCACTGTACAACCTTTCAAAGCTTAAGTACTAGTCATGCGGGGGAGGTGGCTAAACTAATCCCATATTAGACCATAGTGACAATGGCACCAAACGCTACGCAATGCCGAACTGACACCTTAAAGAAAACCCGGAGAAAGTTTACCACAGTTAACCTTTAGTGGCCAGCGAAAAAAAAAACTACAAAGGTTTCGGGAGGGTAAACATATATTAAACACATAGAAGAAACACTTCTTTCCCTTTAACTCAGAAACGAATTTTGTAAATTATAAAACTTAGAAGTAGTCATAGTTGGAACACCAAAATTTCAGAGAAAAGTAGCCAGAAAAGATCCAAGCGTAAGCTTCTTAACGGGAGTAAGACCAGACGTTCTTCAACAAACCGTCGTTCTGGGCCAATCTGTTCAAGGAGTCATCGGCTTCACCGCGACCTCTGATGTAACCGCACAAAGCGTAGGTGACGTTAGAGTTTGGAATAGCCTTACCTTCAGCATCGACGTTGGCAACGTTGATCTGAACGGAAGAGTGGTCCTTGGCCTTGATGATTCTGTTGGTAGCAGAACACTTACGTGGGACGTAGAGTTCGACCTATAGAGTGTTAGTAACGTTTTTTTTTTCGTGAAGATACGCGTGTAATCCATTATTGATGAAGGCGAGACATGGCTTGAGCTAGAAGAGACGATGAGCTATACTGATTACTGACTTGCAGAGAACCCTGCCAATACAGCCCCCTAGAACTTGCATTTCCAAGCATGTCAAAGTCACGGTACTCTGATCCGCCATAATCAGGGTTATGCGGAACAGGAAGCTTTGTTGCAAGCCCATATCGGCAGGTGAAAAATTTCTGCATTGCTGATTCTAACGTTTTCACGTCGAAATAGCTCAGTAACTGAGATTTGCCCTGAGGTCTGCTCTGGGGATATTCGATTGGTTCTCATTCATAACCCCTATCTCTATCCGATTCTCTGTCACTCGTAGCCTCTCCGTTCAACAGGGGATTTGTCATTTTGCAATGGGCGCATTTCTGGTGTGAGTCCACTTACGAGTTGGCCCTTATCGTTTTCCATATTGATTGATTAATGAGATGTGTATTAAGACTTTCAAAAGAGGAAACTTTTTTCTCTAAAAAGCAAGTGCTGATATATTCGTCACTTTTTTCACTATTACTGTGAGCATACACAGTATGGGTTACGGCCTACGTAGGCAGCGAAAGAGGTTGCCCCCTCAGTGCTGAGGCCGCGACCACCTCCCACAGTGAAAATTTTGGTAGACGTGCCGAGTGAAAATTCCATCCGCAGAATCTGGTCGTCGCACACCTACAACCAAATCCGACCCTTAATTCGCGCCCTTACAAATCTGCCTCAGAGACATAGGGAATGAAAATATCTGTCGTATGATTATATACAGGATATAGGGCTCGATTGAAATTTTGGCTCGAAAAATTTGTATCCATCCGGAAACGGAAGGTGAGTCTGTGACTGGCTTTTTGAAGCCCAAAACCGTGCTCTCCCCGCAGGATGACTGCGATGACATCACGAAGCATGGTGGGGGTTACTATTTCGCTTTATAGAATCACTCCGATTTTAATAATTTAGGTATAATTCAGATACATGGCGGTCATACGTGAAGTTGTGTATGGGACTCACTAGAGGTTGAATAAATAGTAGGCTATTACAGCTATAGTACAGGTGGTTGCCCACTGAGGCTTATTTCAAACTGAGAACGGCAATGGTCTCAACGTGGTGGGTCTGTGGGAAGAAGTCGAAACCCTTTATGCTTTCCACCTTGTAGAGCTTACCGGCTTCGGTCTTGGTCAAGAAATACTCGACGTCCCTGGCCTGGGAGTGCACGTTACAGGAGATGTAGACGATTCGGGCTGGGTTGAACTCGGCCAACTGGTTCAAGAAAACGTCGTCACAGCCCTTTCTAGGGGGGTCCAAAATGACCGAGGTTCTCTCCTTAGGTAACTCGCTGAGATCGCCGAAAATCTTCTCGGCCTTACCATGGATGAACTTGGCGTTGAGGATGTTGTTCTTGGCCGCGTTTCTTTCGGCGAATCTAACACTGTCCGCGGAAATTTCCACCCCAAAGACCTTGGAAACTCCATCGGAACAGCTGATACTGAACAAACCGGAGCCACAGTAGGCATCAACCAAGAAGTTTTCCTTTGGCTCATCGTCGATCTTCAAGTTTTGCTTGACGTAGGAGGTGACAATTGGCAAAATGGCATTGTTGTTCTGGAAGAATTCACCGGCAGAGAACTCAAAAACGTTCCCACCAATATACTCCTGGACGATTTGCTTGGAGTCAGTGACACACGTCTTGACTAATATGGCCTTTTCATTGTTTTCAAATTCGACTTTGATCTTGGAAACCTCGCCATCGACGTCTCTGGAACCGTCGCCAACCTTCTCGTTAAGGTCAGTGGAATCACTCTCAATAAGGGTGGAATTTTCTCTTAATAAAATTGTGGCCGCTCTTTTATACTTGCGGAACTCCTGATCGTATCGGCGTCTCTCATTAGACATGCCCTTGTTAACGATGGCGGTACCAATAATGCACTCCTCGATGTCCACAACCGACTTCTCCCCACCAGCGGTTTCTCTCCACTTAGGTCTACCCTTAGAGCCGAACCCCAATGGGGGCTTTGGTAAATCGGCAGGGACCTTCTTAGGCAAGTTGAAATGTGGGGTTAACTTGGTTCTGTAGCCATACTGTAATGGCGATGGCTCTGTGGCCGAAATCTCAGGCAATTGCGCCTCGGCAACCAAAGATGGCGCAAAAAATTTGTAGGCATTGACAATGGTGGACTTTTTAAACTGCAACTGGGTATTGTAGTCCAAGTTTTGGTATTGGCAACCGGAACACTTACCGAAGTAGCGGCATCTGACGAGTTCATCCTTGCGCAAATCGTTGGCCTTGATGACCTTCACCAAATCAGACTCCACGTGGTGTGGGTGCGTCTTGAACACGTACACGTCGACAATATCGCCCGGGTAGGCAAATGGCACGAGGCAGACCTGGAAGTCCTCTGGTCTCTCTGGGTGTACGATAAACCCAAGACCGTCGCCGTTAGAGGTCAAGGATAAGATCTCAACGTTCTGGACCGGACGGTGGTAGATTTCCCGCTTGCCCTCGATGTTCAAAATCATCTTCATGTCATTGAAGATCTGCTCTCTGGTGAGCTTACGTTCCTCCAAGATCTCGTCAATCTCAAGCTTAAGCACACCCATTGGGGTGGACGGGTCGATAGCCTTAATCTTGTACTTGTATCTAGGCGTCTTTGGTTGTCTTGGGGTCTTTGGTTGTCTCTGCTGTCTAGGCTTCTTGTGGGCCGGGCTGGCAGTTTCTGGGGTAGTGGCCTCAGAACCAGACGCAGTGGTAGAGAGGGCTCTCTTGTTCTCGGCGCCTTGAATCACAGTGGCCACGGCTTCAACAATCGCGTTTTCTTGTTCCATCCTTGTGTAATGAGTAATATGGACTACCTAATGAAAGCGACGTAAGTTATTCAGGATGCAAAAATACACGCTAAATCAAAACACCAGAGAATCCCATGACTATCTGAAAAATTTATTTTTTCAAGGTTTCGCATCAGGGTGCGGCGGATGCGGCGGGATTAACGCTTTCTTTTCTTTTCCGGGTTAGCCTCTTTTGATAGGCTGTGTTTGATTTTTTTGGATACATACTTATCAAGCATCGAGTTCCATGCTCGTGCTTATATCAATGGCTCAATTCGCTGGGCGTCGTGGAGGACACCATTTTCGTTTCTACAGACAAATGAAGAAGAGCGAGAAGAGCAGATTCAAACGAATTAAATAGAGGAATGAAAGTAAACACCGGAGAAAAGCTAGAAAGTATAAGGAAGGAGACTGGGCTGAAAATAAGCTTCTTTGCAGTCTGCAGAAAGGGGTGACGTGATGCAAATCGAGACATATACAGAATACAGCCTCTTGTGATACTACAGATTGGTAGAGTGGGGAAGCCCCTCCTAAAGAATCGTACACTTGCGGCTTTTTCTCTTTGAAGTTGTTTGGATTTGGTCGCTGGCAATATAGTATTCACTGTTCTTGTGGTACTCTTGGGTAGGCTCCTCCATAGGATTGGTAGAGGTGTTTCTTCTGTGGCCCTTAGCAGTCCCGCCAGCCGAGCTGGCATCAAAGTTGCGACTCAATCGCTTAGACCATCTCTTGCTATTCTTGTCTGCACCAACTTCCAGCTTTTCAATGTTTTTCGTGACATAGTCCAACGCAAAGTTGAACACATTTCTGACGTTAGACATTGTCTTTGCCGAGCACTTAACAAACCCGATAGCGTTGACTTGCTGGGCAATGGACATAATCTGGTCGTTGGTGATAGAAGACTCCAAGTCAGACTTTGTCCCGACAAGTAGAACCGGTACCCCAGGACAAAAATGGTTTAGTTCCGGAACCCAAGCATCCTTGATGTTTTGCAAGGAGGTCTGGTTGGTCAATGAGAAACAGGCCAAAATGATGTCGACATCTGGATACGATAAAGGTCTTAAGCGGTCGTATTCTTCCTGGCCGGCGGTATCCCAAAGGGACAACGCAATGTGCTTTTGGCTGTCAGGAGCAAGCATCTGGGCCAGGTAGGTCTCAAAGATGGTTGGAACATAAATCTCCGGAAACTTGTTCTGTGTGTAGGAAACTAACAAACACGTCTTGCCGCAACCACCGTCACCCACCACCACAAGCTTGATATCGTGGTCTGCCTTCCTGGACGCTTTGTGAGCGGAGAAGGTGTAATCACTGACCTTGGGGGACAGGGACCCGCCGCTGTTAGGGGGGGAACTAGTAATAAGTTTGGATCTCAGAGTGGAATTGCTCGCTGCAGTGGGTGGCACAGAGCGATTTTCTGGGATCAAGTCTAGATCTTCCAGGGCGACGGAGGAAAACCCTGTCTGGTTAGACTGGGACCTTCTGTGTTTGGCCACAGTGTATGGATTGTAGTCATTCGGGATCGAGAGGGTGTTGGTATTCTCAAAAGTCTTGGAATGTCTGCTGGAAGGGGAAATCATTTGGTTTGAGCAGGGTAAACCTGTTAAGCAATGCAGGTAAAGGAGCGGATATCTAGAAAGATATTGAAGTTTCGGAGCAACTATCAAGCTTATTTCTTGAGGAGGGAAAAAGAAAATAGAAAGCAAGCTTACTTATAAATGAAGTCAAACCGAGAGTTGTGGGGCCTCAGGCTCGATTGCGGGTGTATCCGTAGAACGAGGCACTGTTAAAAATAGATCTCTGTGGAACGGCCTATTGTCGTGAAAGATCGGGGGAATCGCCATGCTCGGGGTTTAAACTCAGGTATCAGCACCTAGGGACCGAAAGGGAAATACGATCCCCACGTGACTAAGAATGTACGAATGAGGGCTTGCTTAACACTGAGTTCCTGCTATTAATAGATCGTTTAGACACGATGCATGTCAATCAGATGACGTAGGTAGATGAGAGACCCACGGGCATGAGCACCTCAGCTCCCTTGATCAATCGATTTCGCCATGATCGTGACGGGTGCTCAAAGGACTATAAAATATTATACAAAGTCATTCATGGTAATAAATATATTTGGGAGAATAAAATAACGGGGCCAGGTTATAAATAAACGTATAGATATATGTATATAGCACTCCGTTTACCGTTATATCAAATCGTTGAATATTTATGTTTTAAATCTGTTTCAGACACCCGCAAGAGGAGTGTATTGAAGAAATTTCCACAACACCGGCACAATTCTCTCTCACAGTCCCACGCTCAAAACATGATTTTTCTTTTCAAACGGTTATATTTCACATTAGTCTACTCATACCAAAAGTGTAAAAGCATGTTACATTGCATTATATGGTGTATAGGCAACCGCATTTTGAATTGACTATATGACTGAACACTTTGTAAGGATACGTACAAGAACATCCTTATGCGGACCAGACGAGTACGTCCGATCGGGATGGGTGAGAGCTTCTAACCGGACATGACAGAAACCAACGGCAATGCTGCAAATACCGGATTCGCACCGCCTTAGAAGCTCTCCAACTTGAACAAAATGCGTCTGTCGTCGTCATCCACGTTGACAGCCTTTTTGCCACTCTTGCCCCTCACGCCACTGACCAGCTTGGTAAACACGTCGCGGAAGTCCTGCCAATCATAATGTCTGACGGTGGTGGCACAGAACTTGGCCGCCTTCAAGCGCTCGATCTCGCGCGACACGTGTGTATTGTAGAACTCGGTAAATTTAGCTGGGAGTAGCCCTGTGCTCAACGTCGGGAACTTCTTGTTGAGCAAGGTCAGGTCAAGCATGTTTTCGCTGTAGATATTGTACAGAAGTGGCGAATTGACCAGGGTCGTCGCGTTGGCAAACCAGCCGGCCCAGGTCTTACTGTCCCCACTACCACCGGCGGTAGTGGCAGAAACAGGGTGATTTGGCTTGGTCACAGCGTCATATCCATACGCCACTGATATCAAGCCAGAGCCAGAGGCCTTAGGAGCCAACAACAGAGCAATACGGTCGAAGGAGATGATGGACGGGAGCGCGGCTGGGTTGGTCATATTGATGATGTAGTTGAACTTCATGCGGGACTGGTTCAAGTAGCCTTGTAACTCGTTGTACAACGACACCTTATCGTCGGTCTGCAGGTTGAAGGTGAAGGTCTTGACAAAGTGGGGGTTCGGAGCCGCGCCGTCCGGATTCACGCTAAGGGAACAGATTTCAGTAACGTGGTACAAGTCCTTCAAGTTAGACACCAAAATATCGGACAATGAGACTCCCTCAACAAGATCATCGCATTTGGTTTTAGCCTCGGTAGGCGAGTTGATAACTAAGAAGGACGTGGACGGCAAGAAGTTGTCGGCGTGGCGGGACAAGATCTGCAATGAGTAGCAGTAGTGCAAGGCCCACAAGCTGTAGTTGATAGCCAATTTGCGGTAGAGCTTCGTGTTCTTCAGTAACATAGACGTGGACAGCGCGCTTGGTAAGTTAGATGAGGACGAACCGGTCTCGCTGATGTCATCGTCCACCTCGAACAACGCGGCGGAGTCCAGAAGATACGTTTCCGCGATGGTGAAGATCGGGTCCTTCGCTGGATCCACGACCAAAAACGTGTTCAACGTACCCATCGCAGGATCCGCATCCAAGTGGTAGTACACACCACATACTTTGTCGCCGACGCGGAAGTCGGCATGGCGTGAGCCCTCAGCAACCTCACCGAAAAACATGCGCCCCAAGCTCTTTTTCGTGTACGACGCCGCGGTCAAGCTGTTGGACAAATTCAACGTGCTGTCCACGCTGTTGAGGTAATAGTTCAAGTCAATCTTGCTGCTGAAGAGGGTGTATTCGGTCTGCACCAACACACAGCCTTCCGCAATTGGTAACTGGATGTTGGCATAGTTGAAGTTCGGCACTGTATCCTTGTTCAAAAACAACAACTCCTTGGTTGGGAGGTCCCTGATGTGTCTTATCGGTGACATTGCCCGTCTCAACTGCTTAATCGGCTGGTCCGTCAAGGTCATCGGTCTAGGTGCCGGTACATCGTACGTTTTGATTTCGTTTCTCAAGCGTGGCGTCGGGTTGTAATCGCTCATGATGAGTTGTAAGCTAAGTATTTGGATAAAGATGCGTTAGATGGAAGCTAATTTACACGTGAAAGAGCCCCGTTGAGGGGGAAAAGCATTTATTTTGGCATTTATTTTGCGGCCGCGAATCGGCCCGAACCTTATGTGCCCGGCATATCCTGATTGGTGATAAACGAGCCGTGTTCGTGAATGTTATCCAGGACGGAACCAGTATAGGCATCCTCAGTCGTAAGTAGCTAATAAAAATGTTGGCAAATAGCAGTAGTAGCTAATGACCATATTAACCAATACCAATATTATCAATTGGCTGTGAAATCTTGATAAGCATCAATTAACCTACAGTGACGACATGCCAGCTTCGCCTCCAGTAAAACCAATCCTATAAATGTACTTCATAATGGGGGCTAGGTGAACAATGGAAGGCAGTATGTAAAACTAGGGAGATTCGAATCTTTATACATATAAGGAAAGGTAATGAATCTATAAGACGTAGTGCGTCTAGAAAGGAGGAAGGAGTGTGGGAAGGGAAAGTGAGAAGATACGTTTCAGCAATACCACTGATCAAAGACACGCATCCATAAAAAAAACGCTCGTAAATAGCAAACCACCTTGGTATGTATTATATAGCCTGGAATCCCCAAGGAAACCTTTAGCTTTGCACTTGGCCCTCGAAATACCCCGTATGAGGGGTATGACTCTACGATGTAAGATTCATATCATTGCGTTCTATTGGTAATAGCAAGAGTATATTAACATATTAGCTAGATCAAGCTTCATGTGGTTGAATGCTGTAGGAGAAGCGCTGGATGGTTGGATCATATGCCTTGGAGTTGTCTTCTGAGAAGAGGTTCCTCTCGACGTAGTGGATAGTACCAGTGCGGTCAAGCAAAATAATCGTTTGGGTTCGCGTGCCGTAGTAATTTCCGATGCACTTATTTCTCTGAGGAATGTAATTCGTCGCAAAGGCCGGTATGTAGATGGATTCACGGAGGTTGTTGAAGTTTTGCGCATCATCTGTGGTCAAGACGTAGGTGTCGTGGCTTAAGACTTCAAAAAGCTCCTCGACCAACTTGTCTTCCGACCAGTTTCCCTCTGTCGACCTCCGGATAACCCCGTTCAAGAGCTCCTTCCCTAGGATGACCTTGGGCCAGGGTTGGTTGTACAACGAGTTGGACAAGCCGATGGTCAGCTCATCACCCTTCTGGAACACCTTCAGTGTCAATTCGCTCGGATCCTCGGCCCGATTGTTGATAAGTGACATTGGCTCCAAGTTTCCGCTTTCGTCCACGCCCAAGTCGCCATATAACATGGAAAACCCGCCCATCTGATCCAACCCTATCAACTTGCTCTCCCATTCCCCAACGCCAACTTCTGCGTTCTCCAAGAAGTCCATGGTGATCAATCCACGCGACACGGTCCCAAATAGCTTCTCCAAATTCTTGGTGTTTTCCCGGTAGTTCACGAGTAGCGCTAAGCGGCCAAACTTGTTGATTCCGATCCACGTACCCTGCTCCGCTCGTGCGAGATCGTACGGCGACAAGATACTATTCGCATGGTGCCAATGGGCTAACGCAGTGGGTCTCACAAGGTATTCGTCTCGATTAGAAATCAAAATGAACGGGTACTCCGGGTGTTTAGTAGACGCAATCGAGATGCACATTATAACTGTTGGCTTGAGACTGGCTGTAACTGATAGATAGGAGTTACTGGTGGCAATATTATATTTTTGGATATGTAGCCAATGAAGAAGCAAGCGAAAAGAGGAGCTATATGTGAGTTGCTTTGGGTTCCCCGGATTTTATGGCGAGACAAAGTCACGGCACAGTTTAAAGATAGTGGCGAGGGTGGCAAGTGCGGGGAATCACGCCTGTCCGTGGCACATGCGTATGTGAAAACGTTCGCAAGAATATGCTGGAGATGTTAGCCCCGCAAAATAATCCAACGAAATGCTTATTTATCTCCAGATACAGCTAAACACAATCTCTTGGTTCTATATTATTTTGTATTCTGAGCGTCTGTGGCTTTTTTTGCGTCTCACTGCCTAGTGAAAATATCACGCAATAAGTCGCTCCACTTTTCCATGGCTTATTCAAGCCAATTGCCTCAAACATATTATGGGTTTTGTCGGAGGATTCTTTAATCCGGCAGAACATTGGTGATCTAAATCGCCTAGTCTGCCCCTGTCGCGTGTGTTTATGTGTCGCTCAGGTATTCTCCGCACAAAACTACTCTCTCATACTCTATCACCTCGTCTGGAGCGTACTATCTATAATCGCAAACTCCGGGAACAAATTAAACGGCGCCTTCAAGCGCATTGATCGTAATTCTGGCGAACGAGTCGCTTTGCTTGATACAGAAAGAATGCTCGATGCCATTTGGTCCGCCTGCGTCCACCACCATCACCACGTTGTCCCTACAGGAATACTTGTCCAAGATCAACTCGCGTGTCTTGTCGCTAACCCAGCCGTCGTTTTTAGCAAAGTAAGCCCAAATCTTTCCGTTCTTCGTATGGGAGGCGAAAAATTCCTCCTGAAATTTGGTGTCATGTTTGATCCGAGCCATTTCCTCTTGGGCTAAGGAAACAGCTTGAAACACAATTGACGGACTGGAGATTATATTACATGTAGCTTCAAGCGATTGGGTGGCATCTTGGTGGCTCAGCAACTTCATCCGTCTCACGAGAATAAACTTGATAAGCCATACCGGTAAAAGCATGTCAACGACGCGTGCTAAAAACGCAAGAAGTTTGGCCGGGTCGATACAAATCTTCCGCAAGAATTTGAAAACCTTAGAGGCAAAGGTACCGTTAGTAGACTTGGCGATATCGATGATGGTAGGGGTGATGAGGCCCACAAATTTGACACTCCACGGCCTTTCAGCGCTGCGCCCCAAACTATGGACAATCTTTTGCACCATGTAAGCCCCTACAGAATGGCCCAAAATATACAAATCTCTGGGTTCAGTGCCCGGGTGCATCGAATCGAGAATCTCCAATTTGTGGTTAATTTGAGCCTTTAAGCTGTAGAACACGGGCTTGTCTCTGGGCGCTGATAACGGCCTCGCGGTATGGAAGCCTGCATGAGAGGGACAAATTATTTCAAACTGGGGGTACTTTGCAGCAATAAAATCGAGGTAGCTGATGTAGTATTCAGTGAGGCCCGGGTTCCCTGGCACAAGCATCAACAACGGAGGTGGGCTGGGGGCTGCTGGTGCCTTGGAAAGAATGTGGTACACCGTTGTCGGGTAACTCGCATGGGTGGATGACTTAAGGGTGCCCTGCATGTTACTCTATCTTGTATAGCTTTATGAGTCGGTTTAAGATGTAACAATGGAACGTCACTTGTTATAGGTGGGGATAAGGTGGAATTTGAACGAATAGTAATCACATGGTGCCCAAGAAAAATAAGCTCCCCACGTGATTCGCGCCCACAACAGGTTAAAAGGTCCAAGAGGGGCAACAACACAAAGAAATGGCTATGTTTAATAAAGAATGGGAAACCCCCAATGGTCTTTACGGTACATCTAGAAATACGTAAAATACGTAAAATGGGTAAAATAGGTAAAGTCGTTAACATATGTAAAATAAATAGCATAAGTATAGGTTTCATTATATCATAATCGTTAACATAGTAGCCAGCTTAGATGCAATACATCTGTGCTTGTGGCTTACCTCAGGGTAAAATCCCACCAGCGATTCACCCAAATCCATTCAGGGGTCCACCAACCCTCTTTCTCTTCCCTCGCAAGGTCATCTTCGCTACTGTAGTTGCTATTTCTGTCTTTGTAATCATCTTCCTCGTCATCCTGGTCAAACTCCTGAGCTGAATCATAGAAATAGACATCTGATATACCGTTCAACAGGTTCACCACCCCCTGACTGGCGAAATGCTTTTCAAAATTGTAATCATTCAGCACACTCGTGTCGTTTCCATGGTAGTCTTCGTCGTTCACAAGGTGGTGGATTGATGCCACGGTGGAAAATTGGTCATCCCGGTGCTTCCGGGTATGGATTTCGTCATCGAAGGTTACCAACAGCCTATCTTCGCGAGGCGCCGGACGAGATACGGTGTACGTTGCAAGCTGAGGAGTTTTAGTGTACAATCCTTTTCTTGACTTCCGCTTGGGTGTCTTTCCTTTCTGCAAACGGGGAATGATGTTTGGGGTGGATGACGAAGAATCCAGGGAAGGCTGCTTATTGGAAGCAGGCCGTTGCAGCTTTGATATCGATCCTCTGCTCTTTTTTGGCGGAAAGAGTGCTTTTTTTCCGCTGGTTTCGGAAACCGTATCTGTAACGGACGGCTCCCGCCTCCGGATTGGTATGCTAAAAGTGGAAAGTATATTCTTCATTACTTTATAAAAGTGGAGGTTGTCAAAGGTATATGGGTGGTTTAAGTAGACTAGGTGTTCATCACCTCGAGTCCAAAAGTACGCATTAGACAAATACCTTTGGTACGCGTACGAGCGCGTATATATACAACACTGTGGTTTCCTGTTTGTATCGAACGACGGGTGCTGCATTTACTAACCTGCCAATTAGAACAAGGATTGGCACATGCATGGGTAGGTCTTGGCACTGCTTCTGACTCAATACGCACCATTCCCTCTCATGTCTGACACGCATTAATTAAAGACCCGCAACGAACCTAAAACAGCCATCCGTGTCACACTGCTCCAGAGTATAAGCCTTACGAATATTATCTGGCCCAAATTTAATTCTAGTGGAAACCCATTAATATAGCGCATGGCTTATAACGGTATCGGTATTCGTTTTGGTAGCCCTAAATACATAGGCCACGTTCCTAGTTCTGAGGCGTACTGCACTAACGAGGCAGAGTTAGAGGGGTTTTCAGTCTCATTAATGCACGGTTTAGACTATATGCATGAACCTTGAAGGGTCTGAATGTGGAATTTGTCATCCTCCTGCGTACTGCTTCTAGTTTTAGTTCTATGCAGCGTCATGTGCTAGCTAAACAGATTTCTGAGAGGAAGGTTAGCTGATAACGTGGGGTCTGAACACCCAGAGTGTCTTAGACAACTCTTGCACATGACTACGCAATTTAGGTATCAGCCTTAGAAGTCCTGCACGGCTGTAAGGTAAATGTCATGTGGACAGGGAATGGTGGCGTAGACGATGAGCCCTCGGCATTCGCGGCTATAGCATGTTGGCGGCCCTGGTTCAAACTCCGCCACCTTTCATATCAGCTATCAACTCCTACACAGGTGCTAAGTCAACAAATATCAGTGGTTCAAGAGTCAAATACTGGAGGTATCCGGGAGAACACGGTCCGTTCGAGATGGTATTCAGAGTACTTAGTTTCTTAGCACGCTTCCCCTGCTACTTAATCGCTAATATCGCTGATATCGCTGGTTAAACTTCATAAATATTAGTCTGTAAACTTCCAGAAATACCTACAATAAGGAGATCGTTCTGATGACTCCTTGCCGGTACGTTTACTACGTCTCGTTTTTCAAAAGCTTCATTACGCTCTCGATCTTCCCCAGCATCTGGAGTGATATTTACTGTTGCCCGTGTTTAGTTGTGACGAAAGTAGCCTCTTGTACCTTAGCACTATAATAGCTGCTAGCTGCTAGAACTTTGCCACCTGCGCCAATGGCTTGACCTCATTAGCCAAAGTGTAGAGCTTCAAATAGAATGCACGTTGTTACAAACAATAGGCACCCAGTATCAGATCGGATACGTTACCCGGACTCTATTCGGCGTTAACAACTCCGTGCTAATTCCGTATTTCGGACATTAGCATTCACTGTGACGGCCATTGGTTTCCGCAAGAAATGGACGGCGCACTGTGACTAGCAGTCTTGCAGATTATTACTTATCGGACTGTCGGTCGTTTGTCTAACGATATTTTAGTTCAGTGTCTGAGGATTGCTCTTAAAGTTGGCGGAACCAAACTGTCCTTCCGGCCCGGGGATTCGCTGGCCACCCGTAATAGTGAAACTAGAGCAATATGCACCTGTAGTGACATATGTCCTTATTCTGTATTCCTCAAGATGCGCATGACGCTGATGCTGTGTCATGTGCATTTTTGAACCCTAATCCACAAGGTGGAAAATTCTAGCTAATATCTGTGGAAGAAGGGGTGTGGTCTGATGGGGATCTTTCTAAGATGACGTAGTTCCGCCGCACTATATGCAGCGTGATAAGTTCCCCGCGGCCAATTATCGTCAAGGATTGCCCCTCGTATTTCGCGTAGATAAGAAAAATCATGGGGTACGCCGCTCCTTCGATCCACTGAGCCGATACATATGTCAACTCTGACTTCCAGCATAAACACCCCCAAACTCTTAGTTTATGCACGTGGTGTGGTGAACCCCACGATTGCAGTACTCCGATATCGGTTTAGGGGCAGATCTTTGATCACTTTTGGGGATATAAATACCCCTTTCTTCCCCACTCTTTTTCGCTCTCCTTCTTTTCACTACATTCAATCTCTTCGATTACCAGACTTATACATTCTACTCCCACCCGATACAACTACTAAATTCTCTAAATTACAATGACTGTTGCTAGATTATCTCTCCGCCGCGTGGCTTCTATCAGAACTGCCTCTGCCTGCTGGATCCCGATTACCTATCGTACTTTCTCTAACTCCGTCATTGGCCCACAGCTGCAACTGAAGTTGCCATGTCCGCAACAGCAGTCCGAGGTTAAGGAGTCTTCCGCTTCCGGGTTCGAGCCGCAGGTTTCTTCTGACGGTGAATACCACCACGGCCCTACCAGCGCCAACACCTCCGAATAAGCTCGCCATTTTTGATCTAATGATCGCCTCTGCGCTCTTTATAGCCCCAAGGAAAACAATCCGTGATCCCACTCAGTACTCTCGCTAACCCGACCGAGTGATGGAAACCAATCGGCTGGCCCGTTAACGTTTCCCGTCTCACGTACATATATCAACTGCCACTCCAATCTTTTGTAAAGTTTTTATGTGTATGTTTGTCATGAATTAACGTATATCCTACTACTCTTGTAGAAATTAGGTAGAGTCTATAGAATCTTGTACGCAAGCCTGCTTAAAGTTCTAGGGCTTATAAGTATTTAGGATTAATGGCTATGTATCCGTCTAGAGCTATAAGTAGAAAAGCCAACTGACAGAAGCGTGGGGATTAACTAAATTGACCGCTGAAGATTTACTTTTTTAAAACATCATATTATTAGCGTAAAAGTGTTAAAAAAAAAGGTCTATAACAGAGCCAGTTTTGCCTCTTTAACATAACCCAGCCTTCCCAGAGATCTAAGAGCGTCATTCTGGCTATTCGTGCAGAGGTTAGAGTGATCTTTGCATAATCAAAATAAGCTGGCTTCATCAGACTGTACGTTGCAAAAAAAACCTGCCGTTAAACACAAATCTTCGTTGATTTGTGAGTAAATATCCCCTATTAGTAGTACGCTCCTTTTCCAGCATAGCCATCTGTTCCTTCCTCTTCTTCGCCCAGATTAGTCACAGGATGCCAATCCTCCACGTTAACAGGCACCTGTCTGCCGGATGGCCAGTACTTGGCTGAATTGCCCACAATTTCGGCATACGATGGAACCGTGTCGTACTTCAAAACCAGGTTCTCCTTAGTGTACTTTGCGTTAATTGCGATCAAACTATGGTACAAGTTGGTCAAGTCCAACATGAGGGCGGAGTTGGCTGGAAAGTATTTCGCAAAAAACAGAACAGAGTTCTTCGTCAATACAGACACTGAAGTCAAGCCGTCAATCTTCTTTGCAGTCTTCTTATCTTTGCTGGCCTGGAGCTTCGTCTGAAGCTTAGTCTTGAGGCTCAACTTTGTCTTCATGAGCGAGTTTCCAAGCTCCTTGACATCTGAGGTTTCGGTCTCGTACAGCTCCGCACTCGGCTTGCTCTTTTCCTGTTCCAACTGGTAAATCCCGTAATTCACCAACCCTATTGCCTCCCCGATCGCGTTCTGGTGGTACTTCTCCACGGAGAGATAATATCCAGCGTAGGCGTTCACATAGAGCTTGGTCCGGGCCAAATATTTCGGCCATACGGCAAAATCGCTGCTTTCTGGCAACGAGGAGAGTAGCTTTTCACAGATTGTCAATTCATCAGACACAAAGAGGGCCACACGGGAAAATAACCCGTAGCTGGTGGGCTTGGTACTGGTAAACGCCTCGGAGGCCTGTTGGATCTGAGTCGTCAAAGACTTGGACAAGATGGAGAGCTGCAAGGACGCCATTACTAAATGCTGTAGAAAGCTGACAAATGCTGGGGAAAGGCCTGCGAGACTGGTGTCCTTGTGGATTCGATTAGCGCTAACGTACTTGAGAAAGCTCAATGCCCGTTTGAAGTAGCCCGAAATGTGCTTCCATGTATCTTCGATACTTCCCGGGATTTGGATCATCGTTGCCATTGCATCCCCTGCAATCTTCATGTACACCAACGCCAAGGTGGTGAACACGGTCTCCACCTCGTCTATCACATACCAGCTCTGCCCCCTGTGTTCAGGTCTGGAGGCCCCGATGCCGCTCCACGGCTTTGCTGTCCCTTCAACAAAAATCGCCTCACGCATGAAGTTCAAGACTTCGGCCGGAGTATCTGCCCGTTTGTTCGCCTCTGAGAAGAGCTCAACGAGGTAGTCTTCTAGCAACCCAGCGTACTTGATCGCCTGTCCTGATGCGGCGTCGCAAAGCAAAAGCCGGACGCTGTTCACCAGGCCTGGCAAACCTGAGGTCTTCAGAAGTGGTACAGAGCGAGGAATTGGCGGGGTATTTGGTAAAATAATCATTGTCGTCAATAGAGATTGGATTTTGTGCTGGGATGAGGGGTTTGATATGTGGATAAGGTCTGCATGTGAGTTAGTGAGCGGCCGGGCGTTTTCGCAGAAACGAGACTGGCATATAAGATGAGATTTCACGAATACAGCACTCGTTAAAGCTGTGGGCGATCGTGGATAGAAACTAGGTATAATTTGAGCACAAGTATATCGTTATGTCAAAAATTATTAGTTAGCTGACTATTCGCTGTGCATTTTTACTTTCGTAAGGTGTCATCTCCCTGGACATGTACTATTTTGTGAAGAGTCGACAGGGAGTCCCCGTATGTGAGATGCTTCGACCCTACAGACCCTAAGCGGTAGAGAAAGAAGTATTCTGTATTGCTGTAGAAATAGCATAGTTTTTGTTTTTGTTTTTTTTTTAATCTTTGGTATTTTGTGGGTAAAGGTTCCAGGAGCAATTGGAGTGACATAAGTATACAATGCCGAAGTCTCGAGAGTCCTTCCAGATTACTTGTGCAGATTCATGAAATGTTACTTCCTTCGATTGATTGTTTCTTTTTAACTAATTCTTTCAATTGATTCTTCCTAATTATATTATAACTAAAATACACAATAGGTTAAACAACTGACTTTGGGGCTTAATGCAGACACCTCTCTGTCTGGGCATATCGGGATAACAGCGACCTAAGAATAAACAGAATGAGACACCTGCAAATACAATCTTTAGAAAGATTGAATAACATTGACCACTGCCAATAGCCAAAACCCTTAACGGTCTCTCAACGGTACTTTTTACCCACAATGTCCGAAATGCTTCAACCTGTATTTTCGCGAGAAAACCCTCCCCCCATTATACATTCCTCCTGTTGCACATTTTCACCTTCACGTGTCTTCCTGCACATACACCAAACATACGTCTTGATATACACATCCAGCTCGGGGATTTATCACCTGTTCATTGAACACCGACCGTAATTTTCCTTCCTTCCATCCATGACAGTGACACTGTCGGTTAAAAACGGAGGTTCCGGTGTACCTCCGTTGCTTCTTTCTGTTGAGGACCGTGCGAAGCTCCTCGACGCGGGTAACAAGTCTCAAGACCATTACAAGAAAAAACTCTCACCCTTCCGCTACAAGCTTCGCGCAGCCATCTTGCCGCTTATCAGATCGGAAATCCCGGCACTCACCCGCATCCAATTTTCGCTTCGTCACCCGTTGCTTGACTTGTACTTTGCCTGGACGGCGAACCTTGCGTCGCATACGTTTTACGTGCTCCTTTTGCCATTACCCATCTGGTACGGCGGTGCCGAGCTCACGCGCGACTTGGTATTCATTCTTGGCTTTGGTATCTACATCACAGGTACCTTGAAAGACTTTCTTTGTCTCCCCCGCCCGCGCTCCCCACCCTTGCACCGCATCACGATGTCAGGCTATACCACTAAGGAATATGGCTTTCCGTCGTCCCACAGCGCCAACGCTACGGGTGTCTCGTTGTTACTTTTCGTGCATTTCTATGCCCAGATAGGCCAGGTTTCAACCCCTACCTCTGTCGCCAGTTTCACTCTTTTGTTCATTTACTACGCCTCCTTGATCTTTGGCCGCGTATACTGCGGGATGCACGGTTTTTTCGACATCATCACCGGTAGTTTCATCGGTTGTACCATTTTCCTCGCACGCTACTGTGTGAAGCAGACCTGGGATCATGTGGTGGTTTACTCCGGCTCCTGGTTCTTTCCCCCGGCGTTGATTGCGTTCTACTTGGGGCTCATTCATTTGCACGCGGACCCTGTAGATGATTGTCCATGTTTTGACGACTCTGTGGCATTTATCGGTGTGCTTTTGGGCTACGAGCTATCGTACTGGGCCTTTGTCAAGTATGACTACTCCCGTGTGTTGCTTCCGTATGTGTATGATACAGCTTCCCTTCGGGGCGCCGCCCCGGTTTCCATCCCATTCTCCTTGGAAAAGCTCGGGCTATTCAGGTCCGCCGCCAGAAGTGTCGTCGGGGTGGTTCTAGTGGTGGTGTGGAAAGCCGTTTCCAAGCCGCTCTTGTTCACCGTCTTGCCTCCGGTCTACAAAAAGCTCGGCGTGTATCTTCCTCGCTCGGGTTTCACGTCCACGGCGCTGACAAAGGACTCCACCAAGAAGATCAGACGCTCATCGATACATATCAATGAAGGTGTCTCGGAGATGACTGACTTTGTGCGCTCCTTGGGTGATAACACCGTAGTGGACAGCGTGGGAGTAGAGAATGATATCGATTTCTACGAGAATATCGATGCCATGCAAAAGTCGAGGCAGAGACGGTCTGACTCTGTCGGAAAAGATGTACCAAGCATTAGTGTGATTGACATCTACGATGAGTCTAACACCGATTTCGACGATTTGCCCGTGATCTGTGGGGCATTGAAGCCGCGGTACGATGTGGAGGTGATTGCGCGGTTGATTGTCTATGCCGGGGTCTCCAGTGTCGCGATATGGGGTTTTGCCGTTGTCGTCCAGTACACTCCGTTTATGTAGTAGTTTCAGGTCTTTATGAAGTATGATGGATAGATATTAAGTGTAATAGCCTTATGGCCGGTTTCGTGGTATTTTTGGAAGCCTAAGCGTGGAAATGCACTGGATTTGGTATCTAATTGATAACATAGCTTTCTACGCTATTCGCAGAATGCAACGACAAGACCACAGTGGCGCTAAAATTAGACTAGCGGGAAACACGAGGTTGACTGTTTAATCCTCGGCCGATATCTTGATCGACGTCAATTTAGTAATAATAACGTCTAGTCTCCCTATCAATTATCCTTTTGTATCCTTCTCTCTGCCATTACCAACGACAACCATATCGCGTTATATTGCACGCGTTCAACACCACTCTTCGGCAGTATGCTCTATTATGTTCTATTATCCTACTTTAAATCCGTTCTGGAAACCGGTAGTTACCAAAAGCTGTGGTGAAAAGTGCATGTCAAAAAAGGTATCTCACCAAGCTCCTACGACTTCAGCTCAGCAGGGTATATCGTATGACAAAGGGGACCATTTTTTGTAATCTTTATGCTTAGCATTGATTAGTTTAAAGTGATATTTTGTTAGCCTAAATTCTCATCGTACTATTTTTACATATTCTTTTTGGTAGTATACAGATATTTCAACAAAGGGTCGGAAAGGACTTCCTGTACATGCATAGAAGAGTATACCTAAAACACGATGGGGACCTCATCTACCCGCAAACGGTCGTAGGCTAAGTCAAGTTTATATTAACAATATACAGAAGTTTTATACCTTCTAATATTAAGGAAATTCGGGCGATCAGTTAAATTAAAATTCCTTTTTGACGGAAAGTAAGCCCTCGAAAAACTTATCATCCTACATTTACGTCATTTGCCCTGCATGGAAGCTTATCCTGCGCCAGTAATACCTAGTGCCCAGCCGATCATCCGGGACGCATGTGATCAGCCACGACTGTCACCAGCCATCAACCATCACTGGCCATATAAAATTGAAGCCATATAATGCATATTAAATCTATGAAGGGCAATACTTGTTGAACGCTTTGCTCTTCCTTCAGCCTTGTGGTCCCGGCTATTGGATTAATTGATCCGGGAAGTTTTGATTATGTCACGTGATTTATGCATTACATAATCAGGCTTGCTAGGCGCCACCAGCAGAATTGGTGAAAAACTGAGCCGCCCACAATAAATCTACTCATCTCATCTCTTTCTTCGTTTGTTTCATTCGCCTCACGTATCACTGCACCTAACGTCGCAACCCATATCATTGCTACTCATCACATCCATGTTAACCAGAAGTATTACCTCCGTGAGACCTAGAGTCGCGCAGTATGCCGTTGTCGGCTTACAGCACAGACTCTTCAGCGGGGCAATCCCCCACCGTATCGACAGAAACACAAAGAGATTGGTGCCGATTCCGAAAGACGTGATGGATACGCCGATTCCGCTCCCACAGCCGCCAAATACCGATGGCCCGAAGCCGCCGTTGAGACAGCGGATCAAGGACGAGGCGGCGCACTACTGGCACGGAACCAAGTTGCTCGGGTATGAGATCAAAGTGGCAACCAAGTTGCTTGTGAAGATGGCGACTGGGTATGAGCTCTCCAGAAGAGAAACGAACCAGCTCCAAAGAACGATTGTGGACGTGGGGAAGTTGGTGCCGTTCTCGATGTTTGTGATCATTCCGTTTGCGGAAGCTTTGTTGCCCGTGGCATTGAAGTTTTTCCCCGGAATGTTGCCATCGACGTACGAATCCACCACCGACAAGTACAAAAAGAAGCAGAGATTGCTCAAGACCAGAAAGGACACGTCTGAGTTCATCCAGAAGACGTTGGAGGAGAAGGGCATCAAGATGCCGAAGAAGATGAACGACCAGGGCAAGAAGGAATTTGTGGAGTTCTTTGACATCATGAAGGACGGCGGCAGGCCCACGGATGACCACATCGTCAAGGTTGCACGCTACTTTAAGAATGACCAGGTTTTGGACAACTTGTCGAGACCGCAGTTGGTCGCCATGGCTAAGTACATGAACCTTAAGCCGTTTGGGACGGATGAGATCTTGCGCTACCAGATCAGACACCGTTTGTTGAAGATTATCAAGGACGACAAGGTGATTGACTATGAAGGTGTGGAGTCGTTGTCGATCCAGGAGTTACAGAGCGCGTGCCAGCTGAGAGGGATCAAGTCGTTGGGTGTTTCGCCGGGCAGATTGAGAGATGACTTACAGACGTGGTTGAACTTGCGTTTGAAGCAAAAGATCCCGTCAACGTTGTTGATTTTGTCATCCACTTACACTTTTGGTGAGGGCTCCGATAACCTCCGGAGCTACTATGACGCGTTGTTGGCTGTGTTGTCCGGGATTCCGGATGAGGTCTACAACTTAACCAAGTTGGATGTCTTGAAGGACGCCGCGGAGATTGACGCTAAGTTGAAGATGGAGATTTTGAAGGAACAGGAGGAGTTGATCAAGGAGGAGAATCAGCAACAGGGAACCACCAAGGCAGGGATCAAGGATAGCATCAAGTTGAGTGATTATGAAGAGGAAGTGAGCGACAAAGCGGAACCCGCCACTGAGACTGGTGAGGCGATTTCTGAAAAGGAAACCGAGCTCTTGAAGCAGGAGACCAAGGCTCCGCAGGAAACTATTGCCGCCGAGTTGAACAGCGTGGATGAAAAAAAGGAAGCCAAATAGGCTTCTAAAAGTTTTGCCGTGGCAAACAAGAATGTGTCGGCATTGGCTTATGCATTCTGTTCGGACCATGGTAGACATTAAATATATAACGAATTAGACTATGAATATTAGTTTGCGGATTATGAATTGGTGTATGTCTGTGTAATTTTGAAAACTGGCTCAATGATTGTGGATACCATCTATGAATGTTTCGGTTCCGATAGTGGCATGTCTTTGCTAGGTACAATTGAGTAATGACCCCCCAGCGCCTTGCTTTCGCCTACTTTTGATGATAATTTCAAACTACGTATATACTAATAGTCCTATGGGTATCCCAATGGATTACTTTCATGGGATATTCAGTTTTAATTCAGACACTCAGGTTTCCTTTTTTTTTTCGAATTTGATAGCATTGGCATTGATGTCTAATTTAAATGCAAAATAATCCATACATCCAATACATGGCAGTTTCACCATGTGCACGATAGTCAATAAGCATTTTAATCTCCAAAAATGCTTCAAGCTCAGCGACAATGGACCTCTATGTTTTTTTTTCTCCGTTTCGTTTCCTATAATCTTTTCATTGGGAAAATCCCCTTCAACAAATTGTCGCTCCTTGGTCATTGTTGTGGCACAGCTTGGTCACTGTAAATACAAGTCTATTGTTATGTACCTCACACAGAAATACGACTATACCAGGCATGCAGACGTTACCTCCTTATCGCTTATCAGGTCCATTCAGTGATTCGCCTTACTTTACACTAAATAGCCACCACTGCTTACACCAAATCCGAGACATTGTTCCCTGCTATATTAATTTGCTACACATTTCTTTACCGATTCGTCTGTTGTCGATAACTCTCAGACCGATCTTGCTTCCTGCTTACCTAAATCAGTGCGAGCCTTTTTTTCTCCGACCCAGCTTTAATCCCTCAAATAGAACCTATCAGACCTATATAACCTACAATGTCAATCATTCCCACTGCGATTCCCGGTGCCTTTCCTGGGCCTATAGCCTCGCCCGAAAGTCGCCATCCCAACGAGCTCATGCTACACGCCTCAACCATATCCAAGCAGTACCAGTCCGCTGCCCGAAACCACCTCTTGTCGCAATTCGATCTCCTAGCCACCTTCTACATCTGCCTAATCTTTCTATACGATTACAACATCCTTCTTCTTGTGGTGCGTTTAGTGCTCCAGTCGTTTTTGTCCTTGGCGGTGGACACACCCATGAACACGATCATCCCCCCGTTAGCGGTATACCAGGCCACTGTCTTTGTGAACGTCGGCTCCCTCATCATCCACGGGGTCTATGGTCAGGCCGTATCGTCTCGGGCTGACGGCTACATATTTGGCCACTACATCATCCAGGTAATCGGCCAGCAACAGCTCTCGTCGCGGTATCCACTATTATTATTAGACTTTGTGTTGATCACCCTCAACATGGCGCTCTTTGACATGAACTTTGGGCTGAAAGTGATGAAGGAACACCGTTTGGGCGAAATCAGAAGCGAGGGTCCGGACGGGAATGCACAGTCGGTAGTGACTGTGAACCTTTCTGGCGTGTTCAAAGGAAAGTTTTTGCAGAGATTGATACATTACAGCGAGGAAATGGCGGAGCTGGACGAGGTGGATCGGATCGCAGCGATAACTCAGTTGTATGGGGCGGTATAGCGAGCGAGCTTCACTAACTGGCATAATTAACGTTTATCTATTTACCCAAAACGATCCGCGATTAGCGTGGGACCTCATTAACAGTGAAAATTTTCATAGTCCCCCCCTACAGCAGTTTGTTCTAAATACAATTTATAAGTTATTTCACCGCCTGTTCTGAGCCAATATATAGCAAGAATTTAACGCCTTACACTAAGGAACCATAAAACGACTTCTGATGCCGTTTGCAATCTGTAGAATAGCGATCGTCACCTTAGAAACGCCTTGAAATATAATATATCCCCCAGATATGAAAGCAAAGAACCGTCCAGCATAAATATACCTATCACTGACTGAAATAATAAGCTTCGACAGCACAGCTCCTAAAAGGCATCTTCCAATTGTATCACATCTTTTTAAAGTATTTGCCTTTATCCGACTCCGTTTAAATACCGACATTAGGGTTGCGTTTCCGAACATAATAGCCAGAAACCTCAAAACATACCCAGGCGATGACAAGCATGTGAAAGTTACACTCAGAGTCTGATTCACCTTGAGCTAGGCTTAATCATACCATTCCCATACTATATTTTCAGTGATCCAACACAAGGCTATAAAAGAAATTACTACAGCTTTTTATGAACAATTAAATATAAATACAAAGTAATAAAAATGTAACAAAAAGATGGGGATGTAACAGGTTCTGGGCGTAACCCAGCCTTTTCCAGCTATTTTCGTCAAGCCTAACCCCGGGTCACACCCAGACCGTTCTCCAAGGCTTACCATCCACTCACACTCTGTTTCTGCATCTCGGTCTTCAACAAAGACTTGAACCCATTTCTCAAACGATTAAGATCCGGGTAGTCATAGCTCTTCAATCTATACCCATCCGGCGTAGCGCGCACATGCCACGTCGCGATCTTCGCAGCAGCATTTACCTTGAAGCTCAACAAGAACCACCCCGGCGCCTTGTGGTCAAAGCAGAAACTGTAACAAACACGCTTCGGACTGTTTTTTGACCGCTCCTCCAATGCCTTCTGCGTGTTCTCGCGCGTGTCATCAGAAAAGAACTCGTTGTAACACATGTCGTCCACCTTCCTGGCAATCGCATGCACGTAGTTGTAGATCAACTCGTCGAGGTCACTGTAGTCATGGCCGTCAACGCGGAACACCTTATCCCCAGCTTTTTGGATCTCGAGGATATCCACATGCTGAAAGAGGTTGTTGGACACCTTCCAAGTAATGACTACATGGTCATCACCCTTAGACGAAGGGCGAATGACGAGGTCACCGCGCGACTTGGGCGCGAGGAACTCCTCTGCCTGGCGTGACGTAAAGTTGCGGAACAACGTGTGCTTGATGACGCGACCCGAGCGGTTCTCGAGCTTGGTGCGTGTGTCTTCAACTGTCTTGTCCGCGAGCTCCGCCGCGACGTTCCAGGTCTCCGAGTCGCGCGCAGCTTGCACTGCGTGCTGGTCCTCGCGCAACAAGCTCGCCTCGATGTGGAAGCTCTCGTAGTCCACCTCGCGCACTGTCGCGGCAACCGTCTGGCCCATGTGGTAGATCTCAAACAAGCTGCGGTTGTCGTCCCTTTCCTTCGTGTAATCCTGGCGAATATTAGTGTCGATCATGGATGACGTTGTCGCAAAGATCAGGTACTGCGAGATCTTGCGGATGTTCACGGGGAGCACCGCGCCCGCACGTACCGTCGCTTCGGTCTCGCCCGTAAGCATACGGAACACAGCGCCCGCGTCGAGGCGCTGGAACGAGCGGCGGAGCTCCTCGTAGTGGCGCTGGAGCTCATCCTTGATCATGTGGAGCGTTGCGCGCTTCTTCTGCTTATACTTGGTCTCCAACTCCTCCGCGTAGCCCTCGAGATACAACTCGTCGAGCTTCTCCGGGCCGTCCTTAATCAACTGGTAGATGACCCCACCGCCCTTCAACTCGTAGTGCTTGACCTCTTCTTCATCGAATTCGAGCGCGTCCGCAGCCATCTTGCGTGCGAGGTCGTAGTCTTCGGGGTGGATACGTGTCGCGTCGAGAACTTCAATTCTGTTACTCTTGTCGCGATCGAGACGGCGCTCGTCGTAAGGAATGCGGATGAACGACGCACAGTTCATGTAGATGACTGCACCGGTGAGCTGCAACGTCACGAGGTGCCCGCGATTGGTGAACTCGTCGTCGTTCGCCTGGAGACCCGCAATGAGACCTGACGCCTTGCGCGCGCCGAGACCCGCAACGTACGGGAGGTAGCGCGCGACGGCCTCGTCACGGAGCGCCTCGCCCAACTCGACTCCCGTCATGTTCACGATGTCGACCAACGCTGACTCAATCGCGAGCGTCACCTTCGCTTCCGCGAGGAGGCCCTGGTGCGGGTGGATCGCGAGCGCGGGGAGATCCTTTTCAAGCGCAATGTACTCCGTGAGTGGAGACTGTACGTAGCGCGCGAGCGCGATGCAGTACTTTGCGAGCGTACTCTTCTCGGGGAAGGCCGCACGCGCACGTGCGGATGCTTCGTAGAGCTTTGCCGTCTCGTCATTCACCCAGAGCACCTCCACCAACGGCGGCTCGCCACCCTCAAACTGCGCATCGGTATCTTCAGCCACCGTGAGCTGATTCTTCTCAATGAGCTGCTTCAACACATCGTATAACTTCTTTGATTTCACGTTGTAGCCCGCAAGACCGATCACATCAGGGCGGTGCTTCTTGACCGTCTGGATCAACTGATCCTCGAAGAGGCTCTCGTTGTCGCGGACCGGATTCGCATCGAACTTGATCTCGTCGATTATCTTGCCGTTGTCCTGCATCATAATCGCCACCACCGAGTCGATCCCGAAGTTCCCGCGTCCGCACGACATCGCCAACACCGTTGGCACCGTGCCCTTGTCGAAGCCTGCCGGCGTGTACGGTGCTTGGTCCAAGCGCGCCGCAAACGTGCGCCGTACCTGAAAGAAAAGAATGCGCTCGCATTCACGGAGAAGATCCTCTTTGTAGTTCATACACACAAGCGGCACCAATTTAGCCATACCACGCGCGAACGCCGCGCGCCGCAACGCATTCCACTGTTCCGCCAACTCCGACACCCCGTCAGATGCGAGGAACGACACAAACATGTGGTCGAGCATCTGCTGGAGATGCTGGAAGCGCACCTTGATCACGATCAAGCCCTCCGCCTCCGCGCGCAACATACGGAGAAACATATCAGGCGCACCCACGAGCGACGCGGCCGTGCGATTGATGAGGTACTTGAAGTCCGCATACGGACCGTCCTCCGCAATGGTAACCTTGCCCTTTTCTGTCAACACGACATCCACCGTGGAGTATTGCTGGAACGTGCTGCGGAAGAACTTGCGAATGTTGGGGTCATTGAAGAGCTGCTCCGCGTACGTCTGCTCGACCGCATCGAGTGCCGCGCGGTAGTCCACAAACCACGGATCGGCTGCATCCGCGATGATATCCTTGGCCATGTCCTCAGGCGATTCGTACTCCGCATCGACGGTCGTGTGGATGCGTGTCTGGTTAACCACGTTGACCCCGAAATGGTCCGCGGAGATGCCGATCGCCGCAAGGATTGCGCGGAGATCGTGCGCGAGAAAGCGTTCATAGAAGGAAAACTTCGAGTGGCGCTTGGTCGCGGCGTCACGCGTGTCGCCGCGCGTAGCGCGTAACTCCTTCGAATACTTGAACGAAAGGTAATCGTGCAAGTCCTGCAACTCCACCATTGTCTGCGCACGCGCAATTGAATCACGCACGTCATCGTCCAAACCCAACGCCTCGTACATCACCAGTACCGCACCACGCTTATCATAAATCCCGTGGTAGTCAATGTCTAATTGAACAATCCTCCACAAGTCATCTTCGACCAACAAGCGGTCAACGCGAACCACCTCACCCTCGGTGTTTTTCACTGGATGGAGGAAATAGTCGCGGCGGTGGTTCCAGATGAATGGCACCTCGAGATTGTCGCGCGCGACAAACTCCACTACTTTGTGCACCGCGTGCTCGAACGGCTCGCCTGCAGCGTCACCCTTCTCTGCCGCCAACTTGTTTGCAACCCACTCCTGCTCGGCCTTGAACGCTGCGTCGGGCAAGTCGTATGCACGTACGTGCGCACGGAGCGTCTGGAAGCGCTCTGGCACGTCCGCCATGCGGATCTGGTTATCTGCCTCTGTTAACATGCGCTCCTTCAACTCCGCCGGCTCGAACACATCCGTCAATGCCGTTGGATTAGTGTCATCTTCGTACTCGCCCTCGTCCTCGCCCTCCAACGCCCACGCGTAGTCCTCTCCGTTGCCAAAGATCTCAAACAACTCGCTGAGCTTTTCGTTGTCAATGTTGGACATTTGTGCGGGCGCACGGCTGCGCGAGGCCTTCTTCTGTTCGCGCTTCGCGCGCGTACCCTCATCCTCATCGGAAAACTCGTCATCCTCGATAAAATCGTCAAACTCATCCAACACGTTGCGCGGCTTCTCCTCTTCCTCCTCTTCCTCAGAGAACATTTGTGTCAACCGGTCGGGCTCGTCCGTCTGCGCACGCTTGAGTCGCTTAAACTTTGGCTTCGCTGCGGGCACGCTGACGCCGTTGTTTTCCATGAGCAACTCAAGATCGTCGTCGTCAAGCGCTTCAACCTCCGGCTCTTTCTCGCGGTGGCGCCGCTTCTTCTTCTTCTTACGCTTCGCGCCTTCATCTTCCTCTTCGTCATCCACGATGAACCCGTCGCGGACCTCGTTGATGGCGTCCTCATCCTCGTCGTCGTCCTCCTCCTCAGACGAATCCACCATGTTTTCTTCTTCCCGGATCTCCTCGTCAGAGAAATTGTCCTGGATCTCCCGCTCTTCGTCACTAGGGGCGGCAGACATTTTATCGGTAATTGTATCGTCGCCGTTGCTTGGTGGTGGGAATAGGTAGAGGGTGAGCAAAACGACGAGTTTTGATATTGACGCTGCGAAGAGCGTGAAAAAATCGACTGCCTAAACTGGAAGTATGTATCACTTCCCGATTTGGCTCGTATAAATTGAAAGTGCTGTTTAAGGAAGTCGAGACGGCGAGTATGGAAATCAAAAAGTCGGGGGTATGCTTTGGTGAAATAAGATTGCTTTATATTCTTTGATTTGATATTTGGGGCTGTTGTAGGAGTGCTGTGTAAATGTTGTGTTTCCCAGCCTAAGACAACCTGTTGTCCAAGCGTCGCGCGCAACATTGACGTGTCGAGAAAGTTTGTTTGTCTTTTTATTGGGGGTGAGGAAACATTTTACGATATATGAAACTTCTAAGGGTCATACTATGGAAATTAATGACATTTTTTGCCGTTTCCATTGATCCCAACTACAAAATCGTAAAAGCGTCACCTAATTTTGTTTAGTGGCGCTAAATTTCATTTAATCTCGTCTTTCCCACTCTGAATAATGATTTAGGCTTTTTTTTTTTCCAAAATAATCATCTTTATGAAATAAAAAAAAAAACCTTTTCATATTTTACCTACCATTTGCTTCTCGATTCAACTTCATGTTGAAGTGCTTGTTCTTGTCATTAATGTAACTGTGGACATCATCCTCCTCGTTCTTGTTGCGCCTGCGCTTCATCCGCCTGGCGTCTGCGTCGCCCATGTCCGCGACCAATTTCTTGACTAGCTGTTTGGCCGGCTTATTCGCGGTGAGATCCATGTGGTCTATCGTGTGTTCCTTGTGGGACCTCAAGAGCCGCTCCTTGCTCGCTTTGTACGCGGTCATGTTAGCCACGACGTCTATGTTTTTGAGGTCCTTATCGTAGGCACGATCCGCAATGGCCTCATAGTTCTGAGAGGCCCCAGAGGTGCCTTTTCTCCGCTCCAGCTGCACCGCTTCCCACTTTTCGCAGTCCTCAATGGAATACTCGAGGTTCTTCTTGCGGTCGTAGTCTTCACCTCGCTCGGTGGCCTCGATTTTTTCAAGCTCCTCTTCCGCTTTCATCTTTTTTGCCTCCAACCGCTTCAATTTTTGGGAATCCTCCTTTTGTTTCGCATGTTCTGCATAAACCTCCTGGCGGTTCAGCTTCTCGCTCTCCCGCTTCCGTTTCTGCAACGCCTTGAACTTGGCCATCCGGTCGTTCAGTGTAGCCTCCTTCTCTAGTGTGGATGCGCTTAGGTATTTGTTTTCGGACATACTTAAGATGATGCTATGGACGATAAAATGAGTAGAGGAGACGGCAGTGTGATGAAGCAAGGAAGAAGGAATCACTGATAAAAGTGTATTTTTGTAGCAAAAAATGGTTGGATCTATGCAGGTTTTGGGTCTGTACAGGTCATAAATATTTCAGTTCCATACAGGCTAAACGTTCAGGCTTATTTTTAGCGTGTAAAAAAGTTCAGCTGTAAGCGCTGTTTACTGTTACATTGCAATCCGCCAGAACACAATGGCCGACCTTAAACACCAATTAGAGGATCCAGATACCCCCTTTGATGCTAAGAAACAGAAAGCTGGAGCTTCTGGCGATCAGCACATCTTAGACTACATCAACACAGATACTCCCATCGAGCCGCCTGTGGTGTACGGCAAAAGCTGGCTTTCTGCCCAGACCGCAGCTTTGCAAAGCGCAAAGACGAAAAATGAGACCTTAAGAGAGGCCTACTATCCTTCTGAACCAATGAAGTTCATGGATAGCGAAGGCGAGTTGCACGAATTGGTAAAATCCCTCTCCGCAATCAGTACGCTAGAGGACGACACCTCTGAGGTGTTCCGCTATTTTACTAGCAAGACTGCCAAGATTTTGCTTGATCTCTTGACAAATCACCCCAACATAGATATTAAAATCCAAGTGCTAAGAATCTTCAACGATCTCCTTGAAGACGGTGAAGCCCCAGCTGTTCACACCACTGATTTGGCCAATGCATTGATGGGCTTGGCCTTCCACACCGTTTTGGGAGAGCTCTTGATTTATTCCCAGACAATAGCAGACACTGCAGAGTTTGTTATTTTAATCCTAGGGATTTTGATCAACTTAGTAAACAACTTTCCGGGATCTGCATCCAAAAATCTCTTTGAAACAGCAACTATCCAACGTTTTGTCATATCCCGCCTCTCTGATGAGTTCACCGCTTCTTTGGAAATTAACCAGTTGGTTATTAAGCAATACAGCACTGAGTATTTGTTTAACATATCCCAGGATAACGTAGATGATGTCCAGGTCCGGTTGTTGTCGGACAACACCCTCCTCGACGCCATCTTGGTGGGTCTTTCTGCTCTTACCAAACCTTCCATCATGCGAGTTTATGCCGATACTGACGAAATGCAGGAATTGGTTGAAAATTTGATAGACATGTTGTGCTTGTTGGTGCAATTTCCCGTCTGCAAGACTGAGTTTATCGATTTGCAAGGGCTAGAACTATTCTTCCGAATTCTTGATGTCACGCTGGGATGTAACGGTTATTTCAATGCGACCTGGGGCTTTGACACATTCACCAAGTGTTTAAGTGGCTTATTCCTAGGCCAGCACACCGACTCGATATCTCTGTTCGAAAAGTTCATCCAATTGAACGGCTTGAAGCATCTTTACGGCAACTTCGATACTCCTTACTTGTCTCTTTTCAAGGGATCCAAAAAGGCTGCATTGAAGAAGAATTACGACCGAATCCTCACCATTACAATCGCCTTGCTCAAAAATACGTCGATCGAGTCTGTAGAACGGATGCGTCTCATTAACAAGTTGCTTGAAGACGACTACTTCAAAGTGAAGATTATGGTGAGCAACGCCATCAAGCTCGAAAGTAGATTGTCAAAGTATGGTGTTGAGGAAGAGGTACCGACTGACGGGTTGAAAGAGTCCTATTTTGCGAAACTCTCTGATGGTTTAGCATATCTCCAAAAGACGTACGTCATTCTAGCCTGGTTATCCCTTGAAGACCTATCGATCTCCACCGCGATTAACGAGATTTTTTCCAAAGCAACAAAAGGAAAAGTCAGCGATGCGAGCCTGAAGCTTTTGCCAGTACTTCAAGAGTACAGACTGGAGCTCCTTTACCCCGAAAGTGAGGGAAATATTCATTTCCGGGAGGAGAAGGAAGACTACCTTGACATGGTTAATACGTTGATAGATTTGATAAGTCCATAAATAAACATGAATAAAAAAATACACCGGTGCTGGAGCTAGCCTGTAGGTCTCGAAAATCAGTGAAAAGATACTCAAGGTTCTCATTAAAATTAGCACGGCTACTCCAATATCGGCAGTTGAGCTTGGATTTACTCGATAAAAATGAACTGTGTTAGTTACACTATATTGGAACTTTAGATTTAAACCCTCGATATCAATATATTCAGACTTAGTCTCAACCTGGTTCACCCGCGCTTGGCAACTCTGGAGTCTCTTGGCTCGGCAAGCTTGCAAAAAAACCTGCCAAGTTCTTCTGGGGTTTTGTTCCTGGTTTCTGGGACGTAGTATAAAACAAACGCAGCACCACAGAAGGAACAGAGACAAAAGATGAATCCAAGTCCGAATCCGATATTTTTCACAATGACTGGGGTGGATAGAGAAATTATAAAGTTAAAGGTATTGTTCGTAAACCCCGCGAATGACATAGAAGTTTGTTTGATAGCGATGGGGTAAATTTCATTCAATACCAAGTTAGGAATTGGGCCCCAGGTCATGGCAAAGCTAGCAATAAAGCAACAGGTGAAGGCTATCATCAATATCCCATTTGCCTTGGGCGAGAAAATGTTCCAGTTACCGACACTCGAGTAGGTTAGCATGAAAACTGCCATTGCTAGGGCACCTATTAGCAACCCAAATTTTCTACCAAACTTTTCGATGGCAAGGACGGCACAAATAGAAAACACAAGGTTTACTAGCCCAAGACAACCAGAACACATATACGTATCTTCAAGTCCTATGGAGGTGAAAACTTCGTTTCCGTAGTAAAAAAAGTAATTGATCCCCGATAACTGTTGAAACCCCATTAAAATCATCCCCATCAGAACCATTGGAGAAAATTCTTTGTTTTTGAGGAGGCGTAGAATGTTGGTGGGCTTGGATGCCTCAAGGTTAGTTGAAATCGATTGGTACAAGTAGTCTAATTCTTCGGTGACCTCGGCGTCATTTGCCTCTTTATGGAGTATTTGAGAGAGCGACACCCTAGCCTCTTCAAAGCGAGACTTTTGTATCAAGTACCGAGGGGATTCAGGAAAGACGGAGATACACAATACGGTTATAATAATTCCCCAAAGGGCCTGAAAAACAATGGGTAAACTGTATAGAACCCTCGAATCGAGGTGGTTTCTCGAGAGGAAAATCATGGAGACCTGGCCCAAGAATATAAAGAGAGAACAGTTCACCTGGTAGAAGGAAACGCATAAACCCCTGATACTGGAAGGAGCGCACTCTCCAATTAATACAGGGCCGATAACGTTTAACGAGCCGACTCCTAAACCTGCCAAAACCCGGCCACCGCACAAGCAAACCCAGTTCTCCGCAATGATAGAGACGGACTGTATGATGACTCCAAGGACATACATAAAGGTGGCAGCCAATATTCCTACCTTTCGGCCGTATGTATCTCCAAGTTTTCCCAAAGCTAAACCGCCGAAGGCACATCCGAGACTGAAAACGGAAACTACGAGCCCTAGGACTGCTTTGTCGAACGTATATTCTACACGTTCGGTTGATTTCATGAGCCTATTGCCAAATTTTGCTTGAAAAACCTGGGAGCCGGTGTAGCCTCCAATGGTCCCCACGTCCCAGCCTAAGGGTATGGAGCACAAACTGATCGTAAGACAGTACCCGATGCAGTACTTGTATCGACGGATTGACTTCGAGGAGAATCGTTCGTTCGGGGATGCCGAGACTTGGCAATGCAGAGACTCATCCCGGGCTTTTTTCTCTTCATCTTCTGTGACTGGTTCAGGTTTTACCACCCTTAAGGCTGAAGAAGATACATCGTTAGATACAGGCAGTCTGGCAGTCATATCTCGAATCTGAGATCTTACTGTGATCGCTTTAGGCTTTAATAAAAACGATTCTGTTATCTTGATATTCCTGGGACTTGTTTAATATTATTTAAAAATGTACACCCGAGGACCCAATAAGGACGGTGCAGTTGCATTTGTGATGTCGGATTGCGGCGTATGTCTAGAGTGCATCAAAGTACAAATTAGTTAACTGCAGCTCTCCTGGCATTTTACCCTACCGACACAATACCGCTGGTCTACTATTACAAGGTTTAATGGTTTAAAAAATGAATCAAAAGCTCCAAAATGCAACTTATTCGTCAAAGATCCAGCCAGAAGTATCAGATTCAGGACCTTCAAGGGTGCCTGTACAGAGCACCTCCGGTGGTTTGGGAAATCTGCAGGCAGAGGTAATGCAGGATAGACTTCATCCTAGCTCTGCCCCAATCCAGTCCAATCGATACCCATAGGCCAGCATTAATATATCTATATCTCAATAATTACCAGATTTAACACTTCTCTAACGTTGTATATTCGAAATACCCCTCAGTCTATGCCTTTATATCTCCACGTATTGTACTATTTATTTTCGTATAATACAGTACGGCTGTATATCTGGTACTGTAGTAAATATAAAGTTAAGAATTGAAATATAGATTTTAACTAGTTAAATATTTGGCATTTAAGTATATTACAATTGTATACATATATTATTTAATATATAAAACAATTAGTCTCCATTATCTTGCTCATCAATCTAAACCAAAGTATTGAAATACATTCAGATAGTTTTATAAGTTACCCAATATTAAATATAAACTAATACTATTACGGCTATGAACTCCCAACAAGTCTAGAGGAAAATACTCCAGTAAGTTGCTCGTCCAAAGGTTGGGCAACTCCCCTCAGTCTATCTGGTTTAAAAATGTAAACAAAGGAGCCGCTAGCGCCGCACACTGTAGTAACCCTAGATTAAGTTTTTTTTTTACGTTCCTTCTCCTTTTGGCATAGCGTTTAAGGCTTACGTACAGGACTTTACACAGACCCACATTTATGAGATTGAGGAAGCACCCCTTGAGAAATTGATGGATCTCATTGGTCGCTGTCCAAAGCCGAAACTTGGCGTATCTCGGGTCACAAAATTTTATTTTTCCCGCTGCGTCCCGCCACCGGGTTCGCAGCGTCCCGTTATGAGTTTGCTACGTCGCCTCCTTTTAGCGCCAGCGAGGCTGCTCCAGTTTAGCGGTCGCCGTTCATAGTCAGCAGCATTCGCACTTTTTTTTTCGTTTTTCGTTCTACAACGATCCTTGAACTGCAAACACATATTTTTCGGGACTCGAATCCCTGTATGCTACCAAAGTTGCTACGACAAATAAAAAGGGGTTGGAAAATGTAACACCTACGGGGTAAACCATAGTAACAATAAGAATGTTAATCCATTAAGATAATATACAATTGTTCTTGTTGAAGCATGTCAAACAAAAAGAGAGAAACGAAATAAAAAAAAACCCAAAAACCTTTTCCTGGTACCATAAGTTGTGAAGTTTTTTTTTCGTTGTTTAACCACCGAAACCGTACAAAGTACGACCTTGTCTCTTCAAAGCGTAAACGACATCCAAGGAAGTAACAGTCTTTCTCTTGGCGTGCTCAGTGTAGGTAACGGCATCTCTGATGACGTTTTCCAAGAAGGACTTCAAGACGGATCTGACTTCTTCGTAGATCAAAGCGGAAATACGCTTGACACCACCTCTTCTTGCCAATCTTCTGATAGCTGGCTTGGTAATCCCCTGGATGTTGTCTCTCAAGATCTTTCTGTGACGCTTGGCACCACCCTTACCGAGACCCTTACCACCTTTACCTCTACCGGACATTATGTATGTGTATGTGTTTTGTTGTTGGTTATAATAAAAGAAAGAAAGAAACTGGTGTCTTTATTTCTCGTACTAATATAGTTTGTATGGAGAGAAAGAAATGTCACAACTTAAGAGGGGAAGGCGTGATATATATATTGCTAGGTGGCTGAAGGTGCGAGCGCACAGTGCCGCTAGGGGCACTGGGCCTTCGCGCCTCTCGTTAGTTCGCGCATCGGTAGAAGCCTCTACCGTGTTTACACCAAAACAATAACATGTACTAAAATTTACCGAGACACGCATAGCAATCATGCAGCATAGCGTAGAACCTAGTCTGTCTCGATTATCCTGCGCAGGCTTTGAGGGCTAACAAAATAGACACAAGTCGTGCGATGACCAAAGTGTCCCACCTCCAAACGTAAATAATAACACACAGCGACAAAACAATAACACCAGTGCGAGAAAAAAACACCTATACTACCGCGCACGGAACGAACATGCATCAGAACGCATGACTATTTTCCGATTTTCCACCGGGTTGTTTCTTTTTGTCGCGCCTCATTATTGGCATATTGCCTTCTGCCCAGTCTCTGCGCCCTCGATCCCCAATTTCCCGCACTTCTCTTTGCGCACGTCTCGCCTTCCGCCGGTACCGTATATAAGAACGTCACACCCCCCGCCAGATTGGACAAATAATTTTTTCCTTCTTTCTTTATCTAATCATTACACATTATCGAAAATGGCTAGAACCAAGCAAACAGCTAGAAAGTCTACCGGTGGTAAGGCTCCAAGAAAGCAATTGGCCTCTAAGGCTGCCAGAAAGTCTGCGCCATCGACCGGTGGTGTCAAGAAGCCACACAGATATAAGCCAGGTACCGTTGCCTTGAGAGAAATCAGAAGATTCCAGAAGTCTACTGAGTTGCTCATCAGAAAGTTGCCTTTCCAGAGATTGGTCAGAGAAATCGCCCAGGACTTCAAGACCGACTTGAGATTCCAGTCTTCCGCCATCGGTGCCTTGCAGGAATCCGTTGAAGCCTACTTGGTCTCCTTGTTCGAAGACACTAACTTGTGTGCCATTCACGCCAAGAGAGTTACCATCCAAAAGAAGGACATTCAATTGGCTAGAAGATTGAGAGGTGAAAGATCCTAAGCTGTTGATTACACACGCACAACTGGTGTCTAATCACCTTTCGGGTTTCATATGATGGGTCTTTTTCATGCTAACGGTTTATCTCTTTCTACTTCCTTTACTTCTTTACTGTATATTAGTTATCTCTTATTAAAATATAACATGCCCTGTTAAGTTTGTTGTAGATTTCGAGGTTTTACGTGTGTTGGGATTGGATTCCGGTGTACTATTCAACCAAGGGTGTATATTAATATACGTCGTAGTATAATACACGCTCTATAGCATTTCCTACAAAGTAGGATATTACTGCTCCGAATAAAGATTATGTGTCAGTGCTTGCCAGCTCCAGTAAACCTGAACGCCAGAGCGATTCTTTTTTTCAAAAAGGTGGGAATATTACAGACCCTGTAAATTATTTACGCTCGCCAGAGCCGTCCTAAGGAGTGGACGTCGTATTATTGGATAGAAGAAATCTTGCGTTCGCGAAGGATTATCGTGCAATGTGGATGCGCACTAGTGCCCAGTTTCCAGGAGACACAAATGCTAATTAATTGCGCAGAAATTTTCGAAAGTTTGTTCATGTATGGCAAACCGCATAAAAATCAGAATCTATATTTCGTTTGCCATAGTGTAACGGCTGGCGCAGTTTATTTTCACCGAGAAAACCCCATATTCGATTTCCAGTATCGGAATATTATTTCCTTCAACTTGCTTGCTTTTGTTTAAATGGCAAGGAGGCTAGGAAGTCAGTTTTTGTAGATGTCATCCATTCTGGGACTCTGAGGGAAGGCAGAGTATCGATTAGAAAGCTTCCTGAGACGTGGAAGTTTGGGCTACTGCACAACCCCATAATTATTGAACAAATACGCTTTAATTCAACTGAGAAACCGATAACGGAACTATCCAAACCCTTTACTGCCGGTATCTCTAACTAAGGGTGGAAGTGAGGAATCGACATAAAGCTGGATGCCCCAATTTTATCATGCTAAATGGCCTCGTAGTACTACGTTAGATAGATGGTACGACGTCGCCAACCACCTTCATACAGATTGGACCGTTCTCATCCCCATCTGACTTGTATGAATATCCTATCAGTCACATATTTATGCTATCTACCGTATCTATATAAGTAGCTACTTATAACTGAAAAGTCATAAATGACCTAGATCAAATAACCACAAATCGGACCAAAAAAAGGTAAATTTTACTTCTAAGCTAGTGAGACCAGAGGCATCTTATAATTCATCTCCAAACTGTTCCACCGATAATGTGAATCTTCTCACGGCCTCAACAAGCTCCTCATCATTTTGCACGGAAGCAAATGTCAACCTGACAAAGTTGGTTGATTCGTCAGAAATCAGGCTGAAAGCCATGTTTTTTCCTAAAACAATCGCGACACCGTTAGTAATGGACTTATATCCGAGTTTAGTGGTTAATTTAGGATAATCCGCTCTGGAGTACGTTTCTGGGATGTTCAAAATAACAGAGATAAACATTCCGGCGGCAGGCTCGATGGGGGTCAAGTAGCCCTTTTGGAAAGCTGGGGACGAGTATAAATGGTCCAAAAAGAGCTTCTTTCTGTGGGCATAGGCAGCTCTCACCTTGAGGATCCACTGGAGCCAGCCATCTACACCCCCTAACTTCTGAGCCACACTGTTCACCAAGAACTGGGACGGGCCAGAAGGGGATCTGGTGGTGATAGTGGAGTATTCAGCCATAACCTTACTGAAACGCTTGTGGGCTACAATGAATCCTAATCTCAAGCCCGGCCCGAAAAGCTTTGAGAAGGTTTCAACTCTCAAGACCCTGCCTTCCGTGTCAAGTGTCAAGTAGGACGGGGCGAGCTCCGTCTTCAAGTATTCTTCTATGGTAATTTCGAGCAGCTTTTCTGGGTTGCTGAGAACCTTTTCGTAACTCGGAAGAGAGATGTATCCGTATGGGTCGTCCTCAATAATGGTCAAGTCATGTTGCTGAGCCAAGGTGTAGATCGCCTTTCTGGTCTCCAAGCTCAGGGTGATACCGAGAGGGTTCTGGCCAGTAGGGATGGTGTATAATACCTTTGGCTTAGGATGGTCTGGGTAGTAAGCCGTCCAATTTCCCAATAAATCCGCCAAATATGCGATATCAATCCCCTCACCCTTGTTCTTGACGGTCAACTTGACTGGGATGGGAACACCACCAGTTTCTTTGATATTGGCCAAGAATGGAGTAAAGGTGAATTCTTCCACCAAAATGGTATCTCCTGGATTCAACAACAAATCGGCAGCCTTGGCCAAACCACTGGATGCCCCATTGGTCATCAGAACATCCCACTCGTCGTATGCAGGCTTGTGGCATCTGGTGATCAAGTCGCGGGAAAACCTCAAGATCGGACCCATACCCTCAATCGCAGAGTACTGCAAACCGTCACTAATAGCGATGTCCGTGTCATCCCTCTTAGTTCTTGGAACCGTGGCCACATTGGCAGTGCCAGGTGTGGTGGGAGAAATGCCGCCTGCAGCTGAATGATAGTTGGTCCCGTACGAGCCCTGAAAGGGCTCATCGACCAAGTGAATATCAATGAACTCAATTGGGAAGAAACCGGCATGTGGACAGCCAGGACCGAGCAAAATTGGGTTCGGGTGTCTCACAAGGCCCTCTGGGGCATCGTTGAAACTGAAGTGCGTGAGCGTTCTAGAGCCCGCTCTCTTGGAGATGTGGTGTTCTAAGGCGAACTTTGGGGATTGAGTTTCCTCTGCTTTAGCGAACATGATACGTATGGGTTATTGTGAATCAATAAAGCTTCCTTTAAGGGAGTGAGAGATGAGATGTAGTACCAGGGGGAGATAAGCCTTATATAGGAATATTCCTCCCGCCCCGCAGTTATGAAGGAAGTGCGTTTATCCGGAGATAAATATCACCAGCCGAGGCTCGCTATAATTACCATTGGTCCACAATACACAGTTGCGATAATATTTACCAGTTCAGTAAGGAGGCTACCATTCCGAAGACCATATCCGACCTTCCTTCTCCTCTTGGATGGTTGCCTAAAGATCTTGCGTGGTCATCGCGATACCCTTGCGTGCGTCGAGCCACATATTAGGTTTGAGGTTGATTAGTAATAGAAATCCACAGTTGGGGCGACACTGGTTCTTCGCAAATCCAAATTGCACAGGTTTCCATCCGCTAAAGGTCCAAGTAAGTTGGGTTGAACCGTCCATGAAGGTTGACAGTTAATGAAACGCATATTTGAGGAAAAACACTTCGGAAGTGATCTTTCATATCACCGTGGGTTTTTATGCACGTTAATCAGTTTTATCAATCCTCCGATATAGTGTAACGGCTAGCACGGTTCGCTTTCACCGAGCAAACCCGGGTTCGACTCCCGGTATCGGAGTATCGCTTTTTTTTTTAACGAAGGCCAAGAGACGTATCATCTTGTCACAGTGATACAGTGGATTGGTTCAAAAGGATACGTGATAATTCAAGATGGACAAACTTTTTATATTTCAGGGTAAACACACCCACAACAGGTTTTGACTGCCTTTCACCAAAAATGCAGTATATCTAAATATTAATTTACGGTTACGGAAATGGAGCTGTAACCATCGAGTGTTCAGGTATGACTGGTAAATTCCACCTGTAGGACACTGCTGATTCCTTCTGACACGGGCTTACAAAAAAACCAAAGTTGTAACTAGTGCTACCGTTGGCTCGTCCTCGCTGTGCTCGTTACAACTTCGTCACCCTTCTCAGCTGCACAAAATCCACCATGCTAATCACCTCGCTCTTGAACTCGTAATCCCCGTACGTAAAGAAAAGCTTTTGGTTCATCGAGTAGTTCCCATCATAATAATATATGAAGTCAATCAAGTTCATGAACCGCATAAAGTAATCCTCCTTGATGATCCGCAACGCCTCCACCGTACCCTTTTTCTCCTTCTTTTTGTACATCTCCGTTGTTCTGGTATCGTTGAGTAACCAGATGACGTTCACCAAGTTCATCTTGTTAATCGATTCGTGATATTTAATATCATAATGTGGCTTCCCCAACTGGATCTGCTTCAATAACTGTTTTACGGAGATGCCCTCGTTCTGATCCCTGATCAAAATCGAGTGGAGGTTGTGGAGACAGAGCTGGAGCGTCTCCAAAAACGGCTTTACAAAAAGTGACAACCGCATCAACGCGGGCTTATTGGTAACCTCGTAAATTGCTTGGTTTTGGGCCAAATCTTCGTCTGTCTTCACGATAAATCCACTTTTCAAGAACCTGTCCAAAAAAACATCAATTTTCAGCACGTACAAGAACTCCATGCGGAAGGTGCTGCGTAAGAAATGGTACACGCGGGTGATTTTGCGCTTAGTGAGAATCTTGTTGTAGTTGTAGCTGAAACGGCTGAGGAGGAGGATTACCAAGGCTAAGATACTTTCTTCGATGTACAAGTGGAGCATGAGGTTCTTGTAGTACATCATTTCAATGGAGCTCTCGATTCGCAATTCGTGTTTCTCTACGACCCTGAGATGTCCCCCCGACGGCTTCACCACCTTGATGCTCTTGCCCAAAAACTTGCCCACGTTTACCTCTATCAACTTTGCCAACTCCCCGCGCAGGTGGTTACGCGTGATATCCAGCAAATACTTGTACAGCGTGTCGTGTGAGACAAGATGCTCCACCAACCATTTCATCTCATCCACCACGTCGTACGTGCTCACAAGCGTGATTTTGTTCTTGTACTTCACCTGGCCCGACGTATTCTTGTACCTCGCTTCATCCACGGTGTGATCAAGCTTATCGTACGCGTTGTAGTAGTGGACATAGAGCGCAGTCGTGACAAGCGCGATATCGGGGATGTACGCGGAACGATTGACCGCATGGAGCGTTTTGAAGCCCAAGCTGATGATGTTTTCGCTCGCACTGAGCGCCTGTTGCTTTGGCAGCGCGAGAAAGTCGTGGAGCTTGAATGATTTGCCCAAGTTCACAAAGATCCTGCCCTTTCCCTGGGCAACCTCGTTGCTCCAAGATGGCAAGATGTTGCTCACCCCCGCGTTGATGATGCGCAAAAACGACTCGGACTTTTTGTCGTTACCCATCAACTCGTTCATGTAGCCATCGCTTTCATACAACTCCTCGTACTGGATCGCAACCGGCTGCATCAACACGTCCAACGCACCGCCGCGCGCGCGGTCCTGCGCCACGATACTCACGATGTTCTTCATGATCCCGAACTTTGGCAACAAAAGCTTCCCATTGCGCGATCTGGTTCCCTCAATAAACACCTCAAAGTTCACCTTCTTGCGCAACAAATACTCGGTGAAGTGGTGCAAATTTTCGCCCGTGTAGAAGTCACCCGCGAACGTGCGCTTGATGAAGATCGCGCCCATGTTCTGCAAAAGCTTTCCAAACACCGCCACGTTCAAGTTGTCGCCCGCGATGACTGCGGGGAGCGAGAGCTGAAACTGAATGCAGAGCAAGTGAATGATCATGTAGTCCACATGCGATTTGTGGCTCGGACAGAAGATGACCGACATTGGGTCCGCGTAGAGCTTAGCATGGAGCACAAGAAACTCATGTTTGTTGCACCAGATGCCTTGGGGGAAGATCTTGGTGAAGATCTTCATAACCGTAAAGTAGCTGACACGCAAGAGCGGCAAGCTTTCAAATTTGGGGAAGTTTGTCTGGTTGTGCGTAGCGTAATACTCCGCCATGAACGTCTTCACCTGCTCGTAGCGTGCTGCGCGTGATGCCGCGTCGTCTTTGACGAGCCCATTCGCGACCTCTTGCGCCACGACTTGCGCTACGATGGCTGCCAACTTCTCGTCGTGCGCGAGCTTCTCGCGCATGTGGCTCAACATGTCCTTGTGGAACGGCGCCTCTTTGTTGTACAACTGCACCGGCTTGTTCGGGTGGCGGAACTCATTGTAGGTGTATACCTCCGAGTATTTACAGCTGGAAATGGTCTCAAGGAACGTCCCGAGGATCGAGAACTCACTCGCATGTGCATTCAAGTTCTCTGGCGCCGGGAATGGAAACTCCAAGGGAATCGTCGGCTGCCCGAACGGGTTTTCCAAGATGTTGAAGTCAAATTGGGAGTCCATATTAGATCAATAATGGCAATAGAGTTAAATGACAATGGAGTAAAATGGAATAGCAATAAGAATTGCGACGAGGGGCAGGTGAAATAGGACTAACTGCGAGTGTAGTGAGCCCGGGAGAATCCAGGAGAGGATCGAAATATATACCCCCTGGCAGAAAATTCTCAGGAGGTGGCCTAAAATCCCTAGGCGAGTGGTGTGGGGAACATACGGTGCGGCACTTCTACGGACGCACGATCCCTTATGGTGTAGATCTGTCTCGTGAGTGCAGAAAGTGTTGGGACGCAGCTGAGGATGGCCCTGGGCCAGAGTCGAAGGTCGGCAGAATTTCATACCAGGGGGTCGGGATTAGCGGCTGGACAAGATATAATGTATTATATCTCATGTTAGACAATGAGCTTTGATATTGATCAAATCGTATCGTCTATTAATCTAGTCAAAAAAAACAAAAAAAACTATGGTATATATAGTGGGCAATAGTGATACTGTTAGCTAGCTAAAAGAGAATACATTTCATCGGTAAGATATGCACAATAGGAGGAGTCTATGTATTGAGGGATGCATTGTCATGGTTGTCGATATATCCTTGAATTTGCTTGAGGAGGATATGGTACCGAAATGTCCGGTGATCGGCAGTTGTATAGATTATGATCTGATTAGAGGTAAGGAGATCGGCTGATGATATCTGTCTGGTGAAATGGCACCTTCAATACAAAGCTCCTGGTTGCCCTCATGCTGACCATGGATTTACGCGGTGGTATAGGTTCCCGTGCCCCATGAGAGAAACAAAAACCACAGGGTATACTGAGAGCAGTTTACCAAAAGTACCGGTGGAAACATTTCTGAGGAGATTTTATTGCACTGAATAACCTGAAGCCACTGGCCTCAGATGTTCTATAGAACGACGGAGGAGTGTCTGCCTGATACTCAGAGTTACTGTAGAGTACGTACGAACGTATATCTGAGACTGAAACTTGGGAAGAGGGAGAACGGTTCTTGGTACAACCAATTAAATATTCAATTTTATAATAAAGAGTCAGGCAGCCGCTGTGGATTTCCACCCGATATTTCTTCAGATGAGCGCTACACCCGTGATTAAATGGAGATTGAAGCTTCAATAGTGAGTGAAGCTGCGCCACAGAAATGTAAGGCTAGATTAGTGGAGGTGGAGGCGGTGCAAGACGTACCCAAAGAGACACGTACTCAGATCGCGAGCAGGGTATAGTTCGCGGACACACATCAACTGGAAAACTCGGGCCTCCAGACGACACCGCGACTGCCAGGTCATTCATCTTTACACCGTACAAAAACATAAGCACTTTTACTCTACCTAACAGTGATCTACCAATACCCAAAAAGCAATACACAATGGTATGTATTCGGTCAAGACCCCACGTTAGCGGTCTTTCTGCCGTGTGTCTTAGCTCGCACTAACATGATAGGCCCAACAAACTCCAAAGCAAAGAGCCGCCAACGTCAAGTTCGCCAAGAAGATCGAAAAGAACATGGGCAAGCCGAAACAAGTGAAGGCCCAGGAGTTCCCTCTTTCTAAGACCTGGATCGCCATCTTGGCGTTCTTGATTGCAGGCGGTGCCGTCTTGGAAATCTTGCGCCTTTTCTTCTAGATGGTGCAAAGTGAAAGTCCCTAATCCAGATTAACCATCAACACGCCGGCACTAGAGGCATTTTGCCAGGCCTTGGTCCTCCAAACCCAGTCTATTGCATCTACCGTTACATCGATGTATTTGCACAGTTTTCCTCATCGTGTTAACGGCCTGTCTCTATTGTTGCCAACGATTACCTGATATCGCTTTTATTCACTCCCCTTATTTTGCTATATTTTGTATAGAAACCTGTACCATTATCTCTGAACTCTCTCACCTGTATCGGGGTTGTAGAAACAGAAGTAGCCGCGGAGAAACAAACAGCCGGCTGCATTTATTCAATATAGAAAGGCTCTAGACTAGGATAGTTTCTGAAATATAAACCGAACGGCCCTTACATTTCCGTCATTTACCTCTAAGACTCATTTAGTGGGGAACGGGTATATATTCGCGGAAACCGCGTAATTTCAAGACAATTATTTCGCGTAAATTCAGAAATTACAGGAGCTCACGACACCTTCCGTAGCTCCAGTATTACCATTCATGGTATCCATTTCGATCTTAGTTCGGGGGCTGAATTTCATGGTACTTAGCGACATGCTAGACTGGCCTTTATGCGGCCTCTCTCAATTGTCTTGCGTTAAGTGGAATCATGAATTCCAGCATTACCCCACTTTCTACAGCTTCTAATAGTACATTAATGATATGAGCATAAACAGGGTCATGAGAGTAAATGGAAAATAATGCGCGGACATGCGATTTTTTTTTAGCGATTTTCGTCGCTGGAGCCTGGAACCGAGGACACAGGCGATGGGGTGGACGAATTCGAGATATCCCGCAACCAATGTTCCTCCTCTTCATTGAAGCCAGCTTCGAATTCAACATCACGGAAGTTTTCAAAGCCGGGGGAGGACATGTTGCTGCTGTGGGCCAACATGGGGCGCTTTTCGGAGGCGTCTTGGTTGAAGTCGAGTGTGTCCAAGCGGATAGGCAAATTGGAGTCTTTACGGCCGCGCTTCTTCTGGGGTAAATTCGACCTGGTTCGCCTGGCGATGGGACGCGGCTCCTCGTCTTCGACCAGGCTGAGGCGGTAGTAGCCACAGGAGACAATCTGGGCAACTTTGCGCATGGTACGGCGGAAGTGGCTGGAAATTACCCAGCAATAGAACAAGTACTCGAGGTAGAAGACCACAAAGGCGACGCAGAACCCAACAAATACCGTCAATGCGATGTGGCGTGACAAAGACTTGATGAACTTGGCGTCGTCCAAGTGCCAGGAAGAGCCCGGGGCAATGAGGAAGAAGGAAAACAGATTGCCCTTGTAGTCAGCTGGCTGTAAGATGCGCACGACGCCTTCTGCGGGGACGCCCCAGCGCTTGTATTGCTTCCACATAACCGAGAGGAAGAGCGGGCCGGTGGAGTACATGATGGTGATGTAAGGCACCAACCAGTTCTTCTGGTATGGCCCGAGATTTTCGATAACCTTCAAGAAGAAGGGGTGCTTCGGCATGGAGCCCATGACATCATTGGATATCCCAGTCGGAATCGTCTTGCGCACAAACGCGGGAACGGTGAGCAACGGATCCAACTTGCGGTTGCAGCCATCGTCTAAGTCGATGTAGACCCCACCGTAGTGTGAGAGGACAAAGTAGCGGATCGCGTCCGCGCGTTCGATTGGGTACGGGTATGCATCCCACGTGGGAAGGAACCACGGGTATTCTTTGGCAATAAAGTCGCGCGCCAGCTCGTCTGTCCACAAGATGTACTGGTAATCGGGATGGAGGTCTTTACACGCCTGCTGGCCCGCCTTCCATATCTCGGGAATTTCTGCTGTTTTGTATGTCTGGTGGATGATGCGCGGAATGAGTTCGGGCTTATTTGTACCGGCAGGCGGGTTGATATCTGCGTCGAGGAGCGCGTCCACAAACGAGTCGTCGTGGAGGAGAGTGATGAGGTCAAATGTGCAGTATACGAGGAAGAGTACGACAGCGACATGGAAGCCGATGATATAATGAACTTCTTTTCTCATGGGAAGGCCAGTGAGGTCTATGCAAAAGGAAGTGAAATGGATAGGGCGAGGTTCCGTGAGCGTTTTTGGGTCCAGTGACTCGTATTGTGCCGAAGAAATAGGACACTATACAGAGAGTTTATCTGCGGTGATATGGTAATTGCAAGATTAGTGAGCTGAAATTGGCAATGGTCAGGTATTGCTGAGTCTGTTGAATGTCTGGGGATTGGAATAGCAACAAAAAATTTGGCTAGTGTGGTTCTGAAGTATAGCGCGAACGAGGCATTGCTAGTTTTTAGTGTAATAAATTTCTCCCTACATTCTATCTTTGTTGTGAGTTTTTCCTTGATTTCTCCCACGATTTTCGCTGAACACGCGCGTGGTGGCTCCCATTTTGTGGGAGGATTTCTTTTTTTCGCGCGCGGTGAGTAGGCCGGTGGAAAAAAGGAAAGAATTAGCCTCAATCTGGATATGCCTGCGCCATGACGCATGCGCTTCCCCCGTTTGGAGCTGGATAGATTTTGAGGATACCAAACAGCAGGGAAACAAAATATATGATGTATCAAAGTGCATAATATATTTGTAGCAATGGAGAGCTACATAACGGGAATTTACTTGATGTGGTCACCCCAGCTACATGTATCGTGTACGCTGCGAGGGGTGCGATTGCACCTTGTGTATTTGCTGCGGATGAGTGGGGCCGAGCTGAGGCGATGAAGTATTGCAATTTATAGTTGTGTGTGATGGATATCCTGAAGTTCCGCAGGGGCAAGGATACCGAAAAGTATGCGTAGCGGTGGGATGCTTGTTCAAAGGAGTGGGGATTTAACCTTCATCCAGGCTACACTTACTGGTGGGTTTAAGGAGGCGGAGTTACGCGAAGCATGGGACATATTTAGGGCTAGCGCGTTCTAGCTGTGACCAAAAGTACTCCGAAAGCGCGTCTTTGGGGGTGGGCTGATACGCAACCTGCCGAAAAACTTATGGAAAATACTTATACACGGAAAGCTGATATTACGTTATCATTATCTTGATTCAGAGTTAAGTGGACAAGTACACCATTTCTGTGTTTGTGCTGCTCTGACCACCGTAGATTGATGAACGTGCATGAGCGTCCGCTAACAGCCTTTCCTGATAAATGGCATTGGGTCAGTAGATGCTATTTTGGGGTTTCTGATCAGCAGGTATCGCTAAAAATAGCTACGGAGGACTGAGGAAAGCGAAAGCCTTAGGCCCAGATACCCAAGGGTAGATCGGTTATTGCGGGTGCCACGGGAGCTAAAAGCTTACAAGGCACTAGCTCTTAGCCCACGCCCCTATGATTTTTTGAGAACCCAAAAGAAGATAGGATGTACTATTCCTATACACATTTTATTATCGCGACTTTTAGACCCATACCAGTTTGAGGAGCTAGAGTATGCCATTTCCTACACCATTCGTAAGACTAATTTATTGAGAGGATACCATTCATACTTAAAACACACACAGAGTATGAATAGCGACCATTCATACACTGCAAGGCACCAGCCCATCCTCCGAAAATGGCTGGAACGGGACCGTGATACGATACCTGTGAAGGGCTAACCCTTTGTCACCCACTAGGTTTACTATTTCATCGATAGTGTATGAATAACGCTGATTCACTTAGCTTCCAAAGTATGAATCTCCAGCCGAATTACCTACGAATGGCTTGGCCCTCCGTATATTGGCCCAAACCGGACCTGAATACGCGAATTGTAGACTACGTTTCGAGCTTGTACTTAACTCTGGGATATCTAATTTCTCGGCTTCGGCGGGTATCCACATTGATTTTGTCAGCTACTTTCTTAGCTCAGATAGGCTATGCTTCTAGAAGTTAGATTCTTACCGAAATAGACCATCCTGGTGCTAATGAATCGACCTTTAAACGCGAGGGTATCTTAGTGCTTACGGACAACTAGCCCCACTACCTCGTGAAGGGAACCTTTATAGTCATAGTTTAAACAGTATATATAAGATTCGAACAGTCATATCTGAGGTTGCAACATTTTCGTGGTTATGACCGCCATGTTGGCGTCTCATCTTGTAGTCTTTCTGGCTAGAGGTCTATTGCAGCATACATATGCACAAACAAATACAATGCGCAGTGCCAGGACTATATCACATAGCACTAAAACCCCTTGTTTCCCATATTTATCCCATTACTTCGGCAGAAAAAAGAACAGAAATAGAACCAAAAATAAGTGAACCAAAAATAGGCCCCAGATTTCACCAAGCTCAAGGTGAAACGGTACCAAAGTAAAGTGGGACACATACTGGACCTGAATGGACCATAATCAGGGAAGGCAGACGGTTTACGGGGAACTAATACTATCCTAGACAGAAGATTTCGATGAAGTTTTAATTCCAGTACGTAAATTAACTATATACAATAAATAAGAAAACGCCTAGGCGGAGGTGACGGTAAAGCTTTCGGTGCGGATCTCAGCGGTGACACCCTTGGCACCAATAGCTGCAGTGACAAACTTCATGTAGCTCTGTGGACCCAACACATAGTAGTCAAGCGCATTGGTGACAAAGTCAAAGTCAGTTTCGGCCAAACGGCGGTTGTGAACGGTGTGATTGACAGAGTCACTCTCCTTCGCGTTCCCAGCACTGACAAACTCAATTAGTTTGAAGTTAGGGTGGGCCTCGGCCACTGCGTGTAATTGGTCGGCAAAAGCACGGCATTCGGCGTCGCTATTGGAGTAGAATAATCTGACATCTTTCGTGGAATCGTCAGCCAAGGCAGTCTTGATGATGGATAAAGCTGGGGTGATACCGATACCACCCACGAAGAGGCTCAAGCCAGTCTTTTCCACTGGCTTTTGGTAGACAAAGTCGCCACACGGAGGCGTGATTTTGACCACGTCGCCGACCTTTAACTCTGAGTGTATAAAGTTTGAAACGACACCGTTGTTGGTATCACGACGACAGGAAATACGGAAATGGGAGGTGTTTTCTGCGACGTCTGGCAAGGACAAGGAGTACTCACGGGAGGTTTCTGCACCATTGATGGTCCATCTGGCACAGACATATTGACCCGGTAATGGCTGGACCAATTTTGGGTTACCGCCAACCGGCTTGAAGTACACAGACTTGACATCCTTGCATTCGTCGACGATCTGGGATACCTGGAAGTCGCGGAAACCAGCCCATGAGTTGGCTTCCGCCTGCTGCTTCTCGTACCCGCTCTTTTCGGCCTCAATCAAGATGTTGGCCAAGTCATAGTAGGCAACCTTCCAGGCCCCCATAAATTCTGGAGTAGCAACAGCGTCGCCACCCAAAAATGCGTGCAAGGTGTGCAAGAGCGAGGTGCCGACAGCGTCATAGTGCCTTGCCTGGACCTGGAGCCCGATGTGCTTGACAACAATTTTGTGTACAAACGGCAAGAGCGGTGTCAAATCGTCGATATTTTTGGCATATGCAACAAGCGCAAAGGCGAGGATCTTTGGCTGGGATTTGGTGATTTGGTGGGCCTTGTTGAAGAACGGGCGGACGTCAGGGTGGTTTTCCAATAAGTGCGCGTAGAAACGGGTGGTCAATTCCACACCACTGGTCTTCAAGACGGGAATGGACGCCTTGATGATATCTTTTTGGACGTCGGTAAGTGGCATTGTGGAGGAGGAGGGCGAGTATACTAAACGATAGCTAGATGTATTTGAGCTGACAAACAGGGGACTGGGGCGTCACTTATGTATCACAGTAGCAATCCATGCTTGGAGAACAGGTGGGTCACCTACCGTAATTCTCCGTGGCTTAGAGGAAATCACATCCCGGATTAGAACTACAGGTGAGTATCTATTTGCTAGCCTTTCATGCCCATCTATATGTGGTGCCACTTTAAACGTGCCAATCCCGGCATGCATAAATCTCTCGCAGGCGTATGCACCTTGCAAATAATGCGTTGACATCTGGCCACTCACACGAACGTGATTACCTATGCAACGAACCAGCCGAGATGTGCCAATGGAGTAACCTGCAAAAGGGTTTCGCCAAAAGTCAGGTTTCTGCAGTGTGGTGACGAATAACCTCAGCTGAATGTACCATCTATCTTACCTGTGCTCGAATTTGGGCCTGTTTCCAAGGGCTGTAATTAGCCATTTCGCCGAGGTATCGGTGCGTCTTTAGCAGATGGTGTCTGTAAAACCGTGTTTACGGCCGTTGCATCTCGAAGCAGGACGGAGTATGTGATGTCGCGTATATTCCTACGGAAGCATGTATACTAGATGGATACCGTAGCATGCTAGGCGGACTTAAAGATAATCGCAGGGGTTGTATCGACATGCGCCCCTGTTGCCTAAAATCGCGCAAATCATTCAGTTCGATTTCTACCCAGTGTGAATCCAAGGGCTTAGATCACCAATTCATAAGGGAATAGGTAGGATCCTCCGGGTTCAATTACCATAAACTCATATTAGAAATGAAGCCGCTTTTCCATCCACAAGAATAGCCCAGTATCAACGAGTTCAAGCGTAAAAACGACTCTGTGCAGACTTTTCCAAATATAATTGGACCGAAGCCAGACCAAGGCTTAGGCAGATTTTAGGAACTATGACGCTACTTTTTGCGCTACGGAACAACCCGGAAGTATAGAAAGCGAACCATGGCGTAATTGAGTCGGTAGCCTTAGGGTACTTGTGGCTCCCAAGCTGCTTCGCATATGCACCGCATGTGTTGGTATATCTATACGCGAAGGGAAACCATCGGCGAATGTAGGGCAAGGCCAGAAATAGCTGGGTCCACAGAACGATCTCTTCTCCAGAGATAGAGTTTTGTTTTGTTAGATAATCGAAAGACGAGAAACCCTTTCCTCTGGAAATTTAACAAAGGATTAAGGATGGCTCCCCGCTCTAAAACCGTGATAGCAACAGGACTATATTGTAGGTATGGTTATAAAAACATATATGCACGTCCAAGTCTATTTCAAAATTTACACACTGATCACGCGGTCGAAAAGAGGAACAACGGCCTATTTGGCATTGTATTCATACACAACCTTGTTGGCAATAGTACCAACACCCTCGAGCTCCAAGGTAACGATGTCATTCTCCTTCAAAAACAGACGATCGGAAACACAAAATTTTGGGAGCTCCAATGGGGTACCAGTGAAAATCAAATCACCTGGCAACAAGGTACATCCCTGTGACAAGAAAGAAACTAATTCGGCACAGTCAAAAACCATGTCTTTAGTGGAACTGTCCTGTCTCAAGCTGTCGTTAACGTGTGCTTTCAAGTTGGTGTCGTCCGGATTACCGAATGCAGCTGGGGCCGCGATTGCTGGCCCAATGGGAGCGTAGTTGTCGTACATCTTACCAAGGGAATATTGCCCACCACCTCGTTCGCCGGACCAGGTCCGCTGGGAAACATCGTTACCAATGCAGTAGCCTAAGACATATTCCAATGCACTTTCTTTTCTGAGGTTCTTGCCGGATTTGCCCATAACGATTACCAACTCAGCTTCGCTTTCGTTGGTATCGGGATCCGTACGTGCAATTTCCGGAACAATAATTGGATCATTAGGGCCACAAACAGAGGTTCGTGGCTTGTAGAATAAGATTGGATACTTTGGAACTTCAACACCAGCCATTTTAGCGTGGGCAGCGTAGTTAAGACCAAGTAATCTGACGGTGTTAATGTCTTTTGGGGCAAGCGGACACAAGAGCTCTTCGATGTCCAAAGTCTCTGAGGTGTCGATGGTATACTCACCATAGATGTCACCGGTGATCTTGTGGGCCTTCTTTGCCAATCTTGTGTCAGTAATACCGTCAGTCAAGACGGCATCACCGTAGTGGGTCTCACCCTTGTTGGCGAAGCGGATCAACCTGGAGAATGTCATTATGTACTATGGACTTGAAAGGTTTGTGTCGAAAACCCAGAAAACCCCAAACCGGCAAAAAGAAGCTTGTGGGGTTCATATATATGCGAAACGAAATACCGCCCTAAAGAAAGATGGGGGAGGCCACAACTCCCAAGTCCATACTGGCGAGCTCTCCAGATTTCTGCATGTCGGCTCGGTGTCTCGGGCATACTTCTCCAGGCTCGGCGAAAGATCTACGGTTGGGAAAGGAAACCGCTCTGGGCGGAGAAATTCTTCCGAGATTGACGCGTTTCTGAACCAGTTCCCAAGAAACTGAGCTATATACGCCCCACTTAGACTCTATATTGTATTACCTACCCTCTCTTCGATCTGGGGCGTAAGGCCAGTCTGAAATAAGTCCTCAGGGTGGAATTTGTGTTGTTTTCTGTAGGTGTGGCTTAAGCCCGGAAGCGGTTGATACAGCTTACGGCAATAACAAGCTATCGGCTCTGACCTAGTAGGGTAAATAAATTTCTGTAGGTAATTAAACTATAACCTTCATGAATATATTCTGCATAAGTAGGATTGCATAATAGTAGGGCGTTATGCTTTATGCACCAAAAAATAGATCCAAATTATTCGATCGATAGGGGAAGAGCTTCAAGGTGCCAGAGAGAACGCCCCCCCCTATAACCCCGGGACTTTACCCACACTGTTGGAATTTACTACGACCTTAAAAAATAGAAACTTAAGAAATCAGGGATTTAATAAAGGTCTACAGACCAGTTATCTTTCAAAGCAGAAGCAGCACGGGATAGGCTGGCTAGTACGGATAAGAAACCGGCTTTTTGTCCAGAGTATGTCCCATGATCTCTTCCTGCTCTCGGGCCTTTTCCTCAAGGTACGGCATAAACACATCATTGTACTTTGCAAGACTGCGATATTTCAGAACATCGTCCGTTCAACTGCAGATCCCATAAAACAACCTTCTGGAAACGAATGGTTCAACACACAATTTCGGGATCGGTAAAAAATATGTATGGATAATGAACACCACGGCGCCGGTTCTTGGAAGCTTCCTCAAGGATTGCCTTTCGCTCCGAAAGTAAAGCTGTTCGGCGGTCTTGGCCACATCAGCGGTACACCACCCAATCTCTGCGCTGTCCTCAGCCCCAATAGCCGATGACCAGGCTATATCGTCATCGGTCTGAATGAAGTAGTTGTTTCTGACCACTGACTTATCTGGTAAAGAATTATTCCATCCCGCTCTCCAACCTCTCGTTATACTTTAAATCATCGCCCGAGGTGTGAATCGCACTCATGGTTATGCCTAGCTTATCTTTCAACCTCCAGAAGTCTGTCAACATGATCACTCCAGCCTTTGAATAGTATTGGCCGTCTTCTTCAATCATAATGACAAGGTCGTCTTGGACCGACTTGGCCGCCATAACCATAGGATTCTCCTTCAACGGATGGGAGGTGAAGTCAACCTTTTCACCCGTAACTATATTATCGAGCCCGGGTGTAGTTCTAACAAATAACGAAGGGTATCTCTCAGGTAGGAAATCACGCATCGCATCTAAGAACTCACAGATGGTGTCATATGATTTTTCGGTAGTGGAGATGTAGACTTCGGACCCTATTTCATCAGCTCTCTCCAACTTTCTTTTATGGTAGACAAGCCACTCGTTATCCATCTCAAACTACAGACTCCAGCCCATGGTACGTATCCCCATAGTGACAAAGTACGTGTGTTTAAAGGTTCTGTACGGCTCTGTCCAAGTCCCATCCCGCAAAAGGCTCCGGATTTGGCGCTTTAAACGACTAAGGTGCCCATTAACCTGGTTTCCGCAGCCTAATGATACTGGCAGGGGTCACAGACTTGGTAGGTGACAGGACCGGAAACGCTTACTTCGGTCTATAGAGCGACAGTAAAATACCATCGAATACGAGAACAAGTACCGCCCAGAGAGAAACTTTTGGTAAAAACGAGGATTTAGAACTAACATCAGCCTCAGAAATTCTCTCCTGAAGGGTATGGAAGATATTTGACACTAATGACATGGTGTATACTCAGCAGCTTGGCCAAAATACTGAAGTGCTACACAGACGGTACTTCTGAGGGAAGGGAGCAGGCATATTTATAACCAAGCTTTGTCATACCGGTAGAGACCTTTCTATTAATCATTACCAATATCGTAAAAGGTGTCTTTCAAGTTCACACACCTAGATATAGCCCAGGATAAAAGAGAAAGATCCTTATCAAAGACGTATGCACGTATGGTTTCTCTCACTTAGAAGTGATGCACTAGGAAAATAATTCCGGCCGGCAGGAGCCATAAACGGTGTGGGCTATCCACCGTAGAAACCTGCGGCCTTCTTTAAAATACAGACATAGACATACTCGATTTAGAGTGCTTTATCGAAAACCCGGATCCCCACAATCCAGGTGCACTTGCCCTCAGTTAGATCTGGACTGGGGATTTGGGTTGAGACTTCAACAGGCATCAGCAGAGATTCAGAACAATATCGGTCTGAGGCTTTTTAAATGGAGTGTACTTCCGTAATGACAATGCATAAGATATTACCAATCAGAATAGTGCCTTGCTTCGTTTCTAAGCAAAATCGTGTGCAGCTACTAAACAATGTGGTGGAATTTTGTGCAGTCGGTGAATTTTTCAGCTTCGCGCAAGTGACCCCTTCGATCCAATACCTCGAGGAGAATGCCCTGGCCGGCGAATTTGGGTTTCCAGATCTCCCGCTCTTTTTTTTCAATAGCCAGTTCTAATATAAGTGTTTAGCTAGGAATAAAATTGGCCATAATAAACAGCACGGCGCACCCGAAGGTGTGATACTTTTGTCCTTGTCATACTCTAAGCTCAATATACAAGACTGTTATTCATATTTGCGTACATAACCCGGAATACAAAGCTTAAAGATAAATTATATAGGAATCTATATTTGATGTCTTCGACTGAACGATTGCCTGATCCGTAGGAACCTCAATGCATCGTCACCTCAATAGAGTGTAGTTCAAATATAATATCCTCACTTCAGCGCTGCACATAGGCGTGGGTTCACTTTTAGTACGGATAGCTGTATGGCTCTTTGTCCAAGGTGAACCCCTTTGCCTCGAGCTCCTGGGCCTTGTTTTCGAGGAACGGCAACAAGACGTCTTTGTACATGGCAAGCCCTCTGAACCGCTCGATATCCTCAGTCCAGCTGCTGATCCCGTCGAGCAACCTTCTAGCGACAAACGGCTCGTCGCACATCTGGGCCACCGGGAAGAAGTACGTGTGGATGGTAAATATGGTGGCACCAGTCTTTGGCAATCGTCTCATGGACTGGCGCTCGCTTCTGAGATAGACTTGGTCAATAGTGGTTGCCATGTTCGACTCGTAATTGCGGTGGAAGTCCTCGCTGGTCTCAGGCCCGAGGGACGCTGACCACGCCAAGTCGTTGTTGGTCTGGAAGAAGTAGTTGTTTCTGAGCACAGCCTTGTCGGGGGTCTGCCGGGAGAAGAACCTTTCCATGCTTCCTTGCAAGTTTTCCTTGTACCTCGGGACGTTTGCCCTGGTATGGATTGAGGATAACGGCAAGTTAATTTTGTCTTTCATACGCCAGGAGCCAGCCAACATCACCGCCCCACCCCGCATATAGTACTGGCCGTCTTCCTCTTCTATCAATATGGAAATATCATCCTGTACCAACTTTGCGGCAATACGCATAGGGTCTTCCTTTAAGGGACGCGTCACGATGTCGAAGGATTCGCCAGTGTGCAAGTTGTCAATCCCCACAGCGGTTCTAGCGAACAACGTTGGATATCTTGCGGGCAAGAACTTTTGCATCTCCTCCAAAAGCTCATACGCCGCCTCCATGGCTTTTCCAGGGTTGGTGCTGACCACCTCACTACCCCGTTCTTCCATACGTTCGAGCTTTCGCTGATGGAACTTTGGCCACTCGTTATCGATTTCAAACCACTTGTCCCATTCCATGGTTCGGATCCCCATAGTGGTGAAGTATGTGTGTTTGAACGCTCTGTAGGGCTCTGGTCTGGTGGTGACAATGTCCCACCCTTCGTACGGCTTAGGCGTGGGGGCTTCATAGATTTCTGGCGTCCAGTGGCCGGACTTGCGGTCCTTGTTGTTGGCCTGCGCTGGGGGAAGTGGTTTCACTTTGGCGGTTTCAGAGAATTTTGGGAATCCAGCAATAAGAATCACGCTGACCAACGTCGCGAGAAGCGCCGTGAGAGTGAGTGTAGAGAAGCCACTGCCCGGTAGCATCGCGTGCACGGATGCGAGGGCCAGGGTGAGGGATTCAAGAACCATTCTGAGGAAAAAAAAAAGACACGATGGATATGTAAGGAGCTTAAACGTATCCGGAGAGCAACTGGTGAGTGATGGGTGAAGTGTGAGGCAGAACACTCGAGACAAGCAGTGGCATATGAATGTGTAAGAACGGGAACAAGCAGTGTCAAATATGTCTTCCGTCCCAGCTGATCTGAGCTAAAATAGCGGATATCCACGAGTGAACCAGTGTGGGGATTGGCAGGTAGAAATGACGCTTCGCTTATCTATGCAGAAAACTGGTGCCATGAAAGCCTGGCGACCAGACAAGGAAGCTGTTTGCGGCAGTCATCGATGAAAAAGCCTATCGGAATGCCGTTCCGAGAGCCCCGCCGCGCCAAACCCGCATGCGGGGTGGTGAAGCGGGGGGCCGAAAAAGGCCCCTGCGGATTAATGGTCCACTACAAGCGAGGCTTTCTCCGTAAAAATAAGACCCCACTAATATTTGAGAGCCACTAGCGGGTGCATCCTGAGAAATTTAGCATGGTATAGCCTAAGGGAAAAACTTCATCGACGAGACGAACGGAAACCAGGTTCCCGGTAGACAATGATTTTAGTAGTAGGCTTTACCCATTTTAACTTGCAGCCATACGCATTCTAAGTCTGTTTTGGATATGATGGCTAGAACCATAAAGTGATTCTTAAGGAAAACCACATTACCTGATAACCGAGGTTTTTGAGGGTTTATCTATCAATAGCTTTGCTAAGTAGACAAACTCTCATTTATCGTATGTCCAAACTGGTTCGCCCAAAGCTATTAAACTCATGCCGGACTTTAACCCCCACAGAGCGCACCTTATCCCAGAAAGTCACATCTCGGGACTCACAACGGTCCTGTGACGGCCAGTTCTTCAAACAATATAGTCAAGCCTGCCAGCAATTGTTGCTTCCTCTTGCTTCAACATTTCTAGCTCTTGTGCTAATTCCTCACGTCGGAGCTGATACTGCAACCCGATAGCTTCCATTTTCCTCAAGTGGTTATGGAGGGCCGATACCAGCTCCTCTAGCGAGGGTATTGTCTTTAGCCTGGGTGTGACTCTTCGTATCTTATCTGTAGATGTTGTAGCTCCCTGGTTGATCAACTTATTTTCCCACGCCATTAGCGCGTCCTCATCATCATCGTCTATCTCTCCGCTGCTCTCGCCGCTACTTCCTTGGGCACTGTAGACCCTCTGGGCAATCTCCTCTTTCTGCTTGAGTTCCTGGTGCTTTCGTTCTAGTTCATTAAGAGCCAATACCCCGTCGTCTAGGAAACCGCTCACCGATGCGTCCATCTCAACGTCGTCGTCTGCAATTTCCTCTTTTGCCCTGACCCCATCATCGGAGTCAAGGGAGATGTATTCGGGGTAGGACTGGGCTTTGGCTTCACCTTCAGCACTGACAAACTTGGGCCGGTCTTTGCTGTTTAGCTGCTTCCGCAAGTCCATTCGCTTCTGTTTCAAACGTGCTATTGTCTCGTCATCGGGAATCACTGTGGAGCCGGAGGTGGGGGTATCGAGGATCGTAGCGGCCAATGTCACCATATGTAGTGATTTACTAATAGCTTCCAGTTCAGACCCGGCCCAAGTTTTCTGCGACCTTCTCAATCCGTCTAGATAGTCTTTAGAGTAAATAGAATCATCTGCATCGTCTTCGTCACTTTGCGGAGCCCTTAGAGGGGTTAACACATTAAAACGCTTCTTGACACCAGATTTGGCCTTGGGCCTTACCACTGGTACGTCTTCCTCATCGCTCTCGGCGGCTAGATTTGTTCTAGGCATCTTCTTCCGCGCCAGTTCTATATGGTTAGTACTCCTCTGGGCAGAAACGTAAGCGCACATACTCTTGGTAAACTTGACGGGCTTGATCTCAAGCTCATCAGTCTCGTCCTCCTCAAGGACCAAAGTCTTTGCCTTTAACTTTCTATTAAAAGACATAGCTGGCTGTTGAAGCAGAAATGAACTCAGAGAGTTCCGCCGCCCTGCAAATATGCCCGTCACATCCTGCCTGTTGTGAAAGTCGTGCAAATCCCAACCATTTACCCTTTCAGACAGGCATCGGATCCATACAGGACCAAATTTTTTTCAGCGTCATTAGGCAAACGCTGTTATCACACTCGTTCTTGCCCATACAATAACCGGCTTGACAAAACAAACGCTCTAATGTCCACCAAAGAAGCGCTCTCAGTGCTAGCAGAGACCCTCCATGCGCACATGTTGGAGGAGGACAGCCGCTTTTTCAAGCTGGAGGAGCTCCAGACGGCGATGGCACTTGACTCCAGCAGGTTGTTACCGGTTCTCCAGGAGTTGATGAACAAAAATTTGATCAAGCCCGGCAAAAGTGATGGCCAGATCTCCTTCCAGGCAGTCAGTTTGGTGGAGGCGGAAAAGGTCGGAGGGATGACAAAGGACGAGGCGATGATCTACTCGCACATCCAGGGTTCGGGCAGAGAGGGGATCTGGACCAAGGCCATCAAGGCCAAAACTAACTTGCACCAACACATTGTCTTGCGGTGCTTGAAGGCGTTGGAGAACCAGCGCTACATCAAGGCCATCAAGTCGGTCAAACACCCTACGCGAAAGATCTACATGTTGTACAACTTACAGCCGTCGGTGGAGGTCACCGGGGGCCCGTGGTTTACGGATTCTGAGCTCGACACCGAGTTCATCGATTCCTTGATGTCCATTGTGTGGAGATTTGTGGCTTCCAAAACCTTCCCCAACGCCTTCCCTACCGAACACAAACCAGAGTACAACCACACCCAGAGCTCCTATCCCGCTCATTACAACGGCTTCCCCAACGTGTCAGAAATTTTGGATTTCATTATCAGCTCCCAGATCACCAATGTGGAGTTGACCACCACTGACATCCGATCCCTCTGCAATGTGCTTGTCTATGACGACAAGTTAGAGAAGGTATCTCATCGTGTGGACCAGTACAAGGCCACCTGGCACAGCATCTTGGCCGCCGGTGGCGGATTACCGGTTGGAACAGACCCCTACGCTGTCCAGGAGGTACCCTTCAGCATTTTCAACCTCCATGCTGTTGTTCCTAGCAACGCTGAGAGCGAGATTGAGGGCGTCTACTTGGACTCGTGGATGGAGACTTAAAACGGAGAGAGACCAAGAGGTGTGTATATGTATAATAGTGAGTTACTCAAGAGTTAGGGTATGAAATGGTGTTTTAGTAGATGATTTAATGTATGGTTTAAACCGAGCATTGATGTTTTTAGTTAAATCTAACATCAGACCCTCCGAGAGGTTTTGATTGACAACAAGCTGAGAGATAAACTAACTGAAACAAGTACACTCATGCTTCGTTCGGTGTGGTACATCTTTGTATCCATTAGTCTGAAACCTCAGCTGTGTGGAAAGAATCGTTAAACAGTTCCATCGCCTATTTAGCCCCTCAAATAGTATGACGTACAATCGCCATCCTTTGGATATACCTACAACAGTAGATATCGTTCGCTTTAAAGGTACGGTAGCTACTAATGGGATTGAAACGCTGGAGAAAAGAGGCAAGTTCCATAACTGAGAAACGAATAAATATTTGATCTCAGAATGAAGGCAAAGGAGCCGGGGACGACTGGACGGCACCCATACATAATCTATTCAAGTGCCGTCCGTGATAGTTTAGTGGCTAGAATCCCCGCTTGTCGCGCGGGGGACCGGGGTTCAATTCCCCGTCGCGGAGCTTACCTTTTTGGATATCAATCCCACTCTGTAACAATATGTACCATTTCCCTTACCGTGGAAGTCTCGTAGCCACCTGATGCTGAATTCCCTCGGAACAGGAAACCCGATTTTAAAAACTTGCACTCCTAATGCCTCTACATCTCCCATTACGCAATTACTTTGATATTTACGTTGTTTATTTATGAATGTAGTTATATACAGTGTGTAGTTTTATGCGGGAGGAAGGAAGGCCCCGAAGAGGGCTGTTTGGGTAGCACCCCATACAACGCAGTAGGAGACCATGAGCTTGGTGAAGCCGCCGGTTTCGCCCTTCTGCGCCGTAAGGGCCAACTTATCGGCAATGTACCAGTAGGGAAGGGGTAAGAAGGACGCCACTCTGGTCAATATCTGCACGTTGGAGAAGCCAAAGATCATCACGAGCAAAAGGTACGCGATGGAGCAGTGGGCATAGACGTTCCGGCATGGGTAGGTGAACGTGAAGTGGCGAGAGGCTGCAAGCAAAATGGCAGCGGTGGGGAGGGCAAACGCAAAGTTGGGAATGTTATTTAGGGTCCAGTAGGAAAGGAAACCGTTGCTCCATCTCGCCTGTGCGTGGGTGAAGAGCGATGGAACCGTGTTTAAACACCACTCGCCACGCTGTGGACACAACAAGCTATAGGGGAGATAACCCAAATAGAGAACAGCGGCAAAAAGCTGCGACCCAGCGAGCAAGGGAATAAGGGCTGACTTGTAGCTCCGTGCCCGGAGAAACACGTAGAGGTCGGAGAGGTAGAGGTAGCCAAGGAGAACGGCGTTGCTTCTGAACCCAAAGGCCGTAGCCACAAATGCGCCAGAGAGTATGTATGCTGCCTGGAAAAGCGGGGCAGATTTGAGGGTCGGTTTCATCAAGAAGCGTCTGTCAAAGGAGACTTCTCGGAGGTAGAGCGCGACAAAACTTGACAAAGCGCAGATGGATTCGGCATAGGGTGCGGTCAAAAAGATTCCAGCAGGAGAAATCGCGTAGAGCATGGCTGCCCTGAGTGCCACGTTGTGGGATTCGCTTCTGGCCTTCAATGTATTTGAGCTGAAGACAAGGTTCGTCAAGCCGTACAACACAAGACAAGCAAGATAGTGGGAAGCATTTGCCACGAGAGTTCCAATGAGGAGTTGATCGTAAAAATTGACACTGGGTAAGGTTCCTGGAATGATTTCAGGGAGAGATTTAATGAGTCTCCACCATAACGGCGCAAACACAAACTCATGTTCGTACTTCAAACCGTTGGCAAAGAAACTGGAGAGGTACACGGTATCCCACGTTACAAGCTTCGGAAGGAGCTCAGAGAGAATTTGCAGGAAGGGTTGTGAAAGCTGGAGGAGAATGCTCGTCTCTTTGTGCTGTTGCACTACGGCGTTACCAAAGATGATCTGGGAGGAGGTGTCAAACCGGGTGGGCACGTTGATGAGGATGAGCGTCTGAGACACCTTCACGAGGAGGAAAAGCCCCGTAATTTTAGCAAGGTGAGCCAATTTCATGGAGGATGTATAACAAGAAGAAGCTCACTAACTGTTGTTCTGGTAGTCTGGTGGAGATGGAGTAGTTTTGGAGTTGAAAATTTAGAGTATTAAAAATATGTACAGGAAAAATGCGTTATAGTGGATTGGAAGCGGAGAATGGGGTGAAAATGGAGAATGTGGTAAAACCAGAGAATGTGGTAAAACTAGGAGGACATTAGGGGAAAATATTTGTGATTTGATTTATACTAAAATCGAGAGAGAGAGAGAGAGAGAGAGAGAGAGAGAGAGAGAGAGAGAGAGAGAGAGAGAGAGAGAGAGAGAGTATTGGAGCGATTTTTTGGAAATCCTCTAAAGCTGAGTTAAGAGGAAGAGATCTGAATTTAATACAGAACTTGAGGAAATACATAGGGATACATCATCATGGAATATCCAAAATGGCACAATATTTTGAAATAGTTTTAGGAGTAAAAACAAAAGCACAAATAGAGTTATAAAAACAAAAGGTAGGACCCAGAGTTCGTCTAAAGTTAATACGATAATCCACTTTGTTGTTGGAACAGACCAAAACAGACCTTGAGAGGCCATGACGAAACCCATACCCAACCCAATGAGTGTATTGTACATCAAGCAATGATAAATCGCAAGTGATTTAACTTTTACTCGCAATAGGTTTAGCCAAACGAGAAAGCCAAGCCGCTCCAGTTCCATTATATCACCATACCAAAACTATCTTGCATTTCGCATACAACTTTGCCAAGTGTGGCATATGATTCGGTGAATTACCGAGGACTGAACGGCAGATACCATATACGATTGCATATTCATAGAATATACGAATAATACGTTGACTGGACCCGGCGCTTCGCACTTGTTCTCAAGGTGGCTATGTGAACCGTTCATGCAAAATAGTCTATTAAACTATTGGAAATAAATAAGCTTGTACAGAAGAAAGGAACCAGAGCCTAGAAAAGATAAAAAGGAAGGAAGATGATGATGAATGTGAGAGGATCTAGACCAAGATAACACCGCCCCTCTTGATATCCTTGTGGGAGGAGTCGCCCAACACAGCAGTCATAGGCAACTTCTTTGGAAGAATGTACTCGTGGATCTTGTCGGTGAACTTGTCCGGGACAACGCCCAAGTCAGCAAAGGTCTTGGCCTTTGGGTCTGGGTTGTGGGCGATCAACTGTCTCTCAATCTCGTCCATGGTTGGGATGTTTCTCCACTTGCCGTACAACAACTTGGACATCAACTTGGCCCACTCAACCGGGTAATTGGACTCAGAGAACATAATATCTGGTCTGACGGTGTAGACCAACTCCTTGACGTCCCAGTGGGAGTACTTTTCGTTGGCGTGCAATTCGAACAACTCGCCGGCAGTGGTGTCGTCGAAACCGATGATCTCCAACGCTTTGGCGACGTCCGAGTAGTGGGTTGGGAAGAAGAGCTTCTCGTACTGGTTGACGTTGAACTTTCTTTGGCGGTTGAAGTGCGTTTGTCTCTGCCAGATCATGTCTTGCAAGAATCTGGAACCGAATCTGCCGTACATTTTGCCCGGTCTAACAATGGTAGCATCTGGGATGATTTCCCGGACAACCTTCTCGCCAAGCCCCTTGGTGGCGTAGAAGGTGGATGCAGACTCCGGGTCTGCACAGTAGGAGGATACCTGGATAAATCTAGAAACGCCAGCATCCTTCGAGGCCTGTGCAATTCTTCTGGACGCCTCGATGTTGACGTCTGCCATCTTGAACGCAGTACCTTCCCATTCGGTCCCCACCAAGTTGTACACAATATCGGAGTAAGCCACAGCTTCTTCGATGGACGCAGTGTTTCTAATATCGAACTCAACCGGGTTCACGACCCCCAAGTCACCACACGGCTTGACGTCTCTGCCTTTCATCTGGTCTCTGAACGGCACCACAGTCACAGTTCCGTGTCTGGCCAACTTGGAAACCAAAAGTCTCCCCAAACCACCGGTACCGCCAAACACAGTGGCGGTGTAGCCAGTTCTGGATGAACGGCCCCCACGACCGACGGAGATATTGACCTTACCGGCCTTGGTGATGTTGATGTCCGACTCGAGGATGGAAGTGTACAAGCTTCTCACCTGGGACTTTTGCACTGGCTTGGACGCTAATCTGAACATGTTGCGTGTGATCAATGCTTTTAACGGAGAAACACTTGCTGGCGGCTTATATTAATAAGTTTAGAGCGTGTCCTGCAATTTTTCCCGCTTTGCAAGACAAAATTCTAGTGCTCTGGTTGGTTGGGCGGGGACGGTAAGTGCACGCAATGGGAGGTGCACGACATAGCGGGCTGGGGAGGCAGTAGACTAGCTAATGTATTACGGGGTGGTGATTTCAATCGATTTGTTGAGTTGGTGGATGGAGATTTAGTTTTAAAGAGCTGTAGATATCCTTTATATAAAAGGAAAAAAAATCTTTGTTTGGTATTACATCTATGGTTTTTTCTTGAACACATACTTTTATCTTAAGCATTTAGTTGAAGGTGTCTCAAAATACGGATATTATTACCGAAACATGAGTGTAGGGTTCTGTATTTCCCCTTTGAATCAGTATATACTTGACCATTTACTATCGATTTTCCCATGACCTAGATGTAGTCTGAACGGCTGTACTGTAGGTCAACTGGCATACTTTGAGCTCTGAAACTTATAACTTGAATTATTGGCGAGCGTGATTTTGGTTGACCGATCGCTCAATCCACTGATGCTCGGGGATAAAATTACCCAGAAGCACTGACCTATCCATTGTTTATCCGGTCACCTATCTTCTGGTCTCACTTTGCGAGGCTACCCCATTACTACAGACCATAAAATATCGATATATTACAAAAAAAACAACCTAAACAAGGATGGCAGAAGAGGCGGCTTCGGTCAACCAGGCATTAACAGTAGCTTCGGTCAAAGACGTAGCAAAGTCAAAAGTGTTATCGACAACAACAAGCTTAGCCTGGGAGGCGCTGCCGTTGAAAATCACCACAGCCTTCATGGAGGACGAGGTTGGTCTGGCAAAGTAGTCCTGGGAACCACCACCACCGTACGCGGAGCCGTTGCTGCCTTGGCCGGAGTGCAAGTGCGAAATCAACTTCTGGGAACCAGAAGACAAGATTTCGAACAAGTCTAATTCACCACAGCCGGTGCTCCAGCAGGAGCACGAGGCGTCGCCATATTGCAAGGTTCTTGGAATCTTGGCGTTCAACAACCAGATGGCTGGCATGTCGTAGTTGGAGGCCGATGAGTCGGAGGTCGAGGCAGTTGGCATCTGGAACTCGAAGGCAAAGATCTTAGTATCCCCGCCGAACCCGTGGTACGCTGGGATACCCTCTCTGTAGTAGCCACAGTCGCCAGTAGTGGAGTCATCGCAGGACGAGCCGGAGAAGATGGAGTACTCGATATCAGAGCCAATGGTGACCTGGTTCAATGGCTGGGCCGAGGCCGCGGCGGAGACACCGTCGGCCGCACAATACGACAACGAGTTACCGAAACAAGAGGACCAGACCCCAGATTCGGATCCACCCAAGGTGTTTAAGAACGTCACGTTGGAGGTACTGCCAGGGGTAAAGTAGGAGGTTCTCTGCCAGGCACCGGCGGCAACAGTCGCACCAGTAGAGGAGGCCGCGGCAGCTGGGGCCGAGGCTAAGACGGAAGCTACATCCGGAATACTGGATGTGACCTTGACGGTGTTCACAGAGGTTCCGGCAATAAGGCCATGGGTGTTGGAAATGACCTGGGTGATTGGGTTGCCCTTCTGGTCGACATACACGGTGTTGGTGACCTCGATGATCTTGACGGCCCTCTTTTTGTGGCTGTGGCCGTGCACCTTGGTGGTGCAGTCTTCGACCTCTCTCTTCTCATTGGACGACGCAGATGGGTAGTACACCGCAAAGTTCAACAACTGCAACGGGCCACGGAAGTGCACCGATAACTCTTCGTCTAACGGTGAGAGATTGCCGGAGAACGACACCTCAGACTGCAGACACTTGCAGGTGGACTCGTCCATGTTGGTCACGTCCTGGTACGAGCCGGAGTAGCCGACACCCGAGTACAAGACGGCGTTGGTTTGGTCACAGTAGTAGTTTCCCCCGACGAGGGAGCAGGCCGCGGAAACGGCCTTGAGCGAAGCTAGGATAGCCACGGCAGAACAGGCTGTGAATTTCATAAGGAGCGACGGGATCTAACAAAAGGTAAAGGAGTGACTGGTCAGACGGTGCGTAAAGAAGGAGAAGAGGGTTCCAATAGCCAATTGGTTTATATCTATCTAACCTCCTATGAGTACAGCCATGTTTTTTTCCCAGAGCGACGTGTACGGAAAAGAAATGGCAACGCGCAGTGCGCTTGCAGGGGTAGATGTATGCAGGACATGAATTTGCCTGCCAGATCGCGTCTGTGCAGGCAGCGCTATGCATGGTTGCTAGAGCGACCGGAGACTCGTGCCGCTTTTGGATGTTTTTGCGTTACGGCTGCGCATGTTTAGCTCTTCATTACCGCATCAGGAAGGTGGCTTCCGGGGATTGCGGCATCAAGGATATCTTCTTTCGGACGAGATGTTGACAGGCTGCCGCTAGGTGTGTGGGAGTGGAATAGGCAACGTTCATGGTTAAGCAACGATGCGTCGGCTGGAATTTATTCCAGGGTTGTTAATGAGCCTGCAGAGGTTTATACCTCTCTATATGGTTGTGCAGTTAACTTCTATGCGTCTAAGACGTATGGGCAGACTACCAATTAGACGTAGTGCGAGAGGCGTTTTAGAGATGCCCTGGAGCGGTTTCGTCAGCATACCGAAACAAGGCGTAGTAAGGTTGCGTAGAGCGCTAGCGTTGCTACGAAAGGTATTATCCGTGTTGCAGCTCAAAGGTCGGACGTACATCGTACCATGTAGCCCAAAGATCAGAAGTTCAGTTGATGGTCAAGGGACCGGTTGTCTTACAAGGGGAAACGACGTCAAGGCGGTGCAGTGTCTCGTTGGTGAATATACCGTTGTGTTTAAGATTATGCTATCGTTGTATCATCGTTATTTAACTGCCTGTAGAACTTATCTTTGTCATTATTATATTGTTTCATCGTGAGCCAATCCTAGTTCCATGGTTTGGACAGGCGCGGTTGAAAGATGGCACCACAATTCAATCCGTACGATCCTAAATGGTATATTTTCATTCGCCACATCAGGTCTTATCCCTACGAGGAGCTTGTATCCGGAACAATTTCTGGAGAAAATTTCCGGAGCGAGTCAGCGTACATGTTGTGTATCATCTTGACTGACCTCCTGTCTGTCAGGATGAAACCGAACATCGCCCTTTTGTGAGCGGTGGTCAGGAGAGATATTTAAGCCAGGCAGGGATTAAGGCAATTAGATTCTTAAAGCGGTAATATATGGCTATTCTGGGTGATGTACACACACGCTAAGTGCGCCTGCATGCATCCTGTGAGTGAAGGAATAGGAATATCCTCCTGCGACCGAGACTAGTCTCTGTCCTGATTGAACTACAATATATCGAATCAAATCTGTATTTAATTATCTGTTTATCTTAACTTCGCAATCGTGTCGATTTGAGGTGGATGGTATTAGTGAAATGTCATAATTATGGTCTCAAGCATTCATATGACTTTGAAAACTAAGAGCGAAAAGGAGGACAAAAGACTTTGCAGTACTAACGCGGTACACATCGCATGCACGCCAATGTTCCGTAAAACATGCTCCCTTGACGACCGTATGGTCTAGCTTTTTCTATAGCACCAACGGGCTAATCGCTAGGGGATCTGATGTCTCACGACATATGGCCGGTGAAGCGCCCTCCTCGTGGTTTTGCTTCTTTGCGCTAGGCCGAAGCTAGGTTTTTGGCCGGCATCTGTGGGCTTGCACCGACCTGGTTTCCGAACGATTTGGCACTACCGGTTAAACGAGATATACACTTGCTTTGCATCCTCTTTCGGCCAGTTGAGGAGGTTATGCATCATGCCAGGTCGCAGACGTTGGATTGATATGCACCGCAGGAAATGACGGATTCGTGCGTTTGCTGGACCCAAAGCGTCCTCCGAGTCCTCACTCGAATAAAGTATTTATTTGTTTGAGTATAGAGACAAAGGAAATGCGGCGCTTAAAGATGGCCAGTCTAGTCAGTTCTGCAGAAAATGAGATCGTAAATATTAACCTAACCACTGAAAGTTAATACGGGCTTTATATCATTTAAACCTGACGTAATCCCACACCTTCTACTCTACGCATTTAACTTTTCACAACTTCGAGTACTTGGCCAACGAGCCCTGGCCGTACATGTTCTTCAACTCCTCAGCAAAAAACGTTTTGCATGCCGATCTCTTCAACTTGAAGGTCGGGGTGTAAACTTCTCTTTCCACCGTCAACGGCTCGCGTTCGAAGAAGATGTTGTGGATCTTCTCGAACCCTGCCAAGCCCGCCAGCTTGACATCAGCATTCAACGCCTCCAAAACCTTGGTCTTGACTCTTAATTCATTCAACTTCGCCTCGATCTCCACTACGTGGGTCTCAGGATTCAACACCACATCAAAATTACGATGGAGAAACTTGGCCATAACGTGGGGGTCAAAACCCGCTACCGCCACCAAATACGTCTCCAAAGAGTCTCCATGCACGTACAACTGATTCACCAACGTGGTGTGGGATAAGTACTTGTTTTCAATCTTCTCTGGGGTCACATACTCGCCCTGGGCCAACTTGAAGAAGTTTTTGACTCTGTCAATGATGTACACCCTTCCGTGTTCGTCGAATCGGGCTACATCCCCTGTGCAGAAGAAACCATCCTTGTCAAAACACTCATCCGTCGCGTCCTTATTCTTGTAGTACCGCTTGAAGATCTGCGGCCCTCTTAAGAGCAATTCTCCCCTTGGCCCCTGTCTATCGCCGGCGGTGTAGCCCATCTGCGGCACGTCGCGAAGACGCATTTCGCCGGAGATTCCTGGTAACCCGCACGAGCCCGCGTCGCGTTCAAACGGATCGGACATGCACATAATACCGAAGGTCTCCGTCAAGCCGTATGCTTGCGCAAAGCCGACGTTCAACGCACTCTTGAAGAAGTTCATAGTGTCGTTGCTGATTGGAGCAGAGGCAGAGCACAAGAATTTTGTCTGGTCCAACCCCAACTGCTTCTTGAGCTGGGTCGTGAACGTTTCGCTGTATTGGCTGTTGTTCGCGAAGACCCCTTGGGTCTTGATATTGTGCAACCTCCGCGTGATGATATCGCGGGCCAAGGCTCTAAACACTTCGTTTTCGGAGTTAATCGTCGCTTCTTTGATTTCCGATTCGATCTTTGAAAACACACGTGGAACCGCCTCCAACGTGGTTGGTTTCAACGCCTTTAATTCTTCCACAAGCGTCAACGGGGAGGAGGCTACGGGGAACCCGAAACCTACTCCGATCGACAAATACGCGGAAACCACCCCCCTTTCATAGATATGTGCCAATGGCAAGAAGCACATTTCATGGCCCAGACCCTTCGGCACATCTGCCTGGGCCAAGTACATTGTGACACCACTGACGCCCATCTCGTGGTGCACTTCCACCCCCTTGGGGTTACCGGTGGTGCCAGAGGTGAAGGAAATGGTGTATAAATCGTCCGGGGTGGGCGGCCTCTCGGCTATTGGGTGCTGCGCGCCTGCAGCTTCGACATCTGCAAGTTCACACAACTCTATGCCCAACTCACATGCCTGCTGCGAGTAGTGCGCACGCTCCTGTGCGCTCAACGGGTCCATCGAAACCACTGCGAGGAGATATGGTAACGGCTTTTCGATCTGAATGTTGAAGAGCCCCTGAATCTTCTCCCTCGAGCATATGACAATCGGCGACTTTGTCAACTCCAAGATATAACGCGATGTGCCCTCGCCCAAGGTATCGTACAACGCTGTGTTGGTGAGCGAATATGATTGGCACGCCAAATCCGCAAGCAACCATTCTACACGGTTGCCCGAATACAAACTCACCACAAAGTCGTCAACGTTATGGATTGCCGTGCGGAATGGACTGTTACGCACCACGTGGAAGATTCCGGACCCCAAGTTACGCTTGCGCACGTCCACTTGCGCAAACGACTCCCACGAATAGAACGTGTCGTGCGCGTCGCGGAGAGTGTTGTCGAATAGCCGCTTGCCCATGCAGTCGTTATTCGGGTACATTGCGACTGCATTCACGAAGAGGTCGTGCAATGTCCGCAACGACGGGTGGATGTTGACGAAGAGCTGGTTCCCGTTATCAATGCAGAACTTGTTTCTGTAGGTGGCGGTGTAGCCAGTCTCCTGGCTGCCGGCGATCGGCGACGCTCTGAGGATCTCCTCTGGCTTAAAAGGCAACGACTCGATCAACTGCTGGATGTTGTCGCTGGAGGCAGGGAAGATGGACTTGGACATGTTTTATGAGGTGTAGACAGGTAAAGCATATAAAGAAACGGGCTGACCATATTGTACTTATAATAAAGGGCCGGGATTGGACGATTTAAGTCCGCGGGAGCTCGGGGGAAGGCGGGGAAAACCCCGTATGCATTATCGCTGGGTGCATTATCGCTCCATAATATACAGGATAGCGGGGGAGCGGGGATTGGGTGTTGATGGGGGAATTTGAGTATGATTCAAAGGTGGGGATGGCGTGTTATTATTTGTGGTTCATCTGTCTGAGGGTTGTTTTAGGAGCTTGGAGCATCTGTATATACCACAATTTTGTGGCGACACCATAGCTGGAAAAGGTGAAATCAGGGGAAGTAGCAAAAGCTTAAGGGTCATAGTAGGTCATTTATATGTGCACTTAAATATGGAAACCACCAGCCATGATAAAAAGTATTGCTATTTAGTCGATCCGCCTCTGAAAATACGGTGAATTCATCGGATTGAATTCCCTTCTGTTGACAGAGAATCCTGCCATTGCCTCTTATAATATCTTTCCTTGGCTGAACTGACTGCGTAAACATTTTATATAAGTCAGTTAGAGGATGTATGGACTATTTACCACAGGGTTTGTTATCCTCAACTTGCAATATACGAGACAGGAAAGTCTGTAAGCTAGATTACAAAAAAAAAAAACTATGCCGCAGCTTTGTAGCTAGGTACCAAATTGAACTCTGGATGTGCTGACAGAATTTACAACTTCCCGGCATTCTGTCTGAATAACGAACCCTCAATATACATCTCTCTCCACAGTCAATGATTTGACCTCGAGGTAAATGCTGTGTACCTTCTCGAAACCCGCCAAGCCAGCATCCTTGACGGCGAAGTGCAAGATCGTCAGTAGGTGGTTCACATCAAGCGAGACACCCCTACCCCCTTCGGGTTTCCAGTGGTCTCGGAAGTATAGGATAATTATATACTTTTCGGGAGAAACCCCACTCCTAGATGGAATGTCAGGGAATCTCATGTAATATACACTGAAAGACATGTAGAGTGGAAAAAAAAAGTCTGGGGTAAGCCACAATAGTGTAAGTCGGCAGGGGAGGAGAGCCACTTGTTGGCGCCGACCAGACTCGTTGTATTAGACGTTGCTCCCACGTAACATTTTTCAATCGGTATGACAGACGTGTTGCAGCTGGTACTACCCCGGGCATAAATGGTGAGCTACGTAAGAATTTGCCGAGGGTGTCCTGACGTGGCAGGAAATGCGGGGAACCGTCGGAAGAGGAAAGCTTAGCGAGCGAGAAATTGAGTGCAAAACAGGGGGAATACACCAAGTATCCTTGGTTCCGTTTGAGTTGGAGGTGCTTCTCTTTTCCATCTTATGATCAGATACTAGCAGAAACGTCCAAAACCCATTCCTCGTGCAAAAACCAAGTCTATAGGAGAAAGATACTGTCATATAAGCTTTTTTTATATCGAGGAATAGCTGAATCTCCTGGTGGGAAAATCGGCAAACTTCTACACATATATTTCGATACGTGACTATTAGAAAAACTTCCGGCTAGATTATGGTGTCTGGAGGACAATCCCGGGACTTTAGATATGCTTGATGTCCCTCTCTTCATCGTGAGATTCGGTGGAATCATCCTCGCGGGTCCCAAAGCTACCCTTCCAGCCATTCTCGATTAAATAGTTCTGGAATCGGATATCCTCCATCATCAAATCATCATCATCCAAGTGAGGAATACAGAAAAACGCTAATAAAACACCCATGAGCCCGACAATCGCTGCAATAATAAAGGTCCATTTTTTACCAAGATGAATCTGGATAGGAGTAAAGACCTTAGTCCCAACCACCGCACCCACCTTCCCGATAGCAGCCGAGAAACCATAACATGTCCCTCTGATTGGAGTGGCGTACGACTCAGACGAAGTCAACCCCATCATGTCACCTGGGCCCAAGTTACCGAAACTCAACATCAACCCGTAAAAGATAATAAACAATGGTACGATTTTCAGGATCTTATCGTAGGCACAACCAATGATCAACCCAAACACGATGTACCCGGAGAATCCAACCATCAATGTGTACTTGCGGCCAATACGATCACACAACCAGGCACCGACTATGACACCAGGCAAAGCAATGGAGCCCAACAACAAATTCCACTCAGCAATCGTTTCTAAATCATTGGTATCCTTGATAACAGAGGAAATAATAGTGGCGGAAAAGATACCGTTCGGGAAAGTGACGAAATCGTACAAGAACCAACAGCCACAAGTTCCCAAAAGGCGGACCCAGTAAAACTTGAGGACCAACCAGTAGGGAACGCGTTGCTTGGTGATAGCCGATTTTTTGTACAATTCCGAAGTGGCCATTCTCCACCGAAAGTAGAAAACGGAAATAGGCCACACCGCACCAATCCCAAACATCACTCTCCACAAGGTTTCATGATGGTTGACGCCCGTGATCTTGTTGACAATCAAGAAGATAATAAGCGCTAACGGGCCACCAAACGAAAGAGGTAAATTAGTCACAAGAACAAAGACACCGCCTCTTCTCTCAGTAGTTTCGTTGGCCGACTCTGATGCAGCGGTGGACGAGGCAGGGTACTCGGAGCCCACACCGAATCCGGTGATACCTCTCGCAACAGTAAGGAACCAAAACAATCCCAATTCGGATCCGTGGGCGCCGTGGGCACCGCTGCACAACACGGTACCAATGATGATCAATAGCGTGGCGGTCAAAATCGCAAATTTACGCCCGAGATAATCACAGGCCAAACCAGTTGTCACCTGACCCAAAACGGCACCCACAAGAAGGGCGTTGGACACCTGGGTAGACATACTGGCGGTGTAGGTTTTTTTATATTCAATGGCAAACACCTTGTTCAACATGGTCATCACGTTATTCTGGTAGCCGTCGGAAATCAAAGCGAACCCTGCGCAACAGATGGCAAGGTAGTCACTAATTTTCTTGTTTTCCCTTCTGTGTTTACGGGTGTCCGCATCATACACCACGTATTGGGGACCGTCGTCCGGTAAGCCTCTTTCATAGGAGTCGGAATCAGAGATTTCTCTGACACCAGCGTGGCTGAGAGACTTCCCAGGTGCCGCAGGGTGACGTTCGGAAGAGACGACGTTGATAGCGGTCTTGTCGATATCGCTCATTTTTTTTGGGGGCGTCAAGTATGGATAGTCGCTCCTCAGGAATAGGTGGATATTGCGTTGGCAGCGGATGGATGATGGATTCTCTTACAAGGTGCAGCTGTGAGAGTGATGTCTATTTATACTTTTTCTCTCCCCCGCCCACGTCGAGGAGAGAGAGGCCCTATGCACCCTTGCTTAATTCTCAACCCCCGCACGTACGCCAACTTGGCATGCACCTTGGCTATCGACGTGGAATGACTTACAGTGATAATAAACTGTCGGCTCCATGCATCTCTGGCCCCACGTGCATATGAATGACTGAGATTACAACGCCGCACCTAATGTTTCCCACTTAAGGTTTGCGCGATTAATCAAGCTTTCAGGCGTTGCGCGGGAAACTCTCTAGATTGCCGGTATCATGGACCATGGCGAGAGAAGATTAATTATAAATAGAAGGTTGATGGGCACAGAAGAAATAGTTGATAAATTAGATTCATCTCATGAAGTCGCATGTGGCTTTTGAAGCAGGGGCGTTGCATGGCCGAAACGTGTCCCGTTGTCCATTTCTACGTATGGCTCTACTCCTGCATATTTGCGGAAATGGTAAAACGCGATGCTCGAGTTAAAGTTGTTACTATAGTTTGTCATTAAGGCTCTTCGACTCGTCTGGATCCTTCCCCTCTTCCGGGGTGATAAAGCTTCCCCTTTGAATAGATGAATCTCAGGATCTCCGTTTCCGACTGTCATCCCGATAACACTCCTGCCAATGAGGAGGGATGTCATGTTTCGAGCGGCGGGGTTACCCTTGGGACGCTTCGGAGTGTGAATGCGTACTCCGAAGGATTATCATTCTTCGGAGTGTTCCCGAAAGAGCGGAAACGTTGCTCGCATAAACAATAAGGCTATTGACCGTTGAACTAGAAACGTGGGAAATCTCGTTTATAATTCCAGATCGAAGAATTCGTGAATTGAACGTACTGCAAATCTGCCCCCCACGTGGTAAGCTTACTCGCTGGACGGACTACGAATGGCATATGCTTCGGGGCAATTCTTCTATCAAAATGTGAGTCAGGATATCCCGAGACGATACCGAACTTGAATACATCTTATTTAAATGGCACACCCAGTAACCCATCATCAATAAACGGAGCACTGTTAAAGCTCTGTAGGTGAAAATAAATAGTATGAGTAGCAGATCTCTTATTGGCTACTCCTGACTTTTGCTCCTATCGTTTCAGCTCGACTGACTACCAGGAAAGAAGAGATCATCCAGTATCCTCATTTGAATATAAGGGTTTAGACTGTTAACAGGTTGGACTCGTGCAATCATGCTCATGTGTAAGGTTGTTTTTCGTGCAAAGTATAATTGGATATAGAAGAGAATAAGGCCGTGCCATGTTTTATACTAGCTGGCATACGCCCCCCAGATACTTACAGACCTTAGCCCCTCCCCCTCTTGGCTCAACAGATGAATGATCGGTTATTAAGTCCTTGGTGTATAAAAAATGAAGCACATTCTAAAACCGAGAGTGTAATGGAAAAGCCGCTGAAATATCATATGTATTTATAGAAAGCCGTGTACCGCTCAACTCAGCGCCATGTTAGATGCTATATACCCTGTATTCTATTATAGTTTGTCTAAAAGTCTTGACTCTTCAACCGTTCTACTCGGATTAATGAAATCCTTGGTTTTTCACCTTCTCTGCACCTGCTTTGGCACCTGAGGGATCGAGATAGGTGTACTCGTTCACCGGAACACAGTTTTCATCAACGTCGATCAACAAGGGGCTTCCAGTGGGGATGTTCAATCTTTGGATGTTTTCATTCGATACGTTGTACAAGTATTTGATCAAGGACCTGATTGTAGAGCCGTGAGCAACCACAAGAATACACTCGGCATCTTTTGTACCTAATAAATCTGGCCTGATAACCTCCTCAAAGTACGGTCTCACTCTTGTTTGCAAGACCATTTCCAACGATTCCCCTCGGGGCAACTCATCTTGGTCGACCCCCTTATATTTCGCCGTAGCAATTGTGGAGTACTTAAGAATCTCCGGGTCAGATACTCGAGCTTCAATAGCCCCGGCGCTCCCAGAGGATTCCGCCAACGGAGGCACACCGTCATATGAACGACGCCAGAACATGTACTTCTCAGGTCCAACCTCTTTCAACACCTGCGATTTATCCAACCCCTGAAGAGCACCATAGTGTCTTTCGTTCAACTTCCAGCTGCTGACAAACTTCGTCTCGTACCGGGCTGGGTTGGTGGTATAGTCCGGGAAGAGTGTGGAGGCAATGATATGAGCCGATTCTATGGATCTATCCAAAAAGGATGTGTAGATAGACACTGGATGGAGAGATGTCTTCTCCAAGATGAGCTTTCCGGCGTTTTCTGCTTCGATTTCCCCTCTATGTGATAAAGGAACGTCACACCACCCACAAAAGAGGTTTGAGTCGTTCCACTGCGATTCACCGTGACGGACAAGAATGAGCTTATGACTGGGCCTCGAGCTCACTGGGCGGAGGTGGTTATTTAACACAGAAACGTCTTGCATTGGAAAACACTTAATAATCAGCTAGATCAGTAGAACCCAAACTTGGAGTACTACGAGCTCATATTCTACTATCGATCAAGGATCCGCGGATAAAGCTTAGAGTGCAGGAGAAGTAGGCCGGGATGTGTTGAGCCGCATGCACTTCTCCGATGGCTCCATAAAGCAAAACGGTGGAAAAAGCACATACGTCCGACCGTTTCCGAGACGACATAAGGGATTGATCACAACAATGTCAGATTCTTTATAACTTTGCTCAAACTCTACGGTTATTTTACCACAAATCTATGCGTTAAAAAAGAAAAAGAAAAAAGCAAAAAAAAACAGTATAAATAAATAAGGGTAAGTGACAAGAAAACTGATTCCCGTTCACTTGTATATTATATATATCATTCTCGGGGGGTTTATATTCTCCTTCCTCCATCGCATGTTAAAGGGGAAAAAAAAGTGACAAAATGAGGGTCTAAAATGCAATTTCTCAGTACCTGAAAGAGAAAACCAAAACCCAAAATAAGACCGAGAAGACAGATGCCCGTCAAGGGGAAAGGTATAAGAAAAGGCGGCCAGGAAGATGGCACCGGCAAGAGTGAAAAAAAGTCACAACAGACTGGGTGAGTACGAAATCAATAGCGATCTTAATCAATAAGCACCAACCAAGGGGGCAAGATCACACAGCATCAAATGGGGGACGACGTTTATACAAGGACAAACTCAACGTTCTCCTTGGCGTAGTTGATAGCTCTGGTAGCATCATCGCCCTGCAAGCCATGCTTGACTCTAATGTGTCTGGACAAGGCGTCGCCTCTGCTGAAGGTTTTGGTCTTGTCGCAGATGATACATCTGAAGATCTTCTTCTTAGACGCATGGATCGTGTCCTGGTGTCTAATCAAGTCATATGGTCTAGAAAACTGCTTGAGGCAAGGCTGCTGCGTGGCAGGGTTTACCAACGTACACTGATGGCTCTCTGTGTCGTTGAAAACAGAGTCTGGAGATGCGGTGAAAGATGCTGGAGTGACGGGAGCCTGACCCTGAAGGGCAGTACCAATCTTGGCCAAAACTGGTGAAGAGTTCTTGGACAGGATTGGGGATGGCAACTGCTGTGTATTCTGGGACTTCAAAGTAGTGAAGGCGTAGTCGGTATGTGAAGTCTGAGTGGTGAAGGAAGACATCTCGTCAAGCACCATCTCATCGTCTTCATACTCGCCGGTGATGTTTGTCAAAGCGTCGTCGCTCGTGGCATATCCATCATCGTCGTCACGCATCTCTTCGTCGTCATCAAAGTACTTGTCCTCGTCATCGTCTTCGCAGTCACTTAACTCTTCGTCAAACAACTCCTTAGTGTCGCAGCAGCTGGACTCAACCTCATGAGGCCACACGAAGAGTGCCTCATCAGGCTGTGTCAAGCTGAAGCTCGTGACACTGTTGTTTTGGAACGAAAGTAGTTCCTCGGGGCACTTCAACAAGTTGGAGGTCTCCTCTGGATTGATGGTAGTGAACAACCCAGACTGCAAGACCTGAGGCTGGTTTATCACGTTTGGATCGGCGTACGTGTTGAATGGATTTACTCCGGCTCCCTCAGGAACATCGTAGTACTGCTGTGTCTGTTGTGGCTGGGATGGCGGCTGCTGGCTCAAGTAAGTCTGGAATTGCTCGACGGTGTTACTGTCGGACATGCTGTGTAAGAAGCTAGACCAGTTCACTGGAGTGGCAGGGGTGTTGGTGGTTTGCTGGGGGCTGTTTGGCGGGTTCGAGGTCACTGATGTTTGCGCAGGTACAAACTGCGAAGGAGGAGCAAACATGAATGAGTTCGACTTGGAGGCTGGGGTGCTGGCGTTGCACACTCCCCCCTTACTAAGGTGGGGAACGTGGTATAATTCATCTTCCATAATGTCCGTGAAGGTGCGGCCCAATTTTGGGAAACTAATAATGGAGGTTGTCATTGCAGGAACGGTGTTGGTATTAAACTGGATCCAGTTTAATAAACGGCTATCGTTTTGTAAGTCTTGTAAGAGTTGTTCGGGATGCAACGGGTATGGGCTTTTGTCTGGCTCTGGGTCGTAGAGGAGAAGTACTTCTTCAATCGAGAGATGATCAAGCGAAGTAAAGAATGAGTTGGTAAACTGATTACTTGGCTGCTCTGACAAAACGGGTTAGCAAAGAGGGGACTGGAAGTCTCTTGTTGTCTTCTTGCTGGTGTCTTTTTCTGTCTTTCTGAGATGAGTCAGGAAAGAACGGTGGATGGAGGAAAAAGACTCGGATGGGATAAACTAGCAAAAAAGTTGGGTGGCAAATAAAAGATATACGGGAATGTAATATATTCTGTTATTTATTATGTATGTTTAAACAAAGGACTTGGAGTTAGAGAAGGGAAAAGAAGAAAAAAGAATTTTCTGCAGCATGATTCTGGTGGCGTCAGCCCTCTTTTATATAAAAGCGCTCGAATCTGCTACACACATTTTGATCAGTGCGTTAAAGGGGCCGCAAGGTGCGAGAAAGCAAAAATAGTGCTCGTATGCATGCATTACACCAGAGAAAAGTACCCGTTTGCTGGGAGGGGGTGATGTGTCACCCGTCTATATACAGAGCGTGCAGTGGAGCGATGAGCAAACTCTACCCCTCCCTTGTCGTTCATGCAGGCTAAATTGGGTATTTGTAAGCTGGTCCGTTTCGTCAGCTGCGCGGGAGGGAGCGGAACCCTGTAGAAGCCTTTGGATGAATCGTAGCTCACACTATCTACAAATAATCCCCCCTGCCACAATAAGTCTAGGCTGTGCCGCCGTCCGTCCTTTTCCTCGAATTAAGGTTTAGTCTCTACCCCGACAAGCAAATGGCCACTGGGTTGCAATAAACGAGGAGTGCCGCCGACCCTTCGGTCGATGCAAAGACCCGTGGTATTAAAAAAAGAGAGTGACACTTAAGACAGCGACTGGACCATGTCTGCATTAATTCCGAGCTCTTTTGCTGGGAAAACAGGAGGCTTTCGTCTCTGGCACGGGTTCAACGTGGCAGGTTGTTTTGAATGAGATGTGATGTCTGAGTTGTTTGTCTCCGAACTTATGCAGGTGCGGCGCACCAGACGCATGCTGCGGTTCCATTGAATTTCTTTTTAGTCTGGGTGGCAAACTGCTTTTGGGATTTTCGGGGAGCCGTGCTCTATCCCAGGACGGAAAGTTCAACAGGTTACAATTAAAAATAGTATCGCACACATATCGAATCCCATGTGAGGAAAAACTGACCAATCTGGTCTATTCAAACGAGGCTGCAAGCACAAGGCGAAACCCCGGTAATTAAAAGGGGGCAGCCGTAGGCAGTTTAAGAACGATTACATTGAGGAGCCGTGCGCATTACTAATCACAATTTGCCACCCAAAACGTGAGCTTAGCGGATCCGGAACCGTACTGGGGTTCCGACACAATCCGTCACGCTAAGGTCAACAATTAGGCTACAGGCCACCGATAGGGACCGGTATCAGCGAAAGTTAAAGATTTCAATCTTTTATAGACTGTACGGATGTGTGGTCGTTTATAGTCCCTATGTCCACCATTGTGTCTGACGTGTTATTAAAATATCTCATGTTTTCGAGATAAAAACCGGTCTTTCCATTAGAGCGTAGAGGCCGGGTGGCAATGCTGCCCATCCCCACCTCCATGGTTTTTTCGGAGATGGGTGAGACCGGTCATAACGATCTGTCCTTATCCTCGTCAAGCTTGTGATCATAAGTCTAGAACTAGATTTAACATGTGGCACGTGATAATCTCTTTTCATGTTATCTCCGGGTTAACAGGCTGCAGTTGTTAATCCCCGACGCGGTATGCGTTGCCTGGTCCAGATATACAAACTGGCTAAACCTGTATGCGTATAATCTTCGGCTAAGCTGTCTATAAGTTATACTTTGTCAAAATACGAAAAGATTAAGAAATTAAAACAAAATTCTAGGAAACCAAGATGCGAGTTTGTAACTAAATATTCGTAACTATTTATAACTATATATGTAGTTAATAGGGGGAGGGTAAGAATTTACGAAAACGGGGTTTATGTATATCTATATACGATATATATAATATAATGGCATTAGTTACGGCTTCCTACATCCCTCATGATCACCTTAGCACTTTTTACTGATTTTCTAACGGTGTGATTATGAACCACAAGGTGAGTTGAAGCACAAACAACGAGAACAATTATCATGCCATAGTGTAGTTATATAAACTATTCAGCTATTGGGATCAGTATCGAGTAGGCCGCGAGCCCGACCTTGGTTGCTCATTGATTCAGTGTTCACAAAGCGAAAACTCTCTGGTGAAGGGTGTTAGATCCTCATAGTCGTAATTACCATCTGCCGTTGCATGTGTTTCAGATCTCTCGCCTATCAACTCTTCCCTGACCTTCTTGGCTTTTTCCAACGTTATTGGCCAGTCGACCAGGTCTGTGATCTTGTTGAACAATTCCACGGGAAACTTGGTCAAGTACCCATCACCTTTCAAGGAATCAACCCACAGGTCATGCTGCTGAGGCGGAACCTTATCAGTAGCCACAACCTGCTCATTGTATGGGTCAACGATGAAGAAGCACAAGATCTTGCGGTGACCAGGCTTGGAGGGGTCGCTGAGCTTAAAGGCATCTACGTGGTGTTGGAACACGTTCGGGAAAATAGTCACCCGGTTCTCTTTCGCCTCAACGGAACCAAGCCTATGAGTCAAATTTTGCTCATTTTCAAGACCATAGCGGACCCGACAGAAAACATCATCCCCTTGTTCATACTGAGGTTCATTGAAAGCCATACGGAAGGATAAATTCGACTCCGTAATGTTTTCCGAGTCGTAATAGTAGAGAACAGTAGCAACAATGTCTTCGTTGATGGTCCCCTCCACATGCCACGAGCCACCGGGGTACTCTGGACTCTCTGGCGTGAGAACAATATTGGCCAACTTAGTGATGACCCTCAAATCGTTAAAGTCGGTAATATCAAATTTTTTGGTTTCGGGAGGAGCAGTATAGGAAAATTCCAAAGGTTTGATATGATCCTCTCTGGTGTCCCAAATTTCTTCGTAAATATCCCACGGGTCTCTGCCATCTTCAGCTTCGTCATCGCCACCAGTATATTTTCTTATTTCCTTCAAGAATTCTTCGTCGTAGGTTTCGTCCTCGCCGTAGGGAACATCAATACGAACATACTCTGTCGAGACGGCACGGGAGAGACAGGAGTTGATGCCAGGAACACAGCGAGCAAAGATGTCACCGATTGGCTGATAGAGAGACCTGCACCGTACAGGGTGGAGATTGTTGATATACGACTCAATGGTGATCAAGTGTTCTCCACTCTTGTTCACTTTGAAGATAGATGGTAGCCACTGGAATCTCTCTGAAACCCCAAAGTTCTCCACTTGGGGCTTGACAGACTTGATGAGGTCCTTATCAAATGGAGCAGGCTTAGTAGAACCGTCACTTTGGAGAACCGGGGTGAGCCCATATTGCAAGGGGTAGAGCGAAGGGTGTACCAAATCAAGCACCTGGTTGTTGGAGTTCGGATGCCAGTCCTTCTTACCCTCCGAAACGCCCTCCTCCAATAACTTGAACGCTTCACGCCTAAACAAAGACTTCAAATCGTCTTCGATAACCTGAATGCCATCAAGAGAGGCAAAAATACTCTCGTGGCACATTGGCTGGAAGAGATCCCCTGACTCATTCTTGAGCTTCTCGTACCACTCTAATTCTTGGAAGACATAGTCGATGACAGCCGGTGTGGCTTCTTCGCTTTGCTCCTGGAGCTCCTTCCTCCACTTCTCCAAAATGACTTGATCCTTATACTTGGTCCACCACTCTGGTTTCAGCCTGATGGTGGTGCTGATCTCCACAATAGCCCATTCCTCCTTACACCTGGCAGTCATCCCAACTCCATCTCCCGGGAAGTCAGGAAAGTAGGGGTGCTGGAAGGGAGATTTGTAGACAGGCTTTTTCGGCGGCATAGGTTTAGTGAAGGGTTTTGGCCGTCACGTTATGGTGGTATAATGCGAAGGCGGCGGATCAAAGAGTATAAATAGGCTAGCTTATAGGGTACACTAAGCTCCTTGTAGACTATAGCGTGCCAAGAACTACATATCATGAAAACACAGGACAAGGGGCAAGCGTTGATCACACACTGTTGTAAATCATCTGACTCCAGATGCATATGCGCAAGGCTCCTTTTTTTGTATGGCAAGAGTCACGTTTTTAGAGTATTATGGGTATGGTACTAAATGAGGAGTACTGATAACGTTATCCCCGCAAATAACGCAAGGAGGTTAGAACCGTATGATGACCTGCGGGTAGCCTGAATACTTGTTACAGCTACAATTATACCTTAGTTTCTTCTGTGTATCGTTCTCCCTTATTTGGTCAAATAAGGTCATCATGATCTGGAAGGCCGATTGTCTTATATTGGCTATTGAGGCTTCAACCTACCATGTATACGTGCTTATCGTTTTACAAACCATTGGCCATGCCAGATATTATAAATCCGAGTTATTGATTCATTCTCCGGTGAGGTCTTAATAGCTAATATAAGACCCCATCTTGGCGAGTACTTGTTGATGTGTGTGTAAAGCTATTTCATTGATAAATTTCCACGGGCGAAGGGATTTGAGACGGCGTGCGGATTTCACTGGCACATGCCCCGTCCCGTTTTGCTGGGTATAAAACATCTCCGATTGACCCTCGCATTAGTTTGTGCAGTGCAGAACACGGTTACATAGCTACTTATAAAATAATAAATCTAGCGCTAGATATGAATCTAGACCGGCTTAAAACGTCTGATAAAATAGACCCCATACTGCCACAATGTTGGGACATAGAGAGCTGAAGGGCTAATGTTGAGGAGCGCACAGCGTACGACTCTGGACGATAGTCTTAACCCGATGTAACAGAAGCATGTTTTCCTGAGACCCACCATATTAGACAGGTGGAAATTATAGTCAGTAATCGTTGGCCAGCTAGGGGCTCTATGGCGAAACTTCAACGTGTCTTGCCTTTATGACGTTTGAGCGCTAATTTCGACCTACTTCATCAACATACACATAAGTGGGACAATAGCCCGGTTGTTGTGGGGTAGCCCAGTACAAATGCCGAGCCGGTGCCGATAGCCTGCATGGAACGTACTTGTAACCGGGTTTGGCGGTATTAGATATGCCGTATCAAGCCGAAAGCGGTACAAAACGGATTTCGGCGAATTGCCGAACACGGCCCCGAGCCGTCCCCTCCTTAAGCCTCCGAAGGAAGCCACGTGCTCAGACTATCAAATCCAGCTTATTCACTCCTATACCGAGTAAACGAAGCTGGTTAAATTCAGTTTGGTCGTTTGCGCAGATAAGCGGATGCCATCGTACTTAGAGTTTTCCTGTGAAAATCAAGAAATTAGCCAATCATCTGCGCCCGCGTAACATGCGGGCCGGTTTGCCGGCACGGGTTCCAACCGAGCCTGCATGCAGTGAACTTACACCTGACTAGAAAACTACATATATCTCTCCTGTTCCGGTTTTTTTTTCCTTAGTTTGCCTCTCCTATCAACACTATCCATTATGTCCCTTTTTGGTGAAGACACAAAATACATCCAGAAGGTGCTCTCATCGTTGCCGCTCCCAGTGGCGGAATCCGGCACCGCTTACCAACTCCCTAACTCGCAGGAGCCGGGCTACTCAGCGGTTTATCGCAACAGTTATGTCAAGGACACGCCCTTGTACGAGACCGTCCACCCAGCCCTCAATACTGTGTACGCAAGTTTTGAAAATGCCGCCAAGATTTTCGCTGACAACCCGTGCCTTGGCAGACGTATCTTCCGGGACAAAACTCAGTCTTTCGATGACTTCTACTCGTGGTACACATACGCGGAGGTGCAGAAACGCAAGCGTAACTTGGGCGCTGGGATCTTGAGCGTGGTCAGAAATAGTGAGTTTCGTACGACTGCGCACAAGGAAGACGGCTTTGTGGTGTCTATCTTCAGCTTCAACAAAGTGGAGTGGAGTTTGACCGACTTGGCGTGTTCAGCTTACTCGTTGGCGAATACCGCGTTGTACGATACTTTGGGCCCAAAGACCTCCCAGTACATCTTGGACCTTACCGAGTCTCCGATTGTGGTTTGTTCCAAGGACAAGATCGCAAATTTGCTTGAGTTGAAGAAGAGCTTCGGCTTGAAGTTTTTGATCAGTATTGTCTCCATGGATGAGTTATACACTGCTGAGGACCAAGTGTACTACAAGCAGGCCAAAGCGGCCGGGGTTTCCTTGTATGACATCCACCAGGTGGAAAAAATTGGTGCGGAAAGTGGGATTTCCGAGAAGCCTCCAACTCCAGATACCACCTACACCATTTCCTTCACCTCCGGGACCACTGGGAACCCTAAGGGAGTAGTGTTGTCCCACCGCACGGCGATTTGCGGGGCAACTTTTGGGCTTGCGCACGTGGATGTCCCTTTCGGCAAGGCGCGCGAGTTGATCTTTCTCCCGTTGGCACACATCTACGAGCGCCTGCTCATTATCTGTGGGTTCACTATCGGCTGTGCTGCCGGTTTCCCTCACTCACCGAGCCCGTTGACCCTCTTGGAGGATATCAAAGTGTTACAGCCGACGTCTTTGGCCGCCGTCCCACGTGTGTTTACCAAAATTGAAGCTGCGTTGAAGGACCAGACGATTCTCGCGGATGGGTTCAAGGGAACCTTGACCCGCCACATCGTAGGGAAGCGTCTTGGATGGATGAAAAACGGTTTCCACGGAAACCACTTCCTCTACGACCGCTTGTTGACGAACAAGTTAAAGGGGGCTACCGGGTTGGACAGCGCACAAATGTTTGTTACCGGTTCTGCTCCGATTTCGGTGGAAACCATGTCCTTCCTCAAGGCAGCGTTGAATGTGGGCTTCGTCCAGGGCTACGGTTTGACCGAGAGCTTCGCCGGTATCTGCATTTCGGGGGCGTACGAGGCCGATGTCGGCACGTGCGGTCCGATTGGGGTGACATGCGAGATGCGGCTCCGCGAGGTACCTGAGATGGGCTACACCGCTAAGGATGAAGGTGGCCCTCGCGGTGAGTTGTTGTTGAGAGGGCCGCAGATCTTTGCGGAGTACTTCAAGAACCCGGAAGAGACTGCCAAGTCATTCGACAAAGACGGCTGGTTTTTGACGGGAGATGTGGCGAAATTAGACGCCAAGGGTAGAATTACCATCATTGACAGGGTCAAGAACTTCTTTAAATTGGCTCAGGGTGAATACGTCACCCCCGAGAGAATCGAGAACAAGTACTTATCTGCGTGTACGCTTTTGAATCAGTTGTATGTACACGGTGACTCCTTGGAGACGTACTTGGTGGCTGTGGTCGGTTTTGACCCGGTCAACACCAGCAAGTTCTTGAAGGCCAATTTCCAGGTGGACATTCTGGAGACCGACTTGGCGGCGTTGCAGGCGGCGTTGCAGGATAAGAAGATCAGAACCAAGTTCTTACAGACGATGAACGAGTCTGTGAAGGATGCTGGCTTGGTTGGTTTCGAGAAGATCCACAACATCTTCTGTGCGGTCGAGCCGTTGTCCGTCGAGAAGGAGCTCATCACGCCGACTATGAAGATCAAGAGACCGAACGCCAGAAAATACTTTGCCAAGGAATTTAAGGCATTGTACAAGGAGGCCTCGTTGGTCAGAGATTCCAAGTTGTAGTGTACATTAAGTAGACTTTTACTAAATACATGTGTGAAAATACTGAGTTACCTCCACCTAAGAGGATTAGGCGAAAAAATATGTGAACAATTTCACTTGGTGTGGATGAGCGCCGATTTTAAGGTAGAACTCTGGTGGTTCCACACGAGGCCACTTTCCCAGGACTATCTTTGCTACAGAGAAGTCCGACATAGATATGATTCGGAACTATTTTACACAGACTTGATATTCTGCTTTTGTTAAAAATTAGGAGGTATAGAGACGACAGCTGCTGTTGTACAACTTTGAGTTTCATTTTAGTATAGATATCGAATCAAACCAGAGAGGTGAAGATTGATAGTATGGAATGACGGAAGGTTTTGCAAAATCTAATTTATTTGTGCATTCCCTGACTAAGCGTATTCTACTCGTTATATCAAAAAGATCCGCAATTAGATAAAGTGAAATATGCCGCAAAGTAGCTAGATAGTGGTAAGCAAACATTCTCTGCCTAAAATTTCCGACCAGCTTTTTATGCCACTTCCTGGAAGGTTTATAGAGCTAGTTTGGGGCTCTCTCTTTGCATACAGATAACATACATCATTCTATTTTGCTTCATCCCGGCTCAATATCTCCTCTGCTGACAGCCCGAGACACATTTCGATCGTGGTAGCCCCCTTTTGTACTGCAATTAAATGCTTAACGTTTATTCATTAGTATATATGCGTAGTTTACAGCGAGACATGCCAATCTCCAGTCTCCAAACAGGAGTTTTCTTCAATCTACAGCTATTAGAGACGTATCCCACAGCCGTGCAACCTTCTTAGCCGTGTTTATTCCTCCACCATGGCCACGCTCTTCGCCTGAAACGTCCCATCAAGTTTTGTAATCGTGTGGCTCACTGCACGTGAGTATTCGATCACCAACTCCTTGCCAAAAAATGTCTCCTTCTGGAGGTGTCTCATTGCTAGCTTGGCGCTTTTGATATCGGCAAACACAATATGTGCCTGGCCTCTCATCTTTGTGTTGTTGGGCGCGGAAATCTCTAGAATATCGCCGTACGTGGCAAAGAGGATGTAAAGGTTGTTCTTGAGGCTTTCCTTGGGTAATTTATCGTTCAAGTTCCGTATATACAACGTGTTTGTTGCTACCACTTTGGCCTCGACCGGGACTTCAGCCGGGACTGTCTTCTGCTTTTTGTTCGGCGGCTGGCTCTCAAGCGTCACTGTGGGCTTTTTTGTGTTCTTTCGTTGAGGCATTAAAATGAAATATGAGGGGAAAGGACTAGCTGCAATGGCCCGGTGACTTCTTATCCCTATCTACTGTGTATAAGTGTTTTGCGTCGGGCCATCAAATATTCACACACGCTTACAATTTTGCAGATGCAGAGAGGTACATTGAAGGGACATATGTTCTGTGGGATATAGATATCAGAGATAGGTGAAGGCGTACCAGGTTGGTTCTCGGCTGCGTAGAAAGGGAGCAAAATCCGAGCCATTAGAAAGTTATTGAGTTGATATCTATTTAAAACACTACCCATAGTTAAATTCGTTGCTTTGGGTTGTTGTTCCCCAATATCCCCAAAGCTCCCCCTTTTGTCACCACACAAAAGGTTTATGCCATCTTCTGAGCCGCACGCTACCAGCGATCACAAGATTTCATTTTGAGCTCACCTCTTCGTCTCTACCTTGCACGGCATCAGTTCCTCATACGGACCTCAAAGATACCAAACAATTGCGTTGATATGACGTCCTTATTCAAATACAATTCCTTGCCGAAGAAGGCGCTGGTAGGGGTACTTGGGGCTGGCATCTCCGGACTCTCGTTTGCCTACTTTCTCCACAAACTCAGGCCAGATGTCAGCATTACCATTTTTGAAAACACCGACAGGGTTGGGGGCTGGATCAACTCGACAAAGTACGCCATTGGTCTGGAATTCGAGCCTCTCACAGTGTTGGAGAAGGGCCCCAGGACGTTGCGGGGTGTGAGCGATGGGTCGATCTTGATCGTGGACACGCTTACCGAGCTCAACAAGGCCAATTTGGTGCTATCTATGAGTAAGGACTCACCAGCCAACAGAAAGTACTTGCTATGCGGCGAAGCGTTGGTGCAGGTTCCATCATCCTTCAGTTCGTTTGTGAAGTTCATCATGAGCCCGCTAGGTGCCAAGTTACCCCTCAGTGTACTCATGGAGCCATTCCGGAAGCCACCCAAGGAAGCGACTAGAGACGAAAGTGTGCGCTCCTTTTTGACTCGCCGATTCGGGAGTCATATTGTGGACAACGTTGTGAGCGCGGTGTACCACGGAATCTATGCGGGGGACGTGTCGAAGTTGAGTGCGCGGTCGTTGATGAAAGGGATGCTCGACTTTGAGGCCCAGCACGGCTCAGTGCTCAAGGGTACCCTCAACAAGATCCAGGCCAGCAAAATGGAAAAGAAAGCGCTGAAACAGGCTGGGAAGCCGGCGTCGGTGTTGAGTGACGACTTGCAAAACTATCAGTCTACACTTGCCCAGGGGAGAAACATTCCCGCCTTGAAGACCATTTTAAACAGATTCCCCATGGTTATGGTTGCAAATGGATTGGAAACGTTGCCCCGCTTGCTTGCAGAGAATTTACAAGCCAGCCCTAGGATTGAGATTTTGCGCAACCAGACTGTGACTGCGATTCTGCCTGGGCAGACCATTTCCTTAACTTCACTGGGAGAACATTACGAGTTCCAGCACATCCGCTCCACCATACCAACCTATAACTTGTCCCGGCTTTTGCCTCTAAAATCTGTCATTCAGCAGAACTTGGCTAAAGTGGAATACGTCAGCATCTTTCTCGCAAACGTTTACCTCCCGAGAAAGGATATCTTGAAGCACACCCGGGGGTTTGGCTACTTGGTTCCAAACTCGAGCCAGAATAATGAAAACCTCTTGGGGATCATTTTTGACTCTGAGGTCGAGAAGGGAATGCAGAGCACGTTCACCAGAGAAAACACCACGAGTTCCACAGAATGCTACAAGATTCCCGAGGGAAGAGGCAACCTGAAAAGGGCCGTAGACACAGCAGAACCCTTGGAGTACACCAAACTTACCATCATGATGGGTGGCCATTTCTTCAACAAGCATGGAATTCCGTCGGACAGCATCAATCTAGCCGCCGCGAAGAACGTACTCCTTCGACACTTGAATCTAGACGTGTCGCAATACCGTCTAGTGGACTTGTCCAAGGGTGAAACCGCGGCCGGGGACAATGTCATCTACATCGACTACAAACTCCACCGTAATTGTCTCCCGCAGTTCAATGTGGGGTACGCGGATAACAAGGAAGGTATGGAGGCGATTCTTAACGACGAATTCAAGGGGCAATTGAGCGTTGGCGGTATGGCCTTTGGTGATGGAGCCGGTGTTCCTGACTGCGTCATGAATGGGTTCAGGGGAGCCTGGGGGATGAAATAAAATAGGGAAATCTTGTATATAAATGCTAGGTTAGAGATAGTGCCACAAAATTTGCATGGCTTGGGGGTCGAATCATGGCACTTTCATCGTTGTCCTCTTCAAGAATATCTTTTATAGAGGTTTGAAAAGTAGCCAAAAAGTTATAGTTGGATGTTAGACCATATTATAGCTGAGAGTATAGCTCCCATACAGGGCATCAGCAAACCCATACATCTAAAGCTCGTGGTGCCGAGGCACACGCGATTATATGCGCCACAGCCTGAAATAGACGATATACCCGAGAAGGGATAATAAGCAGACACATATATCCAAGTCATAAAAAAGCTTACATGCTAAGGTTATCTTAGTTGCAATGACTTAAAATAATACTAGATTGCCCGAAGTTTGTACCATCCGATAATTTTACGTATGATGTAACCACAGCTGGTCCGTGATTGCTGCCTCCACACAAAAGAATGACGCCGCAGGGCGCTATCTTTTTTGGGCGTCCCTATCTTCTGGCCCATATAAACTTGCTCTTGCCACACAGTCCCCCCCTCCTCCTTCACTACTTAACATATAGATATGGTTTCGATAAAAATTCTTGCACTTACCGCTGTTATTAGCACCACCACTACAGCGCTTTCTTTACCCCTTGTGGGCGCCTTTGACACCATCAAGGGGCAGTCCTTGTTCAACTTGCCGGGCAATGATAACAAGCCAATTCCCGGCGATTCTCCTATGAGCGTCTGTGATGCATCGGAGCCGCAGTTGTTGGAGTTGAAGTCGCTCACCATCTCGCCCAATCCGCCGCTTCGTGGCGAAAACATGACCATCTCGGCCGTGGCGTACTTGAGCAAAGACATTGCCGAGGGTGCCTATGTCGAGGTGGACGTGTTCTACGGCTACATCAAGTTGCTCCACCAGACTTATGACTTGTGTGAGCAGATCGGCGAAGTTGACATGGAGTGTCCATTGAAGGCTGGCGAGTATACCATTATCAAGCAGGTCGCCATTCCCGACCAGGTGCCGCCAGGAAAGTACGTGGTCAACGCTCGAGCCTTTACCGAAGAGGATGACTACATCACCTGTCTCTCTGCCACGGTAGTATTCCCTGTTGCTCTTTTGTAGATCCGTACCCGCATTTTATTCTTCCAATCCTAATATTCCATTGATTGAGGTGCTGTAATCGTAGAAAAATGATGCTTTGGTTTTTGACCGAGCTCACAATTCTTTTATAAGTTTGACTTATCAAGTTTCTGTCGTATGATATAGATATTACCCTAATCGAATGGTTGACTCGATTTTTCAAATAATATTCCATCCTAACATTACGTCTACTGACCTTGAGCTGTCGGATGTCGCAACTGCAAATTAGTCACTCGATATATCTATAACTTTAAAATATTAGTGGGACAAAATACGCCCGGCTTTACCACAAAACTTTAAGCGTGAAGCCATTTTCTCTCGTATATTATTGTCGGCTATTGGTTCGCTCTGCTTGCACTCTACAATCATGAGGCCGCTTTGATCCCTTTCTCGCTCTGAGTTCGCCTTTACCATGTATGCCGTGGATATAGCCTTACACTCTTTAAATAGGCCAATATATATTCTATATAAATCTCTCAACAATTCAAAAAGGTAGCTAATGGGTCAACAAACCTTCGGTTTCACTGGACTGAGGCACCGTCTCACCCGCACTGTTTACCGGAGTCATGTCATTCACACTGTTCGCTGGGGTCACTTCACCCGTAGTTGCCTGCAAAATCGCTAACCGCTTCCGAATCTTCTTCAACTGCCACTTAATCGGAACCCCCGGCATATACCCGTTCCGCTCCTCATACAACTTCAACCGCAACAACACAATGACCCCCACCCAATAAAGGTTATAGCTGATGACACTTCCATACGTCGCGCTGTTCGTCCAGCCCAACAACGCGTTGAACAACATCCAGCCGCCGTCTTTCAACCCGTTACAACAGTTGACATGCCACACAGATTTAGCAATGTCGTAGGAACCAGGACCAGAACCGACCTCACTCATGTCCTGACCATGGCAGTCGCGCACGTATTTCTCCAACTCAAAGAACCAAACCCCACGCGACATGAGCCCTGCCGAGACCAAATAGAGGAAACACGTGCTGAAGATCAAGAAGTATTGCAAGGAGAGACGGTTTCCCCCTTTATAGAGAAGCCAGCCAACGGTGAAGCCAAGTCCAGCACCGCAAAGAATCGCCAAGGGGAAGGACGACATTGGCTGGTTGACACCGATGCCGGCGATAAACACAACCGCCTCTAGGCCTTCTCTTAACGTAGTGACTAGTGGCAAAATCGCCAAAAAGTACTTGGTAGACAAGGTTTTAAATCTGCGCATGGCGCTACCAATCACTCCAGTATTTATATCGTGGGCCCTGGCCTTCTTTTGGCCGTGCTCTCTCTGCATTTCCAAGCTCTGGGTCAACTTGAAGTGCCACTTGTACTGCATCTGGTTGATTCGCAATAACGCAATACCCATGAAACTGATAATTATTGAGGAGAGAATGGAGAAGATACCCTCCCATAAGCGTTCCGCAAGCGACCACAAGTCGTTCCCCAAGATGTAGAAGACACCGACAAAGGTCCCTCCAATGAGGAGGCAGATGAAAAGCCCAAGCAACCCGCCGAACCAGATCTGGAGTTTGAGGCTGCGATACTCCTTGGAATCAATGAGAAGGATCTCCTGCTGTGTGGTCGGGTTGGTTGAGGTAAAGTTCTGTTTGAGAAACGCGAGAAGCACAGACACAATGATCGCAGACTCTAACGTCTCGCGGAGGATGATAAAGAAGATTTGCACCGAGAAATAGCTCTCGAAGTTGAACATGATATCTGAATTTATGGAGGTGCTATGAAACAGAAGTCAAGGCCGTGCGAAATGACAAAAGTTATTTGTCCCCTGGCAGTGATGGCGTCAGGGTTCGCGTTTCGATGTTACATTTTTCGCGAGTTCCTATGGATTTAGTGAGCACCATAAGCTTGGCATTTGGGAAAAAAGGACCGGACTGGGGTATTATATTCTAATACTCAAACACAGTCATACAGTGTCCCTTAGAGTAGGGGGCTGCAGATAGTGTTTGATAAGAGAAACAGGGAGGTAGGGACCTTTGCAAGACTAAATGTATTATCGAATCAGAAACAGGGCAACCATATCTACGCGTAGATAGTAAATTAGACATCTAAGGGCGTTCATAGTCGAACAACGGTTCGATAAAACACACAAAGATGGCTCAATCTCTTTAGGGAATTTCATTTACATTAAAAGGCATTAAAAGCAAACCACAAAACGACGAGAAATCCGCTGGCACTCTCCAAAGCCAGGACTAGAACAAGGCTCAGTACTCGAAACCCACCTGGTTTCGTCTTTCCAACCGGAAAGCGATTTACTAGGGCAATAGAATGCAAAAAAGGGCTACTACGAGAGCCTATGATCAATATCCAAGCGATGTATCAAAATTGTCCCTTTATAGGTGTCTCACAGTATACCCTTCTAAGTCGGGTGCCACCCCGTCTGGGTCCCACTTCCGGCCTTCTACAATAATCATTAACAATTATACTTATTAATACAAACAAATCATAAACCATAAATCGTAACTACAACCGCATGCGCTCCAAGTCATCGCTGGTGCTGAGAACCGCCTTGTTCGCTACTCGCGGGCTGGTGCTGACCGCCTTGCGCTTCGTGTGGAAAGCATCGTCACCCGTGGATTTGCGCTTGGTACCCTGCAGAGGCTGTGGCGACAGCTGGTGAAGCGGCGTCATCGCTAACAGATGCGGACTAAAGCCGAAGAGACGCTCGTTCAGGGGATGCTGTGTCTGCGTTCGTCGCGACCAGGCCTTGTTGGCCTCGCTGACGAGCTTGTTTTTACGGTAGATTTCATCGGTGATCATGTGCTGTTGCGAGGGATAGAACCTTGCCGCGGGAGCCAAATCACTGTCGAGGCCGAGTGGATCCTTGGCACCGAGTAGCTCATCGTCCTTGAACGTGAACCAACTAGCGAGCTCGTGCCCCATCTCGCTATCAAAAGGAGACACCTCGTTTTGCAACTCATGGGTAACACGTCGTACGGCCTTTAGCTGCGGCTTTGTCTCGCGGTACAACATCTTGCGGAACATCACCTTGGGGGATGTCACCATCTCCATTGGCCGCTGGTCTTCCATATGCTCGCCATCCAGATCCATATTGAAGATGTCCGAGAGAGAAGACCGCCGCAGAACGTTAGGAGAGGGGGTGAAGTCGTACGAGATTTGTTGCTGCTGGCGGTTTAGCGCCGAAATGTGATGCGGTTGTAAAATCGGGCGCGTATTGCGAGCCTCCACTTGTTCAACGTCCGAATCCGGCGCCAGATCCGCATCATCCGAGGAGTCAATGTGCGAGTCAGTATTGTGCTCGACAATACCCAAGGAGCTGACGCTGGATGACTGGCAGTCGGAGCGGCGGTTGAACGAGTTTCGTCGGCGCCACAGGGGCGCCGTGATGGTGATAGATGGGGAGGCGGCGGGGCTGGGCGTGAAGAACGCGGAGCTCAGGTTGCGCAGGAGAGTTGAAAAGGGGTACACCAGCGTGGGTTTATCCTGCTTCATGGGGAATGGTGCGGGTGAAGCGAGCGATTCTTTGAGAATGTCCCTCTGTGGGAATGTTATGAATTGCCGTAATGATTTTTGACACTTTTCTTATCCTTAATTTTTTTTTCTTTTTCTGCGTGTTATCAGAGCCGCGCATGTGCAATATTCAGGGGGAAGCTAATACGAGTACCAAGAAGGGTGGATTAATAGACATCCACAAATTCTGAGGCATTACATCTTCCAACAAAAAGGGTTCTTAAAGCTGCTTTAATAATTAGAGACCACGGTGGGATTTTACCATTTCTTTCCATGTTGAAATATTCCCGTCGAACGCAGAACGCTGACAGACCAAGGCCTGGCCCACGTGACTGTTCGCAAAAGTGGAAAACTCAGGCTCCAATCTCTTACTCCGCATTTCTTGCTATATCTCCACATACGTTATCCCCACCCCTGCCAATTCCAGACAATATTCCAAAATGTCTCTTTCCACGCGTCAAATTGGCTTTGGGTTCCAAAATGCCCGTAGATGGGCCAGCACTACCGCCAGAGCCGTAATCTACACCGACCACGGTGAGCCAGCGGAGGTGCTCAGGGTACGGGCCTACCAATTGGAAGACCCGGCTGAAGCCTCAGGCAACGTTTTATTGCAGGCCGTCGCGGCTCCGATCAACCCGTCGGATATAAACCAGATTCAAGGCGTGTACCCGTCTAAACCTGCCAAGACGTTGGAGTTTGGCACACCCGAGCCGGCAGCACCGTGCGGCAACGAGGGGTTGTTCCAGGTGCTTAAGATCGATCCCAAGGTGACTGACCTCCAAGTGGGTGACTGGGTGATTCCAAAGATGCCTAACTTTGGGACCTGGAGAACCCACGCGTTGACACCCTCCAAGGACTTGATCAAAGTGTCGAACGGGTTGTCCGTCCAGCAGGCCGCCACCATCTCAGTCAACCCGTGCACAGCCTACCAATTACTCACTATCTTCAAGAAACTCGCACCGGGCGACTTTTTCATCCAAAATGGGGGTAACTCCGCCGTGGGAAAGTACGCGATCCAGATCGGAAAGCAGCTCGGGCTTAAGTCCATCTCCGTCGTGAGAGACAGACCAGATTTCGCGGTGTTAGAACAGGAGTTGCTCGAATTGGGCGCCACCCATGTGATCACCGAGGAACAGAGTGCGGACAGAGCCATGGGTACCATTATCAAGGAGTGGGTTGGCAAGGGCAAGCAGATTTCCTTAGCCTTGAACTGCATCAGCGGCAAGTCTGCCACAAATATCGCGCGCAAGTTGGGCAAAGATGGGATCATGGCCACCTACGGGGGCATGTCCAAGCAGCCGGTAATCCTCCCGACCTCGTTGCACATCTTCAAGAACATTACCAGCGCCGGGTTTTGGTTGACCGCCAACACTAAGGACGACCCGGAGGGCAAGATCGCTGTGATTGACAAGATTAACGAATACTATTTGAGTGGTAAGTTAAAGGAGGCTAAGTTTACCGAGAGCAAATTTGACATCGCCAACGGCACCAACGAGCAGTTGTTACAAGCGTTTTTGACCGGTATCCAGGCCAAGAACGGCAAACAGGGAGTAGTGTTCAAGTAGCCAATTGAAGGTAATTAAACCTGGAAAGTTCTGTAAAGCGTGATATATGAAATCTTTTTGGCGTAATTTAGCGGGGTAGATATCTTGATAGCCACAAGATGTCGGTGAAATGCGATAGATGAATAACCAGAAGCGATATGATATCTGGAGTTTCCAGTGCCTTTCTGATAGCGATATACTCTCTAGGTTAGCATGAAATGAGGGGGTACCATACAGAATCTTGAAGTCAACCTCGGAAAGCAGTCAAGCTATTACAAGGAGATAGCCACTTCTACTTTACAAGATAGAGGTTAGGTTGTAGGAAATCGACCGCAGAAAAACGCGATGCTGAATGTGACAAATGAGCGAAAAGGTACTCAAATCCTTAAACTTTTTTAAGATCAGACGTCCGACAGTTCAAGTGACAATATCAGCTCACCGGCTATAGCCTACCAGCTGAAGTATAAATGTAAGAGCAAGCTTAACACCCATTCTACAATCCTCATTCGAATAAATATCCATAGAAAGGCTAGAAAAAAAAGCTCACATAACTATACAATCATCCTGGGAAAAGCCACAACCAAAACCCAGCTCCTGCGCAGGACCGCCGATGCGGGATATCTGTAACGTTTGCTCTCCATCATCATGGTACCACTCAAGTGTGCTCAACCGCTCGTTGTACTCATACTTTCCGCTGGAAATCTGAACCTCCATCTCATCCTCACGGAAGTGCCAGCTCGGAACGTAGACTACCGATGGCTCGCCCTTCAAACACAGAGTGCCGTCCATCTTCAAGTCAAAAACCAAACTCTCGAGGTCGAACTCACACTCCTTGATCTTACCATTCACAGCCACAGGGTACGGCCTGGCCAACGCGTCAATGGCCCTGATCCCGTCCTCGGACGGAAAATAGTCTGCGCTATCCGCATTGTACCCACACGCCTTCTTTAGCTTACGGCCGCTGGTTCTGGCCCGGGAATATATCCGATTCGATAACACGGTGCTATCATCTCCTGACTCACCACCGTCCTTCTGAATGTACCTATCGGCAAAAGGATCGTCGAGCTTTGAGCGTACCGACGTGTTTGGGGTTTGGTAGATAGTGGAGCCCCCATAGGTGGAGAAATCAACCTCGCAGCTGCGCGACTGATCGTTCTGGGACCAGATTGAAAAGTCTTCGTTATTCCAGTTGTCCCCCCATTTGTGGTTATTTTCCGAGCAATAACTCCAGAAGGTTACACTGAGGTTGTTTCCCTCTATAGCATAGCCCAACGCATCCCAGGCGCGAGTCTGCGACTCGTACCGGCTGGTGTCATATGCCTGCTTGTCATCCATATCAAATGGCATGCCCGTTTCGGTAAACATAACGGGCACCTGGAAGCCCAAATATTCCTCGCACTCTTTGCGGATCTCGGAAAACTGCCGTTTAATGCACTTGCGGATGTTTGCCTCGCCCATGACGATGCCAAGTGCCGGGTTCATGTAGCGGCCGCGGAGAATCCCGAGTGTGTCGACATTGTACTTGCGGTTCCACGTCTTGAACATGAGTGACATCCCGTCGTAGTAGTGCGGCGCATAGACCGTCCGCGAGTCAATTACACCGGTGCCAACCAAGTTTGGGGGGATTTGCATCACCGGTGGCTGGCAGAAAAGAAACACATCGGGTGAGATATCCCGGATCACCCGCTTAAACTCCTTGTACATGTCCACAAACAAGTTGTTGATGAACCATTCCTCGTCGATGCGGGCTCCCAGGGTCGGGTGGCGCGAGAAGTAGTCAGGACGGAGAATTTTACCTGTACGAGGCTCCCACACCCCGTGTAAGGCATACAAACAGCCGGGATCCCAGCCGGGATCCCTCTGGAACCCATACTTCGCGTCCATTAGCGCTCCAGTCGCGGGAGTAACCCACGCACTGGTTCCCCGAGGATCCACCACCTGGCTGCCCTTCTTCTTCGGGCCAAAAATAGAGATTTCGTACTCATCCACCGTGCAAGCGCTGCCCATTCCTAAGACCATGGCCTGGATTGCGGTCGGCATCAACCCTAGCTTGAGTTTCTGTTGCTTCGGCAACTCAGCAATGGTCGGCACGCCAATGAACCCGCAGCTTGGCTCGTTGAGCGACTCAAAGCCGATGATGGTCTCGTGAATGAGCCCAGGGGCTTCAGTGACGATCCGCTGCCACATATGACCCACAGCGTTGTTGAAGTGCAGCTGGAGGTAGTCCTGGATGTTGACCCCATCCATGATACACTTTGGCGCAAACACCTTCCCACCAAAGAACAATGTAAACATCGTAGCGGCCGCAAGCTTGAAATAGTTGGTTGACCAGACCATTTTAGTGTATTTCTTGGGATCCTTCGCCTCACAGTGGAGCACGGAGGCCTCAGTGGCACTGAAATGGCGCGGCTCAAGACCCACCGCATACAACGTCCACATCGGAGCGCCACTCCCGCCGCTAAACCGTGACCAAACGTCCTGGTGCATGTCCATGAAGACGTACAAGCCTCCGACCGTCTGAGCAATCTTGAGGATATCTATTGTGAATGTGATAAAGTCTTCGTCATAGATACCGGGGCCAGAGTGCTCTAACGCTTCCCACGTGACAATGTACCGAATCACGTTGAAGCCGAGGCTTTTGATGCGGCGGAAGTGCGTTGCTGCTTCGTTAAGTGGGAACGGTCTGTTGAGAAACGACACGGTATCGCCTTCGTAAAGGATGTTGGGGTGTGAGACATCGCTCGCGCCACCCCTGTAAGATGGAAGGTCAGGAGTAGTAGGAAGCTTGGCCGAGGCGTCGAGGTTGACCCCACGGAGAAGCACCCTGCGACCGTATCTGTCGGTGAAATGGCCATTTTGGTCTGTCCCTAAGCGGCCATGAAGGAGTTCAATCGGCATATCAGTGCTGTCTGGCACCAGGCTGTTTTGCTGATTCATAGATGGAAGGGAGAAAAATCTAAAAGGGGCTTCAATTGAATAGAGGCTAGGAAGGTGAAAGAGATGGTAGGGATCTCAAATAATGCAGGAAAAGTGGAGGAACAAAGGCGTAAGTATGTAGAACCAGAGCAAAATTGTGGGTTAGAGCAAGCAGCTAGGTAAAGGAAGGCGGAACTAGCTTCTGGCGGGGAAAATATGAAACGTTGTCTGGGTCAATGTGTGAGTACACGAGGTATGATCACTAGATGCAAATGAAGAGTCCTTTTTATAGGTAACGTAAGGGATACCGTTAGTTAATGGTGCTCACTGGGTAGTGTATACAGAGCTGTGAGCTTTAATGAATTTATCTGAATAATAAACCCATCTTGGGCACGGAGACTGTGCACGAATGACCGATAGTAGTTCAGGGGTGCTGCCGCAGCCAGACCAGCTGGCCCTAGGGCACAAAAGAAACAAGACGTCACTAGGCAGATTTTCTGCGCCGCTACGTAAACCTCTGTAGGTCCATAGCCAGAAGATGAGCTAATTTTAAAAAAGAGGGGCTACCCAAGGAAATATATTTGAATAAATATCAACGGTTTTTTTTTTTTCCGGATTTTATCCCATAATAGAGGTAGCGTGTTCTAGTGGTGCTGCGGACACTAGGTTTCGATTACCATGTAGGCAACCATAAGCTAGAGGTTCTCTGAGTAACTTTTTGCGGAAACTCCTAGGCTGACTATTACTTGCCGTTATCAGTGATAAGTAGTTCCGTGTGATCCGCAAATTAGAGGAGCGTGGATTCTAACACCTCATGCCTTAGTGTCTATGGAATAATAAAATCATACAGGTTTTTGCTTCGGGGTATCTCTATTACCCGGTAATACCGGGACAGACAAACAACCTGAAACCGGAAATCTGAACGCACGCTTCATAAGTTGGTTAATTTTCCTTGAGCTTTTCCGATGCTTTTAACCCCGCACTAGTACAGAGCTTCCGTTGCGCGAAAAAAAGTCTTGTTTCACTGGCACTTGCCAGCCAGGAGTGTAACGTTTGACTGCATCGCTCCACCTCCTGGTATTCCGATATAAACGACTTAGAGATTCTCAGTTTGTTCTTCCAAGCCCAGCCACCTTCCTTTTTCCGAAACATATCATCAATGATCATGCTATAGTGAGCACGGCCGCTGGTTAATAGTGCGCCAATTATGGAAGCTTTTTTTGGCCTTTATAAAATACTTATCCGACCACATAGAAGAGCTTTATGGTTGACCTCCTTTCGTCTCGTTTGAGATGTGTTTTCTCGGAGCGCCAATCTCTGCTCAAAAGACATTATTCTCTGATCGAACCACAACACATTAGTTGGTGAAAAGTACACGTGATGTTGAATTTGTTACTAATCATTACATCCTGCATATCCTGCATGATTCACTTTTTATATAAATTTTTCAGAAAAAAGCGCCACCTGATAAGAAGGACTCTTTTTTTTACCAAACACAAAAATGTCAGAAGAAAGCACCCATATTGTATCCTCAAACGGCCAGGACGACTACATTGAAGCTACCGAAGTGGCTGAAGAGGTTGCGCCTATCACAGACGATGCTCCAGAGCCGGTGGATGATGACTCCGACGCTGAGATGGTGGACGAGGATGAAGCGGGCGAGTACGACGCTGAAGGCAACCTCACGATTGACATGTCTAACAACTCGTGGGGTTACTTTGATCAGCACAGCGACTCCATCTTCACCGTGTTCACCCACCCAACCTTGCCGCTTGCAGTCACCGGAGGCGGGGACAACACCGCGTACATGTGGACCACCCATAAGCAGCCGCCACAGATGGTGACGGAGTTGAAGGGCCACAAGGAGTCTGTTATTTGTGGTGGGTTCACCTTTGACGGCGAGTTTGCCGTTACCGGTGACATGAACGGGAAGATTCTCATCCACCAGCTGGCCAAGAAGGGTCAGCAGTGGCAGCTCTTTGCGGAGTTGGAGGAGGTGGAAGAGGTGTGTTGGATCGTTACTCACCCTACCCAGCCGGTTTTTGCGTTCGGTGCCGCTGATGGCTCCGTCTGGGTCTACCAGATCACTCCGCAATTGGAGCAGATCATGTCTGGGTTTTCGCACCAGGATGTGTGCAACGGAGGCAGATTTGTCAACGTAGAAGACTTGGACTCCTTGACCTTGGTGACCATCTCCGAAGATGGCTCCATCGTCTCTTGGAACTGTTTCACAGCTCAGACCAACTACAAGATCGGCCCAACCGAATTGAAGGGGACGTCTCCGCCGTGGGTCTCCATCTCCTTGCACAACTCCCAGAACAACATCATGGCGGTGGGCTCGCGCGACGGGCAATTGGCCATTGTGAACTCCACCAACGGCACCATCTTGACCTTCTTCAAGGTCATTGTCTTAAAAGAGGACCAGGACGAATCCGAGGCATCCATTGAAGCCTTGTCGTGGTGCGACGTCCAGCCGATTATCACGGTCGGGCTCGTCAGCGGCGACGTCATGTTGCTCGATACCAAGACCTGGAGAGCTAGGAGAACCATCTCCGTCGACGACACCATCACCAAGTTGCAGTTTGTCGCTAATTCGCCGTTACTCATTGGTTCGTCTATGAACGGAAAGATCTACAAGTGGGATTCCAGAACCGGTGAAGAGTTGTTCGTCGGTGTCGGCCATAACATGGGGATTTTAGACTTTGCTGTCATCGAAGGCGGTAAGAAGTTGCTCACCGCTGGTGACGAGGGTGTTTCGCTTGTCTTCTACAACGAGTAGTGTACTGTTTAGAATATAATATTGAAAGTCAAATTAGTGAGTAGAGAAGGTGAGTTCTAGAAGGCAGTTGAAGATTCATCATATACAGAGACACGCCAATACGTTCAGAGGAATAGAATGAGATTTTTATTTCATATCCACAAAAGAGTAACCTCCCTGAAGCACTGATACAATTCATTTATTTATCTCGTATTACTGGATGACTCTCAGGGAACCCTTGTTGCGCGTCCTGGGAGCTGAAGAGGCCCTATCTTGGGTAATTGAGTCTCGCATTTGTTGAGCTTCTTTAGTTTTGGTTGATTTTAGGAATTTATCTAACAGCTTGCCGTATTTATTGTTATTTTTGGATTCTTTCACATTTGATTTGAAGGCAAATTGCACATATATTGGTACTTTGGGGGGAATAAAAATGCATAGCTAATCACTGCACTGCTCATAAGACCAGATTCCGTCCTTGTCGATTCCTCGCCTCAAGCACAATACCACCTTTTCACAAAATATCGCGTTTAAATCCTCAACTCTCCACTCATACCTAGTACACATAGCTTTCCAACTGTAATTAAAATCTTTCTTTTTCATACCTATTAACAGTTCTGAGTATCTATTTCATCATATCCTTCAACTTCCTCTCGACGATGCGCTCGATCATCTGCCCTAACTTACTATCCTCTTTCGCGTACTCCTGGGCCATCAGCGCCTCAATTTGTCTCGCGATCAACTTACCGGTCAAATCCACCTCCACGTTGATGGTCTCGCCGACCTTCTTAGTCGCCATTACAACCTTATCCTGGGTGTACGCGACCATCATGATGCCAAAGGTGGCCTTGTCAAAGTCAACCTCGGTGACAGTGAGCGACGTCCCATCCAAGGAGATGAAGCCCTTTTCGACAACGTAGTTGATATTTTCCACGTCCCTCATCTTGAAGGAGAAGCGCAAGGAGTTGGCGTCCGGCGTGATGGACTCGATCGTGGCAATGGTGTCAACGTGACCCTGGACGAAATGGCCGCCAAAACGGACCTCTCCGGAAATGGCTCTTTCCAAGTTCACCTTAGACCCGGTCTTTAATTCGCCCAAGTTGGAGCGTCTCAATGTTTCTGGTGCCATTCCGATCTTAAATGTGGTCTTGGCATCGTCAAACTCCGTCACCGTGAGACACACCCCATTCACCGCGATGGAGTCGCCGAGGTGCACGTCGCCAAGCACCGGCGCTGCGTCGCCGATTGTCAATGTCACGCCGTTTCCACCGGTCGCAGTGGTATCAAGTGTGTTGTATTCCAAAATGGCTGGATGTTAGTATTAGATATGGATCAGACCTGAGATTCATAGGCCAGGGAGGTAAGACCTGAAGATTACAGCCAAGATCTCGATATTTATACATACTACCAATGTGCTCGACAATTCCGGTAAACATTATGTGCGCTGTATGGTTATATTATATGTTAAGGAGGAGTATGGTATATAAATAGCGGAGAGGAAGGTATGTGGGTAAGATCAGGAGTTTTCCCCATCGCCTGATTAAGCATTTGTCAGATAGCATTGAGGGTTACGAGCCTGGGTTGCGCATCGTACCAAAAGACTGAGATAATCGTTTGCTTCCAGAAAGGCGGGAAAGATTCAGCACGTGACTTTACCTCGAGTCAACCCTCAAAGTATGTTGTAAACTCTTAATCGGCGGGCCATACATCGAGCTACTAAAAGCGGTATTATTTAATCATATTTTTTTCTCGAATAATCTATTTAAATACATTCAAGCTTGTTAAAGCTAATTTATCAGGCCGTGTGATATATTTCTATAAACCATAACAACGCTCAAACATGTAGACTGTTGTGGAGCTTACAAGGCATACTGCAAACTAGGAATTTCCATCATAACTACACAAAAAAGTCTAGACCCAATCATTAACCTTACAAACACCGCATGGGGCCTTTAGGACGTAAATCAAACTCTTGCAAAATGATGCTTCCTGGTTTCTATTTCAACCTCTGCCCGGGAACGCGCGTTCTGTATTCAATTTTCGCTGACGCGTGAAGTGACGCGTCTTTTTCAACCATTTCGTGCAACCTGCCTATTCTTGTTGCTTTGTCTCACGCTTTTCACAATCGGATACTACAAATCGTCTTGCACAAGTATCGAATCTGGATACCTCTACATACCCTAAATCCACACATGACCGATACCAAGCCACCGGTCCTCGAGAACGTCGCTCCTGATGTGCAGTCCTCCACGCCATCATCCTCCGACATGCTCTTCTACTACCAGCGCTTCCTCCCGTTCAAGGCCGTTTTCCAATGGCTCTCGCACTCTCCCAAGCCAACTGCCGACTTTACGATGCGCGAGTTTGCGTACGAGTATCGTAGCGGCGCATACCAGCGTTACAACTCCTACGCGACATCGGAAGAGTTCAAAGAGGCGGTCTGCCGCGCGAATCCGATGCGTTTCGAGGTAGGTGCCGTTTATGCGGTCAATCCGAAGGACAGAAAGACATTACCCAAGTCAGCGATGAGGCCATTGGCGAAGGAGTTGGTATTCGATATCGATTTGACCGATTACGATGAAATCAGAACGTGTTGTTCCAAAACGGATATCTGCGAAAAGTGCTGGAAATTCATCACTGTCGCCACCAGGATTATCGACGGCGCATTACGGGAGGACTTTGGGTTCGAGCACTTGATCTGGGTGTTTTCCGGGAGAAGAGGGGCGCATTGTTGGGTCAGCGACCAACGTGCGCGCAACTTAGACGAGACCGCCAGACGTGCGATTGTCGAGTACATGGACGTGTTAAAGACGAAAACCAACAAGCGGATCAGCGTGCGGAGGCCATTCCACCCGCTCGTAGAGAGGTCCTTCGACGTGCTCAAGACGGAGTTCCAGGAGATTATCTTGGAGGACCAGGACCCCTGGAGAGACCTTGAAAAGGCCAAGGAAATGGCACAGTTGTTGCCTGACAAGACGCTCATCGCCGAGTTGACCAAGAAGTGGAGTGAGGGGAGGTCATCGTCCAAGGCCAAATGGGAGGATATCAACACGGTGGCCGCAAAGGTGTTGCCAAAGAACTTCAAGACCGAGTTACTCAACGAAGCCAAGAAGGACATCATCATTAGCACCTTGTATCCGCGTTTGGATGTAGAGGTCTCGCGCCAGGTGATCCATTTATTGAAGTCGCCGTTCTGTATCCACCCGTCTACCGGAAACATCTGTGTGCCATTTGACCCGAGAGACGGAGATTTCCATCCGACAAAATCGCCCAACTTAGCTCAGCTTCTTGAGGAGCTTGAGGCGTGGGATGAGAATCCGGATAACGCCGACATAGGCAAGAAGCTTGCTGACTGGGAAAAGACCAGTATGAAGCCATATGTGGATTTGTTCCGCAAGTTTGTTGCAGGTTTGTTGAAGGATGAATTCAAGGGGAAGAGAGAGAGAGAGGGCACGGATTTTTAGTGTTTAAAATAAACTAGTAATACCCGAAACTAGTTGTGGAAATGAGTGTAGCAGACGTTGGAAGGATGTTTACGAGTATTGCTAAAGAGAAATAGTTTCCTAACAGTATGAACACCCGATACAAGTCGGTGGGCATAAATACAAGGGAGAGGTGGAAATGAACGGGTAAAAGGTGTTTGGAAGAAGGCCCTAAAGGGTATACAGATAAGCGAGATAGGGAGTTTCAAGACGCGTTCTAAGAAATTTCTGTCTAGTAGGGGAAGTAAAACCTTTTATCTATTATAGCACATCAAGCTGGTAGAAATTAGTGACTCAATTTATTTTCAAATGCGAGACACGTGAATATTAACTGAAGCTAGTTATAGCATACTACCAAAAGTGCACTCTACAATTCCTTTCCTTTTATTATTTATTTCGTTTACTGTTTAAAAATCCACGATCTTGACTCCCTCGTTGCTGACCACCTTGACCAAAACGCCCTTGAAGTCCATTGGCATTCTAAGCTGCAACTCCTTGACGCATAATTGTAACAAGTCCAATCCCTCCTGCTGTGTCATGTCAGCACGGTAGTGTCTGTCCAATAAGGAAGAGGTGTAGAAAGCAGCGTAGCCGTGGGCACAGTACGGCAACTCCACATTGGTACCCAAATAGTCGAGCCAGTTGAGCGACGGCTTCTCTGTTTTAGTGTCAAACCCAGCAATGAGCACGTTCACCTGGTACGGCTTTCTTGATCTGAGCGACGACGCCAACTGGTTTCTCACAAAACTGGCTGTTGCCTTAGGAGACAACTCGTAGCTCTCACGCATCGCATGGAGCTGCATGTTTGCCTGGATGTACTCCGCAAATTGAACTGCCCGATTAGTATTTCTCCATCGGAGGAGCATTTTGGTACATACCTGTGTCACCGGATTCACCGGTAAAGGCCATTAGGGAGTGCTCGCCGAGCTGTCTGGTCTTATCGTCGGTAGAGTTTAAGATGGAGATCCCTCTGGTGAACGCTTTCGAGGTGGCGATGATGGTGCAGTCCTGCACTCTGATCCCTAAAATAATGTCCATTGTGATTTTGCGATGTGGTGAGTGGGAATTGAGGTATATGGATGACAAGTGGAGAACAGTTGAGAGGAAAATAATGGCGTTTGCCGTTAAAAGTGCCACCGGATTTCCTATCCAGGGATGGTAGGGGGACGACCTAGCACGGACTTGTAGAGGAGGAGTCCTTGGGCAAGGTTTACCAGTGTCATACCTTTATATTGCGTGGATTATGATGTATAAAAAAGCTTCGAAACATAATCTTGCGAGAATCATATAGCTCTACTTTCACAAAGAGGCATTACGAGATTAAGGCTTATCTGGTTGGTTTTTGGATCAGTCGCCGCTTTGCCCCGTGTACGCAGGCAATAGAATCTGGGTCTAGGCTTCCCTTTCTCGTAGTTTTGCATTCAATCAGCCAGCTCTTCACGACTTACGAATCCCAGTGGCGGATTTTTTTTTTTCTTGTGGAAATATCAGCACCATTAAAGGTCACTTATACAGTCACTTGCGCTCAGATTCAATAACCATCGCCAATAAAATGGTATTGGCGTATTGCTATGGTCATACCATGCGGTTGGTATAGATGGTTCACACTCTCCAAAATCTGAAAAGTGACTGCAAGATAGAACCAGGACTTGGCAAGCTCTGGTCATACTTCAACCCTCACGATCGTGTTCAAGTCAGGTTCTCGCTTATGGTTTCTAGCTTCCCCCGCCATCCCCGATGCCTGGCGTTGTGAGCCCGCAGATAAAACTTCTCTGCGGCTGCGATATCTGAGCCTGATTTGATGCTAGATTATTCTCCTTGCAATCAACACATTCACCATTATGCCCGCTGTATATCCCCGGATATTGATAGACCGGCTTTGTTCTGCTTCCAGGGAAGTTTTGGGCGATGCAGACGAAGATTTGGTGCGGTTCGTCATCAGTTTGTATGAACTGGCGACAGACAAGACGGATTTTGCCGCCAGGCTTGCAGAGATGGGCGGAGAATTTCCAGCGGAGTTTGTGGACCGCTGTGATATTCTTATTAACGAGCATCACCCCGATTTTGCAGCTGTCAAGGTGGAAGACATAGACGCCAAGGTCCTCAGTGCGCTCTCGCTTCCGAATCGAAGTGATAGAACAAAGAGGGAAGATGTGAAAAGGGAGGGAGTTATGATTATCAAAAAGGAAGAACCTAAAGAGGTTTATGGTTCGGGTGACCTATTTCCGTCTTTCAAGCCTAAGGAGAGGCCCAACAAGGGGGTTAAACAAGAAATCAAGCATGAGAAGCGTGAAATTAAACGAGAAATCAAGCAGGAGGAACACGAGAAACATATCAAAAAGAAAGATGACTTTAGGGGAATCCACCCCGATAGACATGCCATGAGAGAAGCCCAGGATGAAAGATTCAATAATGCAGACTCTCTCGACCCGGACCCTGTTCTCGACCACATCTACTCCGGTGTGGTGTCGAACTTGACTGACTTTGGTGCGTTTATCCGCATTCGTGTCAAACACCCGGTGGACGGACTCTGCCACATTTCCGCTCTTGCCAATCGGCGCATCGAACATCCGTCTGAGGTGCTCACGCGCAACCAGCAGGTGTATGTCAAGGTGGTCAAGATAGACGGGCGGAAGTACGGCCTTAGCATGAAGAATATCAACCAAGATACCGGGGAGGAAGAGGCGCCGCGGGGCCGGTTCGAAGAGGTGGTCAGGCCCAAAAGACGCCTCACATCGCCTGAGCGCTGGGAGCTCCGCCAGCTCATCGCGTCCGGTGCCGTGAACGCAGCGGACCACCCAGAGCTCGTGGAAGATGTAAACGCTGCGTTTGCGGAGGAAATGGAGGAACCGGACCAGGAGGAGGTGCATATTGAATTGAACAAAAGGGAGCCAGCGTTTCTCGCGGGCCAGACCAAAGAAAGCTTGCATTTAGACCCCATCCGGGTAGTCAAGAACCCCGAGGGGTCAATGAGCCGCGCGGCGATGAACGGCTCGGTTTTGGCGAAGGAGCGCAGAGATAAAAGGATCCAGGATGCCAAGGACGAGGCCAAGGAGAAGGCGCGCGATGATCCGTTAGTTAAAATCCAAGCGAAAGAAACAGCTAATATGACGGCGGCGCAGGAGTGGCGGCGCAAGCAGGCCACAGCGTCGTACGGGAAGCGAACGGACCTCCCGATGCAGGAGCAGCGCCGTGGACTTCCTGTGTACAAGATGCGGGAGGAGCTCCTTGCAGTGGTGCGGGCGAACCAGTTCTTGGTCATTGTGGGGGAGACAGGATCCGGAAAGACCACCCAGATTACGCAGTATCTTGCAGAGGAGGGGTTCGGCGACACAGGCATCATCGCGTGTACGCAACCCAGACGTGTGGCTGCGGTTTCTGTGGCGAAACGTGTGGCAGAAGAGGTTGGGTGCAAGGTGGGGGCCGAGGTGGGGTACTCCGTCCGGTTTGAAAACGAGACGTCGGAAGCGACCAAGATCAAATACATGACTGACGGTATGCTCCAGCAAGAAGCGATCGTTGACCCCAACATGTCGCGCTACAGCGTGGTCATGTTGGACGAGGCGCACGAGCGGACTATCGCCACGGATGTGTTGTTTGCGTTGTTGAAGGATGCGTGCGCCAGACGGCCGGACCTCAAAATCATTGTCACATCAGCAACGTTAGATTCGGACAAGTTTTCAAAGTACTTCAACGACTGCCCGGTGGTGACGATTCCTGGACGGACGTTTCCGGTGGAAGTCATGTACACACGTGAGCCAGAGGCGGATTACTTGCAGAGTACGATTGACGCGGTGATGCAAATCCACATGTTTGAGCCGGTGGGTGATATCTTGGTGTTTTTAACCGGCCAGGAGGAGATCGAGGCGTCGTGTGAGACGTTGTACGAGCGAGTCAAGGCGCTAGGTAGCTCCGCCCCGGAGTTGATCATCCTCCCGGTGTACTCTGCTCTCTCGTCAGAGATGCAGAGCAAAATCTTTGAGGAGACGCCTTCCGGCGCGCGTAAGGTGGTCTTGGCCACCAACATTGCGGAAACGTCCATTACCATCGACGGGATCTTCTACGTGGTGGACCCCGGGTTTGTGAAAATCAACGCGTACGATGCAAAGCTCGGAATGGACTCGTTAGTGGTGTCACCGATTTCACAGGCGCAGGCCAACCAGCGCGCCGGGAGAGCCGGTAGAACGGGCCCGGGGAAGTGCTACCGCCTCTACACCGAGAGTGCGTTCAAGCGCGAGATGCTCCCCAACACGGTACCCGAGATCCAGCGCACGAACCTCACGTACATGATTCTCATGTTGAAGGTCATGGGCATTAACGACCTCCTCCACTTTGAGTTCATGGATCCGCCGCCCGCTAGCGCGATGATCATGGCATTAGAAGAGCTCTTCCGCATCTCCGCGCTTGACGATGATGGGTTCTTAACCCCGCTCGGGCGCAAAATGGCGGACTTCCCCATGGAGCCGACACTTGCCAAGACGCTCATAGCGAGTGTAGAGCACGGATGCTCCGAGGAGATTCTCTCCATTGTGTCGCTCCTCTCTGTCCAGACTATCTTCTACCGCCCTAAAGACAAACAGGAGCAAGCGGATAAGAAGAAGGCGCGTTTCCACCACCCGCACGGGGACCATCTTACGTTTCTCAACGTGTACAACGCGTATCTCCAGAACGGCTGTACGCGCACGTGGTGCCAGGACAATTTCATCCAGGATAGAAGTATGAAGCGGGTTTTGGAAGTTCGGAGACAGTTGGTTGCCATCATGAAGCGGTCGAGACACGAGCTTATCAGCTGTGGTGCCAGAACTGATAGCGTCCGAAAGGCGCTTGTGGCGGGCTTCTTTAAGAACACCGCTAAAAAGTCACCCACTGATCCGTTCTACCAGACCTTAGCCGAGAACACGCCTGTTTACATGCACCCATCGTCAGCCTTGTTTGGAAAAACTAGCTCCAGTAACGGCCAGTACGTGCTCTACCACACGCTCTTGTTAACCACCAAGGAGTACATGCACTGCGTCACGGTAATTGACCCTAAGTGGTTGGTCGCATTGGCGCCGACATTCTTCAAGGTGGCGGAATCTAATACCAAAAAGCAGAAAATTGTGCCGTTATTCAACCGGCATGAGAAGGACCAGGATGCCTGGCGGTTGAGTCGCGGTAGGGGAACTGCCGAGGGGCAGTAGGTTAAGTGGAGACGAAGGGCGATTTATAAAAATCAATAATCGATATAGAAGAAATATTAGTATATAGAAATCAGAATGATTTCGGTGTAGAACCGGGTTCTCGTGGGCTATAGGGGTTTTTCACATACTTGTATTTGGCCAATAGGGAAACTGGCGAGCAGATATGACGTGAATGTGAAACTTTTCGGGTAAGAAAAATACCATTTCATACTCCAGGGAGAAATAATGACTAAGTGACCTCTTTTCCCATCTCCTCCCGAGAATACTACTCAACTATCTATGTCAAATCTGTATTAGCTAGCACAAAGCGCTCATACCTTCCAAGTCCCGGATTTGACTTCCGTTTTATAACAATTTTTGCTTAGTATGTCAGGTATCAGGTTGCGCAGTGTTTTCCTTACAACTCGCTAAGAGCATTCCTCTCTTCTTGATAAATATTCAATTATAATTTAGTGTTGAAACTCTGTGATATTGCCGCATGGCTTGCTGTATCTAGAGACGGGTGGTCAAAATAGACGTTATCTGAGGTATTTCAATTAACGAACGCTTGGCTTGCAGTAGTTTTACCCCACCTCGGAATGTCGACTTCCATACTCTACTCCGACTAATATATGAATATTATAAATAGAGAGTTTTATGAAGTTACAATTCCTTTTTCCCCAAACAATAGTCCCTCGTTAAGTCAAACCCCCACTAACATTAGGCCCAGGAGTGGGGCTAAATACCTGCCCTCTTAGGATTTAATCTCACTGTGGCTTACATAATCTCCTCCATGCAGGAGTGAAAAATTCCGCCCTTGATAACCCGAACAAGATTCTTAAAACTCCAAGGAACCTTGATATAACATATATCCGGTCAAAACATCAAGGGTCAAAATGTTGGTCAGTGTTTCCAGAACCCTCACTAGACAGTCTCCATTGTTCCGTGCTGCGGGCAGGATCGGTGCCAGATTTGCGTCCGATGCGACCGACGAAGGTCCGGCCAGAGTCGGTCTCTACAAAAAGATTGGCGTGGGTGCCAAATACTACGTCCCACCATCCTTCTCCAAATACCCATCATTCTTCTCCAGTCCCGTTTTCTTCATCAAGACCTACTTCAAGCGCTGGGGTAACAGTGGGTTGAACTGGTTCAACTTCGCGAGGGCCAAGAGAGAGTTAGGCCACTTGGACGTGGTTGACTTCCGACACAAGGCCATCGACATTTACATGAGAGTACACACTGCATTTGCCAGTAATAACTTTGCCAGCATTGATGACAAGGTTGCCACCATGGTCAAGGACAGTTTGGTGGCCAGAAGAAAGGATATGGCCCAGGTCAAGTTGGATTGGACTTTGGTTAAGTTCAACCAGCCTCCAAAACTCGTTTCCTTTAATCCTATCCCTGGTCCATCCGGTGCGATTGAGATGTTCCAGATGGTCTACAAATTTGACACCAACCAGAGGTTGATCATCGGCGAGCCAAAGAAGGAAATCAAGAGGACCGAGAAGGACTCTGTGGACTACTTTGTCTTCACCGTGGATCCGTTTTCTGACGATGTGGTCTTGGCCGGCTCTCTTTTTGAATCCTCACCAGCTGATAAGATCATGCCTGAGGTCGACCCAACCACCCCAAGAGACAAGGTATACGCCGACATGGTCGCCAAGGCTGACATTTTCCGCCTGTAACGGGTTATTTAATTGTATATAGCGTTGTAAATAGCCTGATTATTTTGGAGAAAGAGCGTAGGTCTTGAAATGCCAGTAAACAGAATGTGATAGTTTGAGCCATGAAAGGTAGCCGCTGCACCTAGAAAGCCAATGATCGGCATGACGATCGGACTCAGCGAGCCAAACGGAGTATACACAGTAAACTATTTTGGAAACACTCTTATATCAGGATGGTAGAAAAGTCAAACTTCTTGTGAGACAGGAGTCGATGCTAGCTTTGAGTGGGTGTGTGTGACTGTACTCCAGAATGATAAAAGATCTAACCTAAGTGGCCTACGTTTCACCGGCTGGTCTTCCTTGCCTGTCCTCCCAGGACCTAAAACCTGGACCCACAGGCTTAGGGGTGTTGGCAGAATAAAGCATTCATCCTTAGCAATATCGAAAAGCCTATACTAGATGGTTTCAAAGTACATGAGACAGTCTTGGATTCGTCACACTTGGTCCCCGGCGATTAAGGCGCTGTAATTGTGCTATGAAATCTATAAGCATGTGGATCAAGAAATCTCTTTCCAGCCCTTCAGCCTCATTAAACAGCGCCTGGACCTTAATCTGAAAACAATAGATAAAATATAAATGTACATAAAATTCGGCAACTTTTAATTAGGCTACTGGTTAAACGTGCTCATCACGTCCACATAGCCTCTTCCCTTGGCCTTTTTACCCCTTCTCGCAGCTGGCGCGGCAGAACCCATCGACAAGATATCCTCGATGCCAGAAGCTACGGCCTTCGGTTTGGCGGCCATAGCGGGAGGCCCAGTCGGAGCAGGCAGTGGCGGCGCCACTCCAGGAGAAACCATGCTAGAAGGTGTCATCCCTGGAGGAGCAGACGATGCAGGTTGTGTCAGACTAGGGGGCACAGTAGAAGGCGCTGCCGGTGGAGCAGAAATGTTGGACGGAAGCTTCTTCTTTGGAGGCGGTGGTGGGGCGGCCGGCAACTGATCCTCAAGTGGGGCGTTCTTATTGATCCACCTCTTCAACTTTTCGTCGTAGACAAAACTGCTTTCTTCACCGAGCTTGGCTTTGATCGCCTTTGGTTCCTCCGAGCCCTTCTTGCCCAACCAACCAAACCAGCCCTTGCCGTCCTTTAGTTCTTTGTCCCTTGGCTCTTCTTTCTTTGTCTTGGCTGGTTCTTCAATCTTGGCTGGTTCAGGAGCCTTCTTTTCCTCCTTCTTGAATAATTTGTCGTCGTCCGATGAATCAGACTCGCCTTCGACCTCGTCGCCGTATCTCATGGCACCGGCAGTGTCAGGAGAGTTCATGTAGTTGTTGTTTGCAACTGGTGGGGTATACAACTGGACAGGAACAAAACGGTCTTCGTTCAGCATTTGGTTGAACGCGTTTGAAGAGTTGGAGGGGACAGGTTGGTATCTCGCAGGGTTAGTAACTTGGACCAGCTCTTCATGCACAGCCTCGTTTACGTGTCCAGAGGAATAGGCTTCTGGGTCGTATTCTTCCGCACGGTCGGCTTCGTAACCAGCTTCATCACCGTCTGGACGAATCTCTTCGATGTCACAATTCGCAGCCACCTCAGAAACCTCTTGGGCGGTTGGGACAGTGTAACCACCGTAGCTGTAATAATCGTAAGCATCTACTTGCTCAGCAGCTGGCTGAGTAGCCTCAGCTACGTCCCGGGTAGGCATGTTAGAAGAGGCAATGTTGACAGGAGCGTATCTGTTGACCTTGGGTTTGGTAGGGGCTTGCTTAGAAGCGTACAGGTTAGCTGCGGCCGCTGCCGGAGCATGGGTCAGGACAGCTGGGGTTGATGAAGCCAGGAGAGGTTCGACCACGAGAGAATCCATAACTCTAGCAGCTGTTGGTGGAACATACACAGATTCCGCGATAGCAGGCGGGGCGTATGCTGCTTCCGCGGTATCGGATAGGACGTATACTGCTTCCACAACAGCAGGCTGGGCATAGACAGTGGCGCCTATCTGGGAAACAGTTTCTTGTTGTTCCATATTGGCATTGCTGAAACTGTGCCCAGTAACCTCTTGGCCATAGAACTGTTCGTCCTGGTACACTGGATACCCTAATGGCTCGGCCTCTTGGGCTTCAGCTAGCTTGGCGGCGACATTGGAAACAGGATGTTCAAACTTTTCAGGGCTCACAACACTGCCTGGGTAACTAGAAACGGAGCTTACCGGCGTCTTTGCACCATAGGACGGAGCATTTGGAGTACCATACCCACCAGCGGCCTTAGTAGGGGTACTACCTGGATAGCCCGCAGGCTGGGTAGACGTGTTACCATTTGATGCCAGTGGCGGGTTCACCGGCTGTGGAGTGTCTTGGTTAGACGCAGTCTCACGCGCCACCGGAGTATATCTCCCATTTCTTATCGGAGAACGGGAATACGAAACTGTCGGTGGGGCGGCCGGTGGATGGAACAACGCATCGTCCGATTCAAAATCGAGCTTTGTGTCGCTTGGCATGGCAGAAAGAACGTGAGTGCGGCCTCTATCACCAGGAGTAGCCGACTTGTTGCTGACAACCGATTGTCTTCTCGGGCCAGGCATGGAATGCTGGGAATGGTCTCTCACAGGGTTAACAAAGTGCATCGAAGGGGAGGTATGGGCCGAAGACTGAACAGAATTAGCAAACGGTGGAGGGCCATCCATGCCCAACAGTGCATGTCTGGGCTCCATCGGAAGGGTCTTGTACTGCGGAGACAAGCTCCCGGCGAGGCCAGGAGAAGGGATCACCGGAGAGGTAATCCCATATGTCTGGTTACCAGCCGGAGAGTAGCTAAGGGTCTTAGAGGACGCAGGGTAGGCTTGAGAGGGAGTGTACTTGTTCATGCTAATAGACGTAGCAGAACGCGCCAACGGTTCTCTAGCCAAAGGAACAAATTTCTCAGTGTGGTTTGTCGTAACGCTTGGACGTTGGAGAGAGGGGTTGAAAAGCTCAGCGGGGGTGGCTGGAGCCGAAACGGAAGGTGCGGCATGTGAAAAGGTACCTTGGTGAGTGAGATGAGTCTGGTTACCGTGAAGAGCGGTAAAGTCCAAAGTAGAGGCATTGCGAGACAGGCTAAACTTGGAGAAAACGCCCTGGTCAAGGGAATTAGCAGCGCTTGATTCGTCGCCGCCGATAAACTTGTCTAGCTGTCCCCACATCTTATCCAAGTTAGGCTTGCTTAACTTGCCACTGAACCAGCCTTGGTCGTAGGAACCACCGGAAACAATTCTCTGGGAAACCGCTTCAAAGTCGCGAAGAGCAAACGAGGTCAAAGGAGATACGTTCTTCCCGTACGACTTTAAAATGGCGTTCAAGCCGTCGACATACTTTTGTGCTTCCAGAAACAAGCCAGCGTCGGCAAGGTATCCTGCATGTTTGACCTGGAGCTGTAAAGTGTGGGGGTTGGCAACCGAGGAGGCCAAGCCGTATTCGTATACCTCGCTCATCAAGACAGAGCACACCGAGTTGCCCAAAACCGAGCCCACAGCTTGGAATTTCACCCCAGAGGAAAGCAAAGGGGTCTCAGATAACGGAACACCTGCTAAGATAAAGCAGACGTGGCCCTCAACTACGTAGCCGTTCTTAACCAACAAAGCACCAAACTGAACAAAAAACTCCATCGGCGAGGCGCTGGAGTTCACCAAAACTACAGCAACCAACTCATTCCACGACTCAATCGCCCATTGGAGATCAGCTGGACTGTTTGTCAACTGTGTGATCGCATTCATAACGTTGCCAGAGGTGACATGAAGGATGAATGCAAGTAAGCGGTCAGGGTAGGACCTGTCAAAGGTCATCCTGATGTAAGCAGCAGCGACGGAAGCATAGCGTTCAGAAGAAACCATGCCGGCGGTAAGCAACGCCAACGGCCAGTCGCCTTCATCAAGAGCCAACTTCAACGCTTTTTCGGTCAGTGCAGACTGTAAGTGGCTCCAGAAAGCAGCAAGGTTGTTGCCAGAAAGCCGGTGTGCATTCATTGGCGTGTTTGGCTGTCTGACGGCTGACATCTGGGACGGCATAGAGAAGTTCACCTCATCCGATACAGGTGCGTACTGGATGTTTGGGGTTAACAAGCTGGCAATCGACCTAGAAAAAGCAGGGGAAGTCACATCGCCGTCAAAGGCAACGAAATCGCCTAAAACCTTCCACAAAATTGCATCAGAAGAGTTGGTAGCTCTCTCCTCAATCCACTTTTCAACATCCTTCTTCTTGGTCTTGGCTTTCGAGAGGGGTCCCGGGAATTCTTTGAGATAGGCCCAGGAAGTCATGACGGTCTCGACCGGCCTCGTCTTGATTGTGATATGGGAGCCTCCGTAACTGTCTGTGTTGCCAATACCCACAAGCACGCCATTGTTCGCTGTCCATTGGAAAATAGGGTGCTGTCTGTGGCGGAGGCTATCCGGGTTGGAGTAGCGTGAGACACACGCGGGGGTCACATTACTGACTGTGTGTGAGGCACCAGGGGCGTATCTATAACCACCCTGAACACTGTAATGGCCAGGGGGTTGTGTGGCACCGGCATTCTGAGACATCGACGGAACATGCTGGTTCATTGGAGGGCCAGCGTATCCGTGGTTGGCGGTAGCATAACCCATTGATGGGGCGTTCTCCGGGGCATTATGACCTTGTGAGGCATTCTGGTGCATCAGAGTACCGTGTTGGCCAATTGGAGGGGCAGTGAAATTCTGGTTCTGATTCGCACTAAGATTTTGATGCGCACCAAAATTATGGTTTTGATTTACACCATGGCTCATACCAAGGTTCTGGTTCACACTAAGGCTCTGGTTCATACCAAAGTTCTGGTTCTGATTTGGCACACCGCTAAATGGCGGCTGGCCAGCCTGAGGAATTGAAGGCATTGAGTTGTACGGCCCAACCTTGGCATCACCAAGAGACGACGGGAAATGGCTCTGGGACAACGAGGAGTTTCTTCTCCGAGGTGCATACGGGTTGGCAGTGCCCTGCGCTGGGGCAGAGGCGTTCAGAGAAGGAAGGGCGTATGGGTTGTTCCCTTGAGCCGCAGGCGAAACAAGAGACGACGTTCTAGAGTGTGGCCCGTAACGACCCACTTTGGGAATGTACGGGCTAGTAACGTTAGTAGAAGGAGCCTTCGGCAAACTGGTGTTCACCGTAGGCGGCACAGGCATTGTACCGGAGGCGGAACGCTGTTGACGCGTAGGAGCCTGGCTGGGCGTGTAGGCCAGTAACGACGACGTCAGATTCACAGGCGCAGGAGAAATCGCGTACGGGTTGACTGGCTGCTTAGGGATACTCCCCAGGGGTGGGTTCATTGGTGGGTTCAGAGCACGATTGGCGTCCTGTTGAGGAACAAACTGAGAAGCAGCCGCCGCTGGTCTGGCAGGCCTAGAAGGCTTCGGAAGCGCGATTGGAAGCTCCTCGAAAAAGTTTTTATGGGCCGATTTCGCCTTAGGGATGATAGGAGGGTTGGCAGAGACGGAGATGGTGGGAGTGGCGACGGGAGGAACAGCTGGATTGGAAGTAGACCCGTAAGAAGGGGCATAGCGGGACACTGGTGCTGGCTTAGGAAGAGCCCCCACCATGGTTGTAGGGAAATCATAGGCATCATTTTTCCCAGGGTGAGAGGTGGCCCCCTTTGGCAGAACAATGTTCGAGGAATGCAACGGGAGCTCAGCAACGGGTTGAGCTGGGAGTTCATCGTCGGAAGGCAAAAAGTCGTCAGAGTCATCGAGGAAATCGTCGTCAAAGTCAAGCAACTCGAGCTTGCTGAGACTCGTGTTGTTGGAAATTTCAGGCACTGACTTCTGAAGGTTGCCAAGAAAATCTTCGTCATCCGATCCAAAGAGACTTTCAGCGCCAGTAACAGGCACAAGTTGGGCCTCCGCAACGGAAGAGGCTGGTTCAGCCAGTTCCGAAATTTCCTGCGCTGGCTCTTTGGAATCCCACGGCATGGCTTCGGATTCGTCGAATTCAAGGACTTGTTCGGTGCCACCGTTCACAGGCGGTGAAACCACAGGGGAAGGGTTTAGTTCCTCGTGTTGGGCCAGCACTGGTGGTGAGGCATGGATGTCTTCATGGGCAGCCACTAACGACTCACGGTTGTGGGAGGATTCCAGGGCAATCTGGTGGATTTCGTCCTGAATAGAGAACGGTGGTGGGTTTGTGTTGTCGAGGAAGAAAGGGGTGGTATCAGCTGTCTTGGCTGCAGCAGGTGATGCATCTACAGTTTCCGGGCCAGCTGCTAATTCATCAAAAAACGATCTTGGAGCATTAGGTTCAAACAGAGCATCCAGTTGTGAAACGTCTTTCGTCATATCAGACAAAGAGCTTGGCGCTTGGGGAGACGACTCCGTAGGAAGTCTTTCGCCCGATGACGTAGACTCTGAGCTAGAAGTCTCTTTGGCCAATTCATCGAAGAACGATGCTGGTGCGTGTGAATCTTCGAACGGGGTAGTTTCGGATTGCGCTGTGTCTCTGCTCAAATCGTCAAATAAAGGGGCCGAAGCTTCTTGGGCCTCCAATGGAGCAACAGTCTGTGATGCTGCCTTGTTCATATCGTCAAAAACTAAGTCTGTATTGGTTTCAGGCAGCGATAAAGGCACCAAGGTATCCCCGGACTGGGGCACCAATGGAGGAACTTCAGGATCAGCCAAGCTAACGACGAAACAATGGGATGCCCTCTGTACCTCCACTTGTGGTTCATCAATGCATTTTGACTCGGCATCTGGTTCAGGTGTCGCCAGTGGCTTTTCCACTTGTTCCTGTGAACGAGGTTCCTCGGCAGAAGTATCAATCGTAAAAGATTCGGTAGCAGCAGACTCAGTCATTTTGGTTATAATATCCTCCATGACTTCTGGATGCTCGACAGAATTTGGTATAGAAGCTTCGGCAGCTTCGGCAGCTTCAGCGTCAATATCTGAAAGAGCTTGAGCCCCTTCATCGTTCTTAGGCTCCTTTTCCGCACTAGCAACCACTGGCTCCTCAACTGTCACATCAAACACTTTGTCGGCCGTCGCCTCCTCTTCGTACCCCGGAATAAGCGTCGGCAATGGCTTGGTCGCGGGCTCTTCGACGGCTGCTTCCGCTACTGACGACTCTTGCGGAACGTAGTCGTTGATGAGGGTTGGTGGGGCCTCTTCGGGAGCCTTTTCCTCGCTCTTCCCGGCGTCATGGTTGGTTTCGTGGTGCTGTTCCGCGGCAGCGGCTTTGTTCTGGTTCTTCTTCCTTTCCTTCTTCTTCTGGTTCTTTTTCTTGTTTTTGGATGGGACGTCTGCCTTGGGCGGCTCACTAGTGAGGTTTCCCGGGATTGGACTTTCTTCCAGCATTGCAAATGGTGCCTGTATACGGAAAGCTGTGAGATCAGTTAAGGGCTGTAAAGAACTGTTTGATGATGTCCTTTTGATTTAGAGATCCGGCGGCTAACTGGGGAAAGCGACGTGTTCAGTCGTGCAGTGGCAAAATAAAAGTGACAGTAGTACGATCGTGCCTCAGAGACATGCACGGCGCTTAAAGCTCACACAATGGCTAGCACAGGGACATTACTAAACGGTGAGACCAGTCCAAAACGTAAATAACTTCAAGAAAGAAGTGCCACCCTTGGTGTATCCAGAGCGCTTATAACTGGTTGGAAATAGGGGTATTCTCTGCGAGCTAGCTTTCGAGCGATATACCAACTTTGAAGGGCGGGCGTTGGAGTACCCCTGGAGTTGCTTCTAATACTGAAACAATATTGATATGATTGAATTTCCTGGAATTCAAATACCATCTAATGGACGATGTACTTCTGTACTGTGTCATTGAAACCCTTTTCCCTGGCGGAGCCTACAACTCCTATGACGGTTAAAGCAGGGTGTATTATTTCCCGTAATATATTGCGGAGCTTCGTTCGAACACGAAATATCTTCTCCTTTTACATAACAGAGAATTTGAAGTAGAACGTGAGCAAAGATTTATTATGCTTCCAAAACAGAGTAGCCTCTATCTAACTGGCGGTAGTTGTGCAGAAACACCTTGTCAGCTTTCGTGAAGGATTGTTAACACTTAAACTGAGGGCTCGACAAACTAGATGACGATCTTATCTGTCGGGTTAGCGTTCACTCAAACAACTTTCTTGACCCCTAAGTGTAAACCTTTCCACTATACGAACCTTTTTATTTATTGCTTTTCTCTACCATTGCCTCCAGATATAAGCCAATAGCCTTGGTCTTTCCGGCCAACCTTTTCATCCCAACCGATCGGGAAGCTTTCTCTTCGCAAATCTACTGACTATAATCATAGCGGATAACGTGAAATTTATTATAAATTACTCCTCGTTCAACATCATGGACATGTACGGCCCATCAAGGAAATACCCCAACTTGGCATAGTAGTTTCTCACACCGACACCACTGATAACACTGATTTTCTCACTGCCGTGCTCCTCGCGGGCAATACGGGCAGCCTCCTCCATCAACAAGGTCCCAAAACCCTGGTGCTGGAATTTACGCGGATCACGCGAGTGCAACGGAACAACAGACCCATACACGTGTAACTCTCGGACAATCGATGACGGCTGCTTGGTCAATTCCTTTCTGTAAGTATACTTCTTCGACGCCTTTCTCAAACGCAACAAGCCAATGAGAATGTCCTGTTTGGGATCTTCGTACGATAAGAACGTTTCCCAGCCACCGTTAGCGTAATAGTCACGCCTTACCAACTCTACCTGGTCGGGATGGACCTTGTGGTGGACCTCCTGGATCCCAACCTCTCTGGTACGAACATCCCTGCAGCTGGTGCCAAAATCCTTCATTCGGGCAAGCGCGAGCTCACGCAAGTTGCCGTTCTCCACCCCCGATGTGACCAACGGCATCGGAATGTCTCTCTGGACACGGTAGATTCTGGTCCATGGTGGAACAAGAGCCATAATCCGTGCCACCAAGTCGATCAACGCGTTCGCATTGTACGACTTGTATCTCCCAGTCTTCCACAATTCGTACAACCCGGTCCCACGAATGACCAACGTTGGATACAATTTCAACCCATCGGTCCTAAAGTCAGGGCTCTCAAAGTACTCCTTAAACTGTTCCAAGTCACGTTCCATTCCCACGTTTGGAAGATCCGGCATCATGTGGCTTACCACCTTGTACCCGGCGTCCTTCGCGTACGCAAAGGTTTCGCTCACCGCCTTCACGGTGTGTCCCCTGTTGGTGTCTCTCGCGACGTCTTCATACACGGACTGCACCCCAATTTCTAGCCGTGTACACCCGTACTTCAACATATCGGACAAATGAGTCTCCGTGCAATAATCCGGCCTGGTTTCGATGGTGATCCCCACGCACTTTGTGTATGACTGCTGGGAGTACGCAATCGCCTCGTCGATATTAGTACCGTTAAACCCTGTCAATGCGTTGTGAAGCTGGGTAATAAACCCTTCACGGTATTCGATAGGCAAGGACATAAATGTGCCACCCATAATGATATACTCCACCTTGTCGATGGAATGGCCAAGCTGTTTCAACTGCTCGATGCGCCCCCTGGCCTGCTCGTACGGGTCATATCTCGCGCGGATGGCTCTCATCGATGTTGGCTCGTACCCTGTGTATGACTGGGTCGAGTACTCAAAGTCAGAGTCTGGCCCGCCCGGACAGTACACGCAGATGTTCCCGGTGTAAGCGATGTGAGGGCATCGGTGGGGCTTGCACATGACGGCGACGACGGCGATTCCCGATGCGGTACGCACCGGCTTGGCCTTCAATTTTGGAATAAGGTACTTCTTGTACTGGTCGGGAATCGAGGAAATAATGTCTGTTAACCGCGGCTGTTGCTTGAGCTTGTACTTCTTCGCGTAGCGGATGATGAGCCCATTGAGGTTGATGTCCTTAGACTTCTGAAGTCCTGCTACGAGCTCTAGCGAAATGTCCCCACAGCACTGGAGGAACCTTTCCTTCTCCGGCGCAAGCTTTTGTTTCGATTTGTACTGGTTCTGTGACATGTGATGGGGATGAAGAGTAAAAAGTTGTGGTTAGATGTGGAGTTTGGTTTTTTTTTTTTTTCACCACGTGCAGGAGACATTGCAGGTTTGAAGGACCAAGGGTAAGCCAAACCCTTTGAGAATTTTCATGAGTATATAGGGTCGCAGCGCAGTATTTATAGGATGACACCTTAATAGAATATATTTAATGGATGTTAGGCATTTTGATGTGTAATTATTGGGTATAACTGACTACATGGCCTCGAGTGCTAACATTTGCTCCAAACGTAGTTGGCTGGAAGGTCGGTTGTAGGGTCTGATGCCGGGACTGTCTTTGGACAATTTTTGGGCTAAAGTACTTTTTAAGAGATCCAGGGGTGACAGGGATTAGATCATTGCTCAGATTCAGCTAGATAAAGTAAATGATTCGAGTGGGGATAGAAACGCTATACTAATACACATCTGGCTTTACGGTTGCCCGTTTATGGGAATAAGTTCGATACGCTTATACAAATGAGTGTGTGAAACAAGGAAGGCATCAGCCAGGAGATATAACTTAGAATCAAGAAATTAAGGCCAGATAAGAGATCATCCAAATGCATATAGAGAGATGCCGATAAGATAATGACGTCACTAGTTTCATCTTTGGCCATGTTGCAAATGCCTAAATCACTCTATTGGTGCCATCATGCCTGACCGAGCAAGGTTTTGCGGGGAATATGATCCTTGGCGACTTGAAATAGCTCAAAGGGGTGTAGATTTCTAACTCTCTGATCTATCGTTGTAGAAATATGTCAGGATAACGAGAGTACAGCCGGGGGGACATGTGCATGTAACCAATTTATTTAAACTGATAAAGGCATCGGATATACCATGCCAGGACCAATGCCAATATCCAACCCGCCACACCGGTTCAGTTTGCCCCCTACAGTTCCGTGTAGCTACAAGTATTCGTTACAAGTATTCATTACTGCTAGACACCTTGATATCTAGACACACAAAGTCGCACCAGTCTTGGTACTTTTAGGTCATCTTCTCGTATTCATTCCACGTGGTTTCGCACACCTTGCGCCATTTCTCCCAGTTTGCCTTGTCGCCCAGCTCGCGCTCCGTCAGGAACTCGAATTCAAACACTTGCTCGCTCTCACCGCACTCAAGCACAATCTTTCCCTTATGTTTGACCTTCTTGTCGGGGGCAGGAGTGGGGGTTTCGTCCTCTGGAGAAATGGCCACGTTTTCGACATCGTCACCTTCATCCGGCAACTCGCGACTCGCAACCGCATCGCGAGCTGAATCGGGTGCTGTGCGGAATGAGAACCGCTCGCCCTGCGCGGATAGTGGCTGCGAGCTTCCCGGCGCAAATCGCTTCGTCGAGTTCGAAAACACGTCCACAATTGGGGTTCTCTGACCTGCACGGGCTGTGTTCTGCATCTGGAGCTGCATTTGCTGAAGCTGTTGGTGCTGGTACATTTGGGCATATGGCGATGGGTAGGCGCGTGCCGCGGTGCGCCGCGATGAGTGTAACGGCGTGCGCGCCAGACGAGCCCCCGAATAGGCACCCGTATACGGGCCCGTAGCACCCGGGAAACCCGCCTTCATCTGCTGGTACATCTGGAGGTATTGCTGTTGTTGTTGGCGAATGCTCGTACTGGAACGGATTGGCGCAGACTGGATTATTGGCTGGGAGTAGCCCTGCACTATGTTAAGTGGTGCTGGCAACTTGCCACGCTGAAGGCGCTTGGTCATAGGCAACTCGAGATCCGGAAGTGTACTCGTGCTCGGTGACTCGTTCGTACGCTGCGCAATTAGATGCTTCTGCTGGAGCTCGATTGACTTGGAGAGAGTCACGGTTGACTGCTGCACGCGGTTTAACGGCGGGAGGCCCGGTGAGACAATTTTAAGGGCAAACGACTCAAGATCCTCCTTAGATTTTCCCGGCATCAAGTTTGACGAGCGAAGGTCGAGCGAGCTAGGGCGGTGACGCGCGCGCGGCTCGGACTCGCGAGTCTCGGTGGGGTTCGGGTCAGAGTCAGGCACTTTATTCGCTACTGCAGACATTGTGGGTGGAGATGGGTAGATCGGACGTTAAGAAGGTCGTGGAGTCTACCACTCGTTGGCTATCACGGCTGGTTTGGCGAACTAGAGTTTAATATATGGGTGTGTAGACCGCAATAGGGGAGGGGTCACAATTCTGGGGAGGGGGTATATATCAAAACTCGTTCGCGAACGGGGCTTGGTTAGGGATGATGAAACAGAGCTGAATAAAACTAGATGGATAATTATCGGACGCTTAACTTTTGTATCTCAAGTTAGTCCTGGGTGTGAGTAGACTGCTCGAACTTTTCTGGACAGCCCTGTAGCTATAAGTATTCGCTCGCGCAACCTTTGCCCGCCAAAGGATATACACGTAAAATGCCTAAGGTTTTCTGGCTACGTGCCCCGAGGCAGGTCCTGCACCGAGGTACATGCACCTATCAGTCTAAACGAAAGGCCCTGTCGAGCACAACCGCAGCCGGAAACGTCCGCAGCAAAGTTAAGAATACCAGGAGTTAACGCCCCCATTGCTGAACCAAAGCTAATACCGCGCAACTCGATAATACACCCGACCCCGAGGCTATGGAACAAAAAGGAGTAACGGATTCACGCTTCCACTTTTGCGGCTCGTATGTGCAGGCCAATACTACTCTGAAACATATTTAGCTAGGACTGCGTGCAGGCGCGTCAAATGCTCGAGGCTTGCATACAGAAGCTGCTATAGAATGAAATTAGAGTGGACCTTAGACAGAGAGGTGACCGGCTCTGTCACACGGTAAAACTGCATCTGGCGCTCGTTTACAGTATATTTACCGCCACATCCAATTGATTAGTGTGCTGTAGAGAGGAATGATTCGGTGCGTGTTCTTAAGAGCTTGCACATAACTGTAGTTTCCAGCTACACGAACCTTTCACTCTGGTCTCACAAAGCTAATACACCGTATACGCACGCCTGTATACCCCGGAGAGGAAATCTGGGTGATGTTGAGGGCGCCAGTTTGTACATAGCCAGAATGTGGTGCAACCAGACACGACACGATGCTACAATTCAAAAACCCGAAGATTCAAACGGCTGAAAGGCTCCGGGATTGAGTTTTTCTTTTGTCGCCCTAGACTCTGGTGTGACCGGGGTAGGACAGAAACATTAAGGCCCGGATTACCTTTATCCGAAACGTGGTGCATTATCTATACCGAAAATCTAACGCTATGGATGCTGCCAGCGTTTAGCAACGCCCGCCGTCACCCCCCTACAGGCCACTGATAATAAAAGATTGACACTAAAATGCGCTTAATAAAAAATAAAAGCATTTCCGCCTAAGAATGATCAAGGCTTATTTGAACACCTTACCGTCAGAAATCTCTCTGGAGACGCCGTCCACGACGACCGGCTTGTCCCAGGCGAACATGTTGTTGATGAACTCTCTGTCAGCCTCCGAAGAGCCGTCCAACTTCTCGTAGTAATAAGATTCCCAGTCGGGAGCGACATCAAAGGCTGGTACAGAGTCCTGGCCCCTGACCAAGAAGGCACCGATGATCCCGTTGTCGTTGTTTTCACCGTAGACAACCATAGAACCGAACAAGTACTTGGTGGAACCGGACAAACGGTTGAAGAAGCCACCAACCAAGTTGTTGGACATGAAGCACAAGGTCAACTCGTCGTTGTACTTGTAGCCAACCTTCCACAAAGACCATTCTGATGGGTCGTAGTGCTCCCAGAACCACGGAATGGCCTTTTCTCTGGTATCTTCGTTAGAGTAGACACGTTTCCACTCATCCAAAGGTAACTTTGACTTACCCAAGGCTTCCAATGGGTGCTTGGCCTTAGGATCTTTGTATTCCTCGGCTGGAGTTTCCTCCTTAGCAGGGGCCTCCTTCTTAGCAGGGGCCTCCTTCTTAGTTGGAGTCTCCTTCTTGGGAGTAGTGTACTCCAATGGCTTCTCGCGGAAGGTATAACCGGCAAAGTGATCCTTCAAGATGTCGCTCTGGATGACGGTCTTGAACCATCTAGTGATGTTAGGGTGCGCCTTTATCCACTGCTTGCCAAAGAGGAAATCAAAGCCTCTGGAGATACAGGCAGCGGTGAACAAGTCTGCCAAGGTGAGTCTTTCACCTACCAAGTAGGTGAAGTCGTAGAGACGGGCCTCCACGATCTGACAGCACTTCTCCAAGGCAACGGTGTATTCATCCGAGATCTTCTTGACAAACGGAGCATTTCCGGTCAACGGTTTGATTAAGAACCCGATAGCAACGAGTAACTCGGAGTTGGTGAATGACATCCACCCGATAATTCTAGCATACTCCTTGTTGTCCTTACCGAGCAAAGGAGACTTTGCATCGCCCAAGGAAATCACTAAAGATCAGTACGGTATACTTTGAGCATTTTTAGTACACTTACAGTAGAGCGAGATAGCGATAACTTCGGTCAACTTGAACCCGTGGTCGCCCTTGAAGGTAGGGATTTTGTTCAAAGGGAAGAGACGGAAGTATTCGTCATCCTTGTTCTTGATTTCAATGTCCAAGTTGTAATACTTGATCAAAGACGCTGGTACAACAGAACGGATCTGCTGGCTGGCATAGAGGGTTCCGAACGACATGGTGGTAGTGAGAAGAAGCGTTAAGAGCTGAAAAATTGCCTTGATGTAAACTGGGGGGCTCCTTATATCCCCGCCAATTGTGGCTGCGTTCCGAGCCCGGGTTGGCTCGGGTGCCTACGCCCCTGGGTGTGGCTTAAAATGTGAAGGCGTGGGATATCGAAGAACAGACTGATCAGGTAATCAGATTCCTGAATCATCCTGCTGTTTCGAAATGAGGTGTATAATTATCGACTATTTTCTTGGTCCAGCGTCTCGATATATGGCATCCCTGGATCTGTTACCGGATTTGTGTATGCACGGCTCGATCCGGATGTCACAACCCCTAGTTAGGCCCGGGGATGACGAAACGAGATCAGAATCCTTGGTGTAGAAGCAACCTTTGACGTATTCTGGATCACCAGTGTGGTTCTATCTAAGCTATTCGAACGGTAAAACTTCGGCCTGGATCAGGCCAGACGGGAGGAAACAGGGCATAAGAAGCCGATATCCTTATATTCTCAGTCGGTTACGCCATATCCCAGCGGTGGAAGAGCTTCGGAAAAAACATATGCTCGACGCCGGGATTTGAAGGCAGAGCCTAGTAACAGATACCATCGGCTTATCAGAGCTGTTAGTAACACTCAGGAGCTATCATATACCGCCTACGAGGTTCATTCTACAGCAGTCTAAGAAATAATCTTTTATTAGCGCCGAGGCGTCTTGGCTAAAACAAGGGATATCAAAACTATAAACAGTTAGTAATTGTACGACGTATCAATAGTTGTACTTGACTAGCTTTACGGGCCCTTTGTTTTATTCGGCTTGCTTGAACATTTCAGCCTAACAAAATTCTCGACATGGTTTTTTAAGACAGGGATAACTGTATATTTAATAAATTTTTCTCATCATTGTAAAAACGGAGCGAATAAATCAATTGAGGGGTGCGGAAGTTGTCAGCGAATAGGAATACATACTGTTTGACTGTCAGGGGTATTCTATACCATGATATGTTGTAGTAGTGCTGGTTGTATTGAGGAAGTAACTTAGAACGGGAGAACCCCTAGCCTTTATATAGCTTTTCCTAAACGTGTCGATGTCAGAAAATTTTTCATTTTTCGCTTCCCGCCTTTTTCAGTTAGGGCTTCAAGCTTCATAGTAAGATAAGCTTGGCCCCAGGCTTTGATATGTAACTGCGCCACTTTACCAGCCACTGGACCAGGCTTGTCCAGAATTTCCCTGTCTGTAAGCACAATGACAATCGATGTGTTGTGGTTACGACAAAAGGGACATTTGAATTATTTCACACGCACCAGGCGAGGAAGATCTAACCACAGAATGCGCGTCTCCTAATGTACAATAACCACTAGCCGCTCCGCTGTTTCTCTGTCCTAGGTTTAGCTTTACAACCCCTACGAAAGCGTGAGCGTTACCGCTTTGACGTTGTTCCTGCACTCGTAGCCAAAGTAATCTGACAATGACATATTCTGTAGTTGACACGAATAAATAACTTTATTTGTCAACCTGCTTGTTTCTAAATCTAATATAACTCTCTAATCTATCCAAGTACCTTTCTCAGACCGTATAATACACACCTCCCGTGTACATTGCATCATCATGCACGTACCCTATCGTGACTATGTAAGCGTTCGTTTCAGACGCATACAGACATGCTCAGAGAAAACTAATTTAATCTCATTAGGTCAAATTACCCGCTTAATTGGCATCTTGACACCACACCCCTCCTTCTCTCCCAAACTCCAGATCTCGTTAACCTCCTTCCCCATGCCTCTATCAACTTAAAGAAACCAAATGAAACCAACTGTGAGTGCTTTCCTACCACCCTCTCGTGATCAACAACCCCACGGCCCTAGCCGCTCGCATCTGGCGTCTCGCCCCCATTCCTCCGCCTTCCAAGCCAGAACCATAATTTAACTCGGTGTCCGAGGTCGTATATCCCCTATACTAGCCCCTCGAAGATGTCATCTTTGTTGACCTCCAACCCACGCTAATAGAGCCTCTCTTGCTTTGCCTTCAAGCAGCACTTGGTTCACCTATAAACGGTGAGCGTGCCGCGCACGCCCTTTAAGCAGGGCTGCGCAACCGTGCGGCGCTCGAATGTTTTTTTTTTTTTCTTTTTTTCGCGAACCAGCTAAGAAAAAATCAATTCAAAGTCTGCCCCCCTCCCTCCGCACCCCCTTAATAAGCAAAAGCGGCGATTCGAAGGGCTTACCGGTGCATTTCCAACCATACCAGAGCCATCCATTAACTTGGATACTGATAGAACACATTCCCAGGCTCCCCTTACATCCCTTTAAAGCCCCATCCCCGGCCCCAGGGCGTCGTTTTTTCCCCAATTTCCACCCTGACCCACTAGCCAAGTGGCAAGAAAAAATCGCCGACGCAGTGAAAATTTGTCCTGCAACCAAAGTGGACACACCCGTACACCCAATAGTAAGTAACAACAACCCCAAGTTACCACCGTTACAATATATTACATTGTGTTGAGCTATATTGCCGATACCATATTGATCAGTAGATACGCTTATCTCTTCCTGTGCTCATCGAACATCAATTAACCCTGCCGTTTAGTTCCATATTGGTAACTGGGCCCCACTCACAAATCCACTGTTTTAACAAAGGAAACTGGTCAGCTTTTTTTCGACTGTTTGTTGGTCCGGCGTAATCCTCCACACTTGTCTACACAATGGTTGCTACACCGGCATCTGCAGGGGCGCGTTTCCGACAGCGAAAAATCTCCACAAAGCAAACGCTCCAGATCCTTAAACAATCCCATGTGCCCGACCTAGATCTTGAAGATGTTCAGCGAGATACCCAGCAGGTAGAAACCGGTGTTGAGAAGGGTGAAGAAGAAGAACACCATTTGCAGGCCGTTATCAACGCGACTCAAGCCAAGTTCCAGGGCGAAAACGTCGAGCAAGTGTTCATTCCAACCCCCGATGCCAGTCGACTTTGGCCCGATGCAACCAAGTACTACCCTCCTGGCTTTGTCAACCCTTCCTCCAACATTAAGTTCAGTTGTACCGTGGAGGAGACTAGTGGCTGCCCGTACAATATGGATGAAAACGACGAAGAGTTCCTTGCCGAAATGAATGGTGCGCTTCAAAAGAAGAACCCCAGGGTAACCCTCTGCACTGAATTAGAGTTTGAGATCATCTGTCACCGTTTCGACACCGTTATCGCTGAAAAACAGCCGTTCTTGACGATGGCCCCCGACCAAATCATGACCTACGAAGAGATCAAGCCCGTGGCCTTGACCCCTGACCAAAACTCCCCTTCTGATCTCGCCCGCAGCTTGCAACAAGAGCTCAATCTCTCGACCCCCTTTACCACGCAGCTAGATAACCCCGAAAAGGTTCCGCCCAGAAGCCTCCCAGCGTTATTTGAGGTGTTTGGAGTCAGAGTCTACGAGCACTGGAAGGAAAGGCGAGTTTCGAGAGCTGGTAAACCGGTTTTCCCAATTTTGAAATTCGAGGATCCTCTGGACAAGGATGACAGTGACCCATACGTGTGTTTCCGGCGCCGAGAAGTGAGACAGGCCCGAAAGACCAGACGGCAGGACCAACAATCGAGCGAGAGGTTACGCAAGTTGCAGAGCGAGTTGAAGAACGCCCGAGAAATGGTGTTACTCGTGGTCAAGCGAGAGTTGAAACGGATGGAGTCGTTGGAGGAAGAAAGGAATATTTTCCAGTTGCGCTGTGCCATTAAACCCATTAAGCGTGAATTGGGTATCAAGGGCGATGATGACGATTTGATTGCCCACAAGAAGAAAAAGCCCAATCCGCTGGAAGAGGACACCAAGAAGGACAAGAAGAAGCAGTCCATGTCGACACCTCCTATCACCTCCGAGAAGAAGAAGCTCGCCTTGCAAGCACAGCAAGCTGCGACGTTGGCGGCTCAACAGTTGCTTCAGCAACAAGAGGATGCCGCTACGGCCCATCCGGTGGGTGTGCAGCCATACGTTCGCTTGCCTGCGTCCAAAATTCCCGACTTGGACCTCTCTCTCACTGTGAGCACGGTTCTCCGCGAGAAGAACGAAGCCATCAAACGTGCGGTTCACGAAAAGTTACTCAAGCGGAAGGAAGCAGACAGGGGTTTTGTCAACTTTACAGACGACCCGTATGTTCCCTGGTTCAATCTTCGGGAGACCGAGCCAATTGTCGAGTACTCGCACGTTCCGTTTTCGGCGATTGTCAACGGCTTATACGAAATCAGCTCTTCCGACTACCTTGATGACTCGTTGAAGCAACAATTGCGCAACGGGGAGCCGTTACCCGGATTCAAGGCCTTCGACTGGGACGGCGAAGAAGCTGAGGACCACGAGTTTACTGGTGTCAACGCGTTGAAGGGCTATGAGGCTCACCAGCCGCGGGTTAGTGATTCCTTGTATGTACTCAGAAAGAGAGTTGGCAGGGGAGGAAGAGTGTTTGTTGATCGAAGAGGGTTGTTTGAGAGACCGGACGATGCCATTAATGAGTTCTTGACCCTTGAAAGCGATAACGATGACGATGTTGAGATGGAATCGGAGGCGCTGGTGGTTAATGTCTATGACTGCAAGGCCGATGCGGTGAAAAGAGCCGACGAGAGGTGGAGATACGATTCGGATAGGTCTGCTGTGCAGACTGGAAGATTGCAACCGTTCTCGTCTGACCCTTCTAAGTTGAATGGCATTTCCAACGATACCCAATCGATCAGGTTTGGGTCAATGTTGCTTGCCAAGTCCTACGAGCAACTTCGTGAGGCCACGCACCAGAAACAACAACAGATGTTGCTTGCTCGCCAGAAGGCGTTACAATACGCTGCTCAACAGCAAGCCCAGGCCCAGTCAAATGCCCTCATAAACGGAAATACGCCAAATCCAGGCTCTACGCCAACTGCCAACCTCGGTCCCAACGCGGCCGCAAATGCTAATCCCTCTAATACAAACGGTAAGGCCAACGCCGCGAACCCTAATGCTGCTTCCCATCCTCAACCCCAATCGGTTAACTCCAATCTCACACCACAGCAGATCATCCAGAAGCAACAGAAGATGCAGCCACTGAAACAGACGCAAGCTCGGAAGCCCAACTCGCCACTCGAGTCCTCGCAGGCCCAACAGCCGAAAGGGTCGTTTTCCCCGAATAAGCTCACCCCCGAGCAACAGCAAAGATTGAGTATGCTCAAAACCATGCAACAGCAGCAACAAATTAGAGCTGGTGGCTCCCTCGCCAGCACTCCCAAGTCTCAGACCCCAACCCCTGTTGGCGTCAAGAACCAAGAGTGGCACGCTGCCAAGCCACAGCCCTCTCCAACACCAATGCCGTGAGACGTACAAGTCTCAAGGGTATTGGACAACACAGTACTTTCTTTTGGCCTGTACTGAAGTATACGTTTGTTGGTACACGATAATTAATGATTTATAAAACCCCCTGTATTATAATATGATCCATACACGTTTTTGTCTTTCAGAGTTTTCAGTGGTCCAGTTGTAGGCATGGACAATCTCAAAATCTTGGGTTTATATGAACACAATATCCGATAAACGGTGTAGTTTTTATCTGAAGTACGCATGAGGCAGGTTGTAAAAGTATAAAAACACTATTCCACTTTGTGATTCTCAAGGATTAACCAACTACATGTTTGCATCTTAGATTATAGTCTCTCCTAGCGCTGTTCTAAACGTTCTAGATTATAGTCTCTCCTAGCGCTGTTCTACGCGTTCTAAATTAACTCCCTTGTTGGACTCAAGTTTACGGTAAGTACGAGTGAGAGAGGAGGCCTAGCGCATTCGTGGCATCACTTGTCCTATGCCTAAGTGGTCTTTGTTAGACATGCAGCTTTTTACTTTGTTTATTGCCAATAAATTGTCACTGAAAACAATTTTCCTTAATCAATTGTGCTTCAACCTTGCAAATTTAAACCACTAGGCAGACTCCTGGTCCCCGGTAACTGTCCTAAGAGCATCTCCTTGAAGTGGCATGGCTCAGCAAGGTCATCACGTGTGTCTCATCGCTCATGCGTCATTCTAAAAATATTTTACTCCTGGTCGTACGCTTCCCCTTTCGGTGCGGCGCTGCCGGGTAATTCTCGACGCCTGCTTTTTTAGGCTACGTAATTTGAAACACTGATCTCATCTCCACTACTGAGCCGTACTACACCCATCGATCATGGTCCAGCTCAAAAGCCCGTTACTTCGCCAGATCCGCAGAAAACCGTTGACGGCGATTGCGCCGATCACGCTCCTCGTGGTGCTCGTGTTCCTCTTCTTCCGGTCCTCCGGGTCACAGAAGCTGCGAACGTATTCGTACAAGTCGAAGAAGAGCGGTTTCTTCAACCACCACCGTGATGTTATCCCGCGGAACCTCCCAGGCGATCATATCTCGCACTATGACTTGAACAAGCTCGCGTCAACGCCGATGGCGGCGTACAACAAGGAGCGCGTATTGATTCTCTCGCCAATGTCCAAGTTCTACAACGAATACTGGCAGAATATCTTGACCCTCACGTATCCGCGCGAGTTGATCGAACTTGGCTTTATCGTTCCGCGCACGGCCGAGGGTGATGTGGCGTTGAAGAAATTAGAGAAGGCTGTGAAGCAGGTGCAGACTAAGGATGCACGCTTCGCCAAGGTGACGATCTTGAGACAGGATTCCGAATCGTTGGCGTCGCAGAAGGAAAAGGATAGACACGCGTTGAAGGTACAGAAGGAGAGAAGAGCCAATATGGCGCTCGCGAGAAACTCGCTTCTCTTCACCACCTTGGGACCGTTCACCTCATGGGTCTTGTGGCTCGATTCAGATATCATTGAGACCCCGCACTCCTTGATTGAGGACTTGGTATCTCACGACAAGCCAGTAATCAGTGCTAACTGTTACCAGCGCTACTACGATGACGAAAAGAAGGCGCTGTCCATCCGGCCGTACGACTTCAACAATTGGGTTGAGTCCGACGAGGGCTTGAAAATTGCTGCGGGCTTGGAGGATGATGAGATCATCGTTGAGGGCTACGCCGAGCTTGCGACCTACCGTCCGTTGATGGCACATTTCTACGACGCCAAGGGTGACATCAATACCGAAATGGCGTTGGACGGAGTGGGTGGGGCTGCCGTCTTGGTCAAGGCTGATGTTCACAGGGACGGTGCCATGTTCCCGTCCTTCCCATTCTACCATTTGATCGAGACTGAGGGCTTCGCCAAGATGGTCAAACGTCTCGGCTACGAGGTGTTTGGCTTGCCAAACTACTTGGTGTTCCACTTCAACGAGTAGCTGTATAGATGACAATTTTGGTAAATAGTAATCTAAGGGAGTAGATTTTGTTCTAGAGAGTTGACCATGACCTTTGGTTTGTTATAATTCGGATTTAGTGTTGGAATCCTAACTTAGGCTGGGATGGGGGAGGACAGCCCTATCAGGTATTTTTTAGACCGATAAGGAGGGTACCGGTTTCAAGGTCTCCTAGTATCGGATCAATGGGTGTAGACCTTCTGCTAAAAGCAACAAGGCTGATATGCTTTGTCTAGTCCTTAACCCCTCTACCACAATCTCAGCTCGCTTCTTTCCTCTTGTCAAGACATAATATATCGCTTATTTAAAGTGCCGGATTATTAAATAGAGTTGGATCTGTTTAATTATTGAAACTTTATTGATTATGAATTAAGCATACATTGGCGTGGGGATGTAAATTCCTCCTTACTATACCAGAAACTTTTAGCCGCAGGGAATCGGAGGAGTTAGTAGAGTCTGAGAGATTAAGGGGGGGGAAGATATAAAAGCTTTATAGCATAGTATATGTTGATTTCAAACACAATTTTTGATTAAATGTTCAAGATTTGTGACTGCCAGCCATCCCCAACTCTAGGTGGGAGTCCATCGCCTACTTATATACTACATTTCTGAACCAACAGATGGGGAAACAACCATAATGATTTCCCGCCCCACAAATCGGACAGCAAATGAGTTAACTCCAGATGGTAAATGAGTTTATTTTGATCAATATAACTCATTTACAAGTATGGTGTTTTCAGTCAATCCCTGTCAGTGACGTCGTGCAGCAATTACCAGAGATCTATATGTCCATGCATTCCCTGGTCGGAGCCAACTCCATGACGTGCTACCATCTGGGAGCTCACGCCACGGTGGACTAACCACACAACACACCGCAAAATCTTCAAATTTACTCTGGGAACTCGAGCCTGCTGATGCTAAATTTGGATCACAATACTTCAGTGTGGCACTCGTAGTCCGAGCTCATTGGCTATTTCCACACCTAGAGCCCTGTCACGTTACCCAGCACCCCCGGAAACTCTCGTTCCCCCTCGCATATGCTTTTCACGTGTGCTCGGAAGAGCTGCAGTCTGTCTAATTGACACGCCGTTAGGCACACGGGGCTAGCATATGCCGGTCTTATCTAACAGATAAGGGATAAATCTGTGGTTCTGTCACAACACAAGTACTTTCTAGGCCTCGTATTCCTCCTATCACTACCATTTTCTCGAATAATATACGGTCACCACCTTGCAGTTACATAAAAGACACATACACCTTATTTATCTTCCCCCCCCTCCCCACTGTTAGATAATGGGCTACTCAAATCTGCCAGTGGCTGTCAAGGCCCCACATAGAGGAAAGCTCAAAACCGACCCGTACCAAACACCTGTGAGCTCTGCTGAAGCCAAATCTCCGCTTGTAAAGAACTTATCCCACGTTCCATGTAAGTTCTTTCGCCAGGGAGCTTGTCAAGCGGGCAACGCTTGTCCTTTCTCCCATACCCTCGATACCACAGTGGAAACGTCACCCTGTAAGTATTTCCAGAAGGGAAACTGTCGGTTTGGCGTAAAGTGTGCGTTAGCCCATTTTCTTCCCGACGGAAGAAGAGTAAACCCTAAATCCTTGGCCCAGTATCAAAATCGTCGGAGCTCCAGTCAAGGGTATGGCGCCAATGGCTATGAGGAACGAAACGAACAGGAGCCAGTTTTGAGTCCTACCCAAGATTTCGTCTACCACTCGGTAATATCTCCTACGTACTCTTCGCCACATTTAGCAACCCCCTCCAGTTACAATGGTAGTTCGATATGGGCAAATCCCTCGGATAAAGAGCCTGGGCCTTTCGTGAGGAGCTACTCTGCCACGACCCAAATCGACTCATATACAACCCCAGTCCTCCAGGACTACTCTCAGCTCTATTTTTCGCAGGTGAATGGTATGAGTATCAGCGAGGGGAGTGTGAACGGCGGGGTTTTGTATGGGTACGGAAGTAGACCCATTAGACATTCCGCATCCAGTGTTGGTGTGCCAACATTACTCGGATCGAATTACATCACCTCCATTAACGAGTCGGCCATTGACGATGAGGATGACCCAAACGGCGACTTTGGGGCGTTTGAAGAAGATTTTGTCCCTTCTTCGTTAGCTGACTTGTTGACCCCTCAGGAGTTGAAGAGAAGAGGCTCTAGACCATCCTCTGGGGCCTTGCCTCCTTTTAGAGGAAGCCGGGCACAAAACTCTGCGGGGTCTGTGTTTGAGGAAGATGATATGCAATTTTACATGGAAGATCATCAGGAGAAGCATCCTTCGGGGGGATTCTTGAGTGAGATTGAACGATTGCATATCTAGATGAAGATTGAAAGTCACCTATAATGCACCGGTTTAGAGGGCAGATGCATTCATTTGCTATTTTAATCTACGGTGTCCCTCCCAAAAGAACTTTTTTTATTATTAGTACTCGTTGTTTCAAAGACCCAAGAAGGGCTGGTTACCATCGTGGGCCATTTCATTCGTTTATGGCCCTCATTTGGACAAAATTTCATTTACGTTTTTACTTTTCTAGACCATCTATCGTTCTGCCTCTTAAAGTCAAGCGCAAAAGTTTCAATATACGGAATCAAAATTAATGAACGATCTTGATCTGAGATCTTGAGACATATAAATCCCCCTTTTGGAGTAGACTACTTATGTACTCCGGTACGGCCAATCTGAAATATCCTAATTCCACATTGCAATCGCAAACCAACCTGACCTATCCGGAATAGAACGAAAGTTGTATTCATGTACCGTATACAGATTTTAATCAATTATTCACATAATTTCCGAGAGAAATACGTTTTATCTTCGCCAATACTATGTTGTATATCTCTGATCGACTAATTTTTTCGAAATATGAAAATTTTAGATATCAGTTACACTTCAAATTGAACAGCGAAAGTTAGAATATGGGTAAACGGCATTTTAGATTCAAGACTTACATTAAATGCAATATTTATTTGAATTTGAGGACTGTTGATCGAATAGAGCGGTCTTAACCGGAGAATAATTTAGTGCTGCCGAGCTAAGCCATGGATATCCCCAGTTTGTGGCTGCCCATTCCGAGAAACCAGCAGGTGATTGAGAGAGCATATAGCCTATCTGGGAGAATACAGAAAGCATTGCTAATCTGGTATATTTTAACACACTCACAGATCCAACAAACACCCGTTAAACCTTTCAGGTGCTTCAAGTTTTCAAGGAGATTCCAATATACCTGGGACCGCGACTTTACATCATTTTCTTTACTCCCACAGTTTTTTCTACTGGCATGGAACTTAATATTCATAATTCACGCAGCTTACAAGAAACATGACGTTTTTACTCTACAGCTAGCATGAATTTTAGGCCATTTTAAACATACCTAAGGACTTTACACCAATTTGACGGGTAAAACGTCAAGGACCGCTACCCTCGCCACTTGCGACGTCACGCATAGCCTTCACTCAGATCCATATCTACAAATTATCGAAATGCACGTGGCAAGATAAAACACAAAATATAAATGCTAATGAACAAAAGATACTATACACGCTATCAACCTCCTAACGACGGTCGGTCTTACCCATACCACGCTTACCAGAGAACAAATGCTTAGGAATGGCAGCGGTGGCATGACGATCACCCTCACCGGCCCTGGCCATTCTGTTTCTGTCGCGGAGCAAGATCTTGGCCAATCTTTCGGCCTTGGATCTGGCGGCACCGTCAGCGACACCGTCGTGGAGACGATCAGTCTGGGAGACTGGGATTCTTCTAGCACCCTCAGCTTCGGAGGCCGCAGCCTGCATGATTTCGGCACCAGATAACTGTCTCTTGCCGGCAGCAGCCACAGCGGCATCCTTGTTGGAAGCCAAGGTGGCAGTGTCGTGGCCCAAGGAGTACATGTGCTCCTCCATCTCGGAGTAGGTCTTCTTGACATGCTGTCTTGGCATAAGAGACTTGTTCTTAAGGGCCTTACGGGATCTGGCGGCATTGATCATTTTACCGTGCTTGTCACGGATCCAGGAAGCCTTCTCCCTGATGTCCTCGATCTCTTCGTCTTCGATCTCAGATTCGGAGGCATAGAAGCCTTCGGCCTCCAATCTCTCCTCCTCGTCTTCCAAGGCCTGCAACTTCGCGGCAATGTCTTCATCCAAGAAGTCGTAAACGTTACGACCATCGAGAACTTCCGGCATAACATCATTCTTCCACTCGTCATCCTCCAAGAGGTACTTGTCCTTGAGGTTGATGTTGAACACACCGGCACCACCGTTCTCGGCCTCGATATCACGCGCCAATCTGCGGCGGTTGGTGTCGTTGAGGTCGTACTTCTTTAAGTTTCTAACAGCTTCTGGAATGTGTGCCTCACGCTTGATGTCATCTCTGGCAGCAGGCTGGGCAACGTGGATCTTGTTCAAAACGTTGGAGACCCTGGCGGAGCCCTTCAACTTCTGTTCGATTCTAGCCGTCAACAATTTCTCGCAAGCCTTGTTTCTGACAACCATGACGTTGTCTTCCTCGTAGCAAGAGGTCTCCATAATCTCAACACCTGGCAACTCCTTCATGGTTTCCAACAACGCCTGCTTGTCAGCGTCCAAGTCGGCTGGCTTGATGATATCGGTCTTGTTAATGACAACCAAGACCGACTTGTTGGCAAACAAAGGCTTGATGGAGTGGAAAAGCTTGACCTGCGCTTCAATGGAGAAACCACACTGCTCGGAAAGATCCATGAAGTAGAGCACACAGGATCTCAAGTGGGCAATAGCGTAGATGGACTGCATTTCAATGTTGTTCATCTCTTCAGTAGGTCTGTCTAAGATACCCGGGGTATCAATGGCCTGGAATCTCAAGTACTTGTAGTCGAAGTGGCCCACGTACAAGGACTTGGTGGTAAAGGCGTATGGCTGGACCTCCACATCGGCCTTAGTGATGCAGCGGAGGAAAGAGGACTTACCAACGTTAGGGTACCCACAGATCAACAAAGTTCTGGTGTTTGGATCGATGGATGGAAGACGGCCCAAATGCTGTCTGACCTGCTCCAAGTACACAAGAGGGTCCTTCAACTTCTTGACGATGGTGGCCATACGACCCAAGGCAGCTCTCTTCAACTGCTTACACTGGAAAAGAGACTGGCCAAACTTCAACAATCTTACGTAATCTCTGGCAACCTGCTCGATCAAGGTCTTGGCGCGGGAGACGGCGGCAAGAGAAACCTTGTAGTGGTTCTTCTCGTACAAGGTGTCCATCAAATCACGGTGGAATGGGTGGACGTCGTTGATGTTTGGGAACCCCCCGATCAAGTCCTGGAACTTCTCTGCAAACCCGTCCGAGGTGAACTTCACCTTTCTCATATAGAAGGCACGGATACGGGTGATCTTGAAACCCGGTCTGATGACGGTAGGCGTCTTTCTCTGGGTTCTGTTAAGAACAATGTCCAACATGTCGTTGGCATTAGGCACGGTAGGGATGTCCTTCCAGGTTAATTGCATCGTGTCTGTTGAGGGATGGAAACAAAAAAAATCTGAAACTGAAGTTGAGTTAGTATGTATAGGCGAAAAACTTATCACCACGCATTTTTTTCCTAATTTTTTCTGAATAAATTTTTTTGTGCGGCTCAAAAAAGAAAAAGTGGAAATTTGTGGGTTACCCGGGACGATGAGTATGCACGTGAAGTGGGCACCACACAGCATAAACTGACCCCCGACGGAGGTGAGTGTGGTAAAGATTGACAATTGTTATTGCTCAAGAAAATTAGAGTCCTAATGTGAAGGTCGGGTCCGCAGCCTTGTGCTTGCGTACCGTTATAAGACATACGCTCTACCAATTGAGATAGCCAGGCAATTATGATTGGACTCCACGGAGGCACTGCCAGACTCGGAGTAAATATCGCTTTTATACCGGGTCATTATGTGTTGCATAACAAAGGTTATATGTAGCCGGATATATATAACAGCTAAGCTGTTACCCTTATATTCATTTTAAAAATTAAATTGTAGGAGTGTGAGCTACTGCCAAAGGAGTACCTTATACAGGCAGATGTTGCAACAGAAAACCCTCTAACCCCTTTTTATCGCATACCCAAGTGACTTAATGAACTATCCGCCCGGTTATTCAAACTTTGTCTTCTATTTCAGTAAAATTTCCACTCTATGATCCATACTATGATTTCTAATGTAAATGACATTCACAAGGATAAGCCCATCTTCAAAAAGACACCTCTTAGGGCGAAGCTAGAGGAATATTTTTTTAATTTCTCAGCAACGCCAAGAATTCATCTCCTCCTGGTACCCCATCTGGAGAGTTATGAAAACGGAAATTCGTTGACGTAAATTCCTTACCGAAAACTCATCCTCGCCCACCCACGGACGACAAAGGCATCGAATTCACAAGAGATAGATTCAAAAAAATAGCCTTGACATACGATCTTAATGCTTCCGGTATGTACACCTAATTGTGAGAAATAGATTTTGGATTCTACAACATTTGAGGGATACCCTAGCTCTTTGTCGAAGTCCCCCTGCCAGGGGTAGAGTCGCCAAAACAGGTCTAAGCTTGCCGAGAATACACCTACATCTGTATTGTAGTCTACCCTGAGCAGCTTCCACTCCTAAATCTCGGATGTCGATCCGAAATATCCGCTATAAGGCCTAGTTTAGTCTCGTTAATCGTAAGGTCCACTCCCGTCATGCGACATGCATGCGGGAAATCGCACCAAAAACATTTCCCTAGTCCATTCCAGTGGGGAAAGTTTCAGTGTTTTCCGTCGTTGCTTTGATACACCGCCCTATCATATGACCCTGTACAAAAGCAGTTGGTCAAAAATATTACGCTGAAATGGTCAAGGCTAATACATATTATACCCTGGTCACTGGGTTTTTTCTGGTCATCCACCTGTGTTTGCGTTTATAGTCAGCCCAGATCGCTATCTTTTTTTCTCCACTAATGATCTCCCGGTCAGCGGTTCCAAACTCCGCAGATGTATGGGGATGATTTCCCAATTAGGAAATATCAGGAACATCTTACTGCACGCATACATTTGCTCACAATTACATGCATACGATCAACCACCGTCTTTTTACTAATAATCGACCGATGGCGGTTCCAAACTCTACAGGTGCAAGGGAGTCACTTCCTTTATAGGAATACGTTGGACCAACCCCGCCTAAATTATTTCTTGGCAGGTGAGCCCTTGAAGTGTTTCGTAAACGTATAAATACATCGCAATCTGTAAACCTTTGAGGGAAGAATCATAAACCACACAGACTGTCGAATAGCCTTCTAGCATTGGTAGAAAAATATTTAAATAATCATGTTGCAGACAGACACCACCATCAATACTTTAAAATACAATGCCGTTGTTCCGCCGGATCTCGAAGCTAGGTTCGGGGAGTTGAAGAAGAAGATAATTGATCCAAAAAACCATGTGGCCGTTAAGGAGAGCTGGAAGAGGTTGCTCGTTGCCCTCAAGAAGCTGAACCAGGAGATTATCGCCGCTGGGTCTTCCTGTATTCCGACGGTGCAATGGCTGGAGATTGTTTCCAACGACAATCGGTTACCAAACGAGCAGGCCAGACTTTTCCAGGAAAGAGGTGCCATCATGGTCAAGGGCGTTATTCCAACAGACCAGATTGATTCATGGTTTAGTGATTTGGAATCCTTCTGCAAGGAACACCCGGAAACGTCGGGGTACACCTACCCCAACCCAGCTTCTTGGTACAACGTCTTCTGGACCAAGCCCCAAACAGAGGCCAGATCGCACCCTAACATCTGCCAGATGATGAAGACTTTCGGTTCACAATTCTACGTGGAAGATGAAGAAACCTTGATTGACCTCTCCTCTCAGATAGTGTATGGTGACCGAATCAGAATCCGGCAGCCGGGAGCTGTGGCAACCTTGAAGACCCATCTTGATTCCGGTTCTATCGAAAGATGGGAAGACGATAACTACCGCCACGTTTACAAGGAGATCTTTGAAGGTAACTGGGAAGTCTGGGACCCATTCAAGCTCGACTCCAGGGTTTATGCCCACGAAGACTTGTATCCAGACGGGACTCACAGAGCTACGGTGTGCTCCAGTTTTAGAACCTTGCAGGGCTGGTTGGCCTTGAGTGACAACAAAACCGGCGAGGGAACATTAAGGGTGTTACCAAGCCTCAAGACCACTATGGCATACATCATGTTAAGACCATTCTTCTGGGAGGATCCTGCGTCTGGGCTATTGGACGACTATGAGCTCGACGTGGAGTCGCCAAAGTTCCCGGGCGCCGTGCCTTCCTTAGGGCAGTTGTTTATCTCTCCTGAGTACTACCGCCACTTAGAGTTGGAAACTGCTGTGGTTGGTATCCCAGATGTCCATAGGGGTGACTTTATTCTCTGGCACGCAGATGTGGCTCATGAAGTGGATAGAGAACACAACGGTAGCTCCCACTCCAGTGTATTCTACTACGGCCAGACCCCGTTGTGCTTGACCAATATCAAGACGTTGCTTGATACCAAGGAAAGTTTCGAAAAAAACTGCTCACCAGCCGATTTCTACACCCAGCTCAGTGAAGAGGACAAGGCAAAGGAGGATCAGGGTGCGGATGTGCGCGACATCTCTGGTGCCGGTTTGGAGGCAATGGGGTTGAAACCATTTGATGTTAACGAACCTGGTTTAACTAGCGGTCAGAGAAAAATCAGAGAAATCGCTAACAGGGCAGTTTTCGAGGGGAAGTTTGACGCAGCGCCTTTCCATAAGAAATTCTAAACTGTCGGTTTTGTCTATTGTTAATATACAGCCATTTTAGTGTCAAGCATAAGCTTATAGCACAATATATACTGCACGTTTTAATAAATACCCCATTTTAATTTCTTGGAATTCTCGATGGCTACCCACAGTCAATTGCAATGGAGCTCTAACGTCATTCCCCCGTGGTTATATTGAATTATCCATAATCCTGTTCTCGTTTATATCCAACCAGCGTATCCTGTGGAAGGAAACATCCCGCTCAGCGTCAAGATACATATGGTAGAGTGGAGATAATAGATACAACCTTTGTAGTGCTAATACATAGCCCATAGACTGATATCTACCTCTCTCGTACCATAAATCAGCTAATATTAACATCTTGAACGGCGACACGCTAAACATATATGCCCCCTCCGATGCTTCGTTCCTTTGACCGCGACCTCGTCCCCCGGCTCTCTAACGTTCTCCAAACCCCGACTCTCTTTGAAAAAAAAATGCCGCTACAGATATTTTTCTTTTTTCTCTAATTATATTATAAATGCCTAAACCCCGCCTATCTGTCCCACGGGGTTCAGGATCATGCCGGCGATGCTGAAGGGGTGCGCAGCAGGCATCAGCATTGGCTCATACAGCCGCGACATTTGGCCCATCGTGTCACTGTGGCGCTCATCGCGCACCGCACCACACTCCTTTTCGTCGCGCTCGTGCAACTTCATGTGGCGCGTCATGTTGGAGCGCACGCTAAACGCGCGCCCGCATCCGGACCACGAGCAATAATATGGCTTTGCACCCGTGTGCGAGTGCATGTGGGTCTGTAACGAAGACGGACGCTTGAATTGCTTCTGGCACTCGGGACAGCGGTTGCGCAAGGCGGTTGCCTCAGACATACCGCTCGAATCGGTAGCGCGCCGGCGGCGCGCGCGTGGGAACTTGTCCGGCGACGCGGTCACACCACGCGGCGACGCCGCAGGGGAGCCCAAACCGCCAGTGTGAGGCATCGGCAACGAGAGGTGGCGGTCGACATAGGGCCGGTCCTGGAACTGCGGAAACTGCGTGAGCTGCGAGAACTGCGAGAACTGTGGCGGAAATTGGGGCTGCTGGGGCACAAAGTAGCCTTCGTAACCGGGTGCGGCCTGGCCCAAGGGCGTCGCCTGACCCGAAGGGTACGGGTGAGCACCCGCTGCCGTCTGGCCCGTGGGTTGGTAAGCCTGGGTAACTGGGTACGGCTGTGGGGGCTGACTCGCAGGGTATGTTTCGGTCTTTGCCGCATCCTCCACTCGCACCAGTGGTAACGGAGGCTGCGCCTGGGCCGGCCAGGCGTAACCGTTAGTTTGTGGAGGGGGGAGCTGCTGCTGCTGTGGCGGGTACACATACACAAAAGACTCGGACCGTGGGGCATCGAGCGGATACCCGCCCGTCGCCTGCACCGGATATTGGTATCCAATGTGCTGGTTAGGCTGCCCGTTCTGGAACGGCATCTGATACATCATCGACTGGTCTGATCTGAGCATGTCTGTGTTGTGAGGAGCCTCTTGTGGTAATCAATGCTATATAGGATGGGTAGAATGGCTAGGACAGGTGTCTTGTAAGAGGTAGACCGGCTAGCGTTTGGACGTGTGAAGGTTACAATTAGATTGGATGTTGATTGGTATATATACCCTCTGGCCGCGAGGTGCATGAGGAATTTCCCTAAATCCCAGCTGCAGCCTGCGAGTGGGGACCGCCTATCAAGGATCGAGGATCCGGATGCGTGTTGATGTATATGCATGTATATGCATGCATTCACAGTGATCGCGTTACTAGGGTATGTGTTACAGGACACCATGTCTGCCCTAACGTGTCGGTAGCCCGGAACATGAAACATGCTCTAGCATTACGGTTGGAGCTTGGGAGTTTAGGGGTGTAACCGAAGTCAGACTTTTTAGAGCTTGAGGTATTAACACTATCATCCAAGGCAGCAGTAGTCTTTCCAAATTGTGTACGCTCGATTAAGAGGATGTAATAGTCACAAATGCGAGGTGTGATCTGATCCCGTAAGCTAAGAGATGGCTGATCCCCAAATCTTTGTGGTAGGTCCCCGGATCTAGGTCGTAATGGTCGTGTTAGTCGATCCACTATTTACCGGACATCCGCATGCTACGCTGTCTAAGTCGTCTACATTCTCCCTGCTATTGTGGCAGAACTGCGTTACGATTCGATCTCACCATCGCCTGTCCCGTACACAACCGTCTATTACTAGTACTGCCTTCCCGCAAACCGGATGCTAAGTTCTCCCGAAGCTGCGCAGTCCTGATTGCAGACAACTCCCCCTCTACTATCATAGATAGGCCGGCACGACACCATAATTATGCTGATACTGATCTTTTTTTGTAGTGTATCTAGAATTGGAGGAGGAAAGTGTTATCACCTCGCATAATCCCCCCACCCCCACGCCTGTGCAAGTCCATTAAAGAGCATGGGGTTCATGTAGAGTCACCCACCATCTATCCGCATTTATTATGCAGTAGCCTACGGGTATCTGCATGCACGTGCTAGGTGGTCCGATTAAGTGGGCTCTTGATGCTGGCAGACGCAGTAGACAATGCACCTACAAGCAGGTTGAAGCAAAGCTGCAGAGCCGCCTCTCTTTTTGTTTTATCGATTTGTACGGGATACGGTTCTCAGGAGGGCTTTGTAAAATGATGCTTTGAGTTTAAACTTGGTCGCGAGTGCTAGTAATATTGACACAGCTACGCTGGTGTGTGCTTTTAACATGGTGGCGGCTGTCTTTTGTGCTTCTCAACGCGAGATTCTGCAATATCAACCGTTTGACGGTTAAGGTTATCGTTGAACACGAGTGAAATTTTTTGGATATGTGTGCCGGGGTCTATACGCGTGTAATGAAAGTTGACTAAAACGGCACCATGTTCGCCAAACTTGTTGGGGGCTAAATCCACTCCTAGATCTGAGCTTAAATAGGAGTCTCGCTAGGTATTTTACCGTTTTTTAGTGTACTCTGTTGCTGATCAAAACCACATTGTTGGAGTTATTTGAGGGACTTGTAAATAGTTAGTGCGTCTAACGTCCTTGTGTTCTATATCTGCCAACTGTACTAGAAGTTTAGCCTAGCATATGCTTTATTCTGCGCGGGGCGTCCATCTCGTGATGCCCACGTACTTAGCCAAATTATACAGAGATCCCGCAGAAATCCATCCGTGTATAAGATTGACATACATCGAGTAGCGTTGGGACCTATGCAAATTTAAGATCTCCGGAAATTACCAAGCGCACGTAGCATGGCAAATCTAATATCCCGCGTAAAATAGGGGATACGACCTGGGAGTAGTGCAATAACAGGTAATCATGGCAAGACAGATGCCTCACTGTAGACTAAAGCATGTTTGGAAATTATCTTGTGCGAGGTGAAATTCCATCATCAGATGGACCAGGGATCTAGATCTGTTTACCCATGCATTGTTTAGAACCTGCATATCATGCAACCTGTACATATGATGATTAACCATACAGTCTGCGTATCCGTCATTGGCTTGCTACGAGCCTCCTTTTGGCATTCAAGATCTTCCCCAAACAATCAATGGCTAATCGGGACAAACCGGGGGCAGTGTTTGAAACAATACTGTCAAAAAGCATGGATAGAGAATGCTAAAGGTTCTCAGCGTTAATATCTGGCAGTTTTTGGACTCCGGGGGCTAGTCTAGATATCCACCTACCTGGGCTCCTTAACCGAGCATGGGTCTAATTTTAGACTATTGGGAACTAGTGGAAAAAATCTAGTAAGCCTATCTAGTCAAGCTTAGCAACCGTGCGATCCTACACAGACTCGACGTCAATTATTCTATATGCGTGTTAGCACCAGTGGTCGAAATTATTAGACGAGAGGTAAATCGCCTCCGATGACCAACGCATGAGGAATTTCGCCGGGCTATCTTATTGATGTAAACAGTACTAGACGGTGGTGAAGCGACATCTAAAGTTGACTCTAAGCAACGGGAGTAAATATGAATCATGTAAGTTCCAGGATGTACGAAAGGTACAACTAGTAATCCCTGAGCGGCTATAGGAACGCACGTTTACCATGCGCCGCTTTATGTACGATCGGCTTAAGATATTTCCGTTTTCTAGCACCATAACTTTGAAATGACATACAGCCCTTGACCACCGATTGCCATACTGCCAGTATCAGATCTCACTCTGGTTTTTAAGCCTTTAAGTGTGTTGCTTCTCTTAAAGCTCTCATTTCGCTAATCTGAAGTGGTAAACAGATCAAACCCCGGCGTTACACACCAGCTCTTGTTGGGAAAGCAGTTATATATGCTTAAGGTCTCACGTCTACGCTTGCATGGCTTGGTATTGATGATTTTCTTTGACTGCTTTCAGGGTTTGTTTGTTTTTTGGTTAAAAAGGGGGGGGCTCGCAAATCCAGAAGCTTTTGAAAACTTCACGAAGCTCTCTTGGGGGGGTATACCGGTTCTAATTGATGATTTGCTATACCGGCGCTTTATCCTATTTATATTGCTAGTAGTTCCCGCTTAGGCCGAGCGATATTTGACCAATTGCAGTTATCCACAGCCAGTGTAATTTTTCGTAATTTAGCGAGGTCTCCGAACTGAGTACTAAGAGATGGGGCGGTCTGGCGCTCTCCTGGCGTACTTTACAAAGCAAAAGGTCGGGATTTACAAGTAGCCCGTCCCTAAACTCACCCAGCGTCACTGAAATGCGCTCATTTGTAGTGACTAGATAGTTTTTTGGCCGAAAGGGTTCGTCGTTACGTTTCTCTTGCCTTCTCAAAGCTTGGGATATATGGGTAAATAGAAACGCATAGCCGGGTTTAAAATCACTTGACGCACCGCAGCCATGTACATGACCTTCAGTGACACATACGGGATACTATATCTGGCATCACCTTACATCCCATTCACTTAGTTGCGTTCCCTTCCAATCTTATGGCACTTACACTAAATGAACATATTTCTATGGATACAAACTAGGATGCCATACGTACTATGAACTCTTCAGAAAATCCATTATTTCAGAGCGTTTCAATCAATCTGGATGCGTTGCATTATGGACCCTTCTGGGAACCTTGGAATACCGAGAACACAGCCAAGAAATGCACCCCCTTCACCTTGAAAACTAGAATAAGCAAGATTGGCAATAGAGCTGTCGCTCCTGAGGGGGCTTATACGCTATATCATGCACGTGTTCTTGAGTACGGTAATAACCTCAAGCTGAGAAAGCTTGAGCTTCGTGTTATCAAATACGATAAATCTATTCCAGACGAGAAAATATCTGCTTTTTTTCTTGTTTTTGCTTTCTTCGCCTTCCTTACAGAAGAATCTCTAAAAATCCGCCTGATAACCTACATATGGTTCTCAATTTGATGTCAATCATACCATGCTTGTGGAGATACGTTCATGTGTGGCAATACGGATCGATGGAACGATTATGACGGCCCTTGTCGCTGTGTTCTGACTGTGATGATCTCATGCATACCGCAGCTAAAACTCCGCAGGTGCATGCATGAGATTCACTGATTGCTGTATATCACGCTGAGACTACACTATCTATATTTATCTTGCTGAAATACGTGTAGATATGCACTGAAATATCCTAGTCATCAGATCACCCATCTTTGTAGACAGCACCGCTGCACGTATACGCTTGCCGGCCGTATACGGATTACTGCAGGTTGATGTTAGGGGCTGGGCCGCCGATTCGTCTGTTCAGGTCCACCTTAGCCGTGCCTTGGTCAGAACCGAATCCTCTCGGAAATTTTAACGAGAATAAAGGACTTGGATCGTTTCACCGCCACCCCCCCCCCCCCCCCCCCCCTTTCGGAGCTGAGAGTCGGACTCTGAGTGTTAGAAGCTGTATAGACGTGAGCTGAGCCCCCCGTTGACACATGGATAGTGTAGGATCAGCGTGCGTTCCAATTTCAGACACCACATCCCCGTGCATCTTCACAAGAAAAACCCCCAGGGCACAATCTTTAGTTTCGAATCTATCCAGTCGGTCCACAGGAAGGATCGGAGACACCGCCTATAGAAATTAAATCCCCCCTGGGTGTCCGTGTAAACTGCCTCAAATGTTCACTGGCCGGATAGACTCGGATGCCTTTCGCTTGGAGGAGTTCATAACAAGGCACAATGTGGAAGTGGGTTAGGCTCTCTACCAGGTGAATACCCCGCTCCGAATTTTGCTCCCGCGCGTGTATTGAAATCACCGAGAAAAATTGGACTAATGGAAGTTTAACCTAGTTATAATCGATTGAATATAAGTCATTAGTGATATAGGTTTGGTAGTTTAGTCAGAACGTTGGGTTTATGCTACAAGTGCTCAAAACTATGTAAAACCTGCGTAGTCTGTAATTTTCGTTACGCGATCGGCAGCTCTAGTGTTTGTAAAGGCTGCAGGTGTTGGCGATCAAGCGTGAACTTTTAGACAGGCTAAGCGCGTGGAAGCGTAATTTTAGTCTGTATGCTAGTTATGCGGAGTGCCAGCGTAATTAGTACTGGCATTCCCTTGAACTGTTCCATATATGTATACACGGCTCAATAACACAAGCTGAATTATATTAGTTATACAAATGTTGAAGAATGTAGCACTTAATCAAGCTATATGACTATGTTTCTGTGTTCCACATTTTCCTAATATCGTATCTATAAAAAATATATGTTTATATGATTCATATATATATTTATACGTTAATAAGGTATTATCGTACTCTTTTATGAATTGTAATTATGTATTTCATAGACTAGTAACGGGATTGAAACAATATACCAATAATATGAGTTGTAAGTTTTTTCTTCAAGATGCGGTGAATTTTCCATTCGAATCTATTATTTACGTTGAAGCTTGTTTCTTTCGATTAATGCTCTGTTGCTCTTTTCGTCGAAGTACCTGGAACAAGTTGGTATATATACAGTGGAAATTTCGGCTACATTTAGTAATACTGGCTTAGTTTTGACATGTATACCCCATTTTTTTTTGATTTGCATCTAATGCACAATATCATACATTTACACTATACAATACCATACATTTACCCTATTAAAGGATTCAATACAGCCTAATTTCCAAGTCTGAGAAGGAGTTCTGACCTTCAGCAGTCCAGATTTTACAAACAAATCACCCATCCCTATATCGTTTAAACACTTATGTCACAAAAACGTTCATATCCACTAAGATGAGCGATACTAGCGCGGGAGGAGGAAAGAAGGCTCAGTGCGGTAGTCCTGTCTAGGCAACTCTCTCGATCAAATGGAAACCACTGTCGCTTTCCACAATGTCACTGATATCTCCTACGTTCAACTTGAAGGCCGCCTTCTCAAAGGACGGTTGCATCTGGCCTTTGCCAAACGCACCCAAGTCGCCACCCTGGCTGTGGGAAGAACAGTCACTTTCGGTCTGGGCAATTTCGCTCAAGGACTTGGCCTCACCCCTCTTCAACTTCGCTTGCCAGTCCCTCAAGATCTTGATGGCCTCCTCACGGGTTCTAGTGATGTTTTCCTCCTTCCACGACGAAGGTCTACGGGAGCCAGCGTACTTGATTAGCAAGTGATTGCATCTGACCTTGTCTGGGGGTGTGGCGTAGGTGGCCAGCAAGTAGGCCTTCAATTGCACAATATCTGTACCAGAAGGAGCTTCCCAGGACGATTCCTTGGTTTCATCGTTGTAGTAGTATTCTTGGTTGTGGGTACGGGAAGTACGGATACTCCAGCCTGAGGGTAATCCGGTAGACTAGGGCGGTTAGTATTTCTTCAAACAATTTTGCCACCACCAACATACCATTATATATGCAAGTTGTGTTTTTAATGCTTTGTAAGGTGGAAGAAGTCCGTATGGAGCAACAATCAGGCAAATGTAGGAATGATATCTGCTTTAAAAAAAGGTGTGGGGCTCGTGGCGATCTTTGGGAATCCGCTACCTAAATGTGGCCTCTAAAGCGCAACGTCAGGGCCAATGGCTCATAACCGGAAAAAAAAGGAGAATTTACATATGGCACCGCCTCTTTCTGCGCCGCATGATAGCTCTAGTGTGGCGTAGTTCTTTGTCGCGTCTTTTTGTTTACGCGTCTGTGAGATTTTTTTCATACACGTGGCTAAGGAGCTTCTCCAGAGATAATCACCCCAGCCCATCAGCACCATCTATAGTTATGACTATTGACAAAAAGTCCACCAGAGTGATTCTTTTGCCGAAAGCACCTGGCTCTGAGACCCACTCGGTCTTGACATTACCACACCCTAGGACCCAAGAGCCTGCCAACTACATCATTATAACCAACAGCGAGTCGAAGCCAGCCGTCTCCACGCTTTACGAATTGAAGGAAATATCGGGGAAGAACCCACACCACCAACAGCAACAGCTAGCTCCCGAAACGAAGGATGGAAAAACAGTCAAGTCGTTGATTTTCGAGAGATACGAAGGTACGGGCGGGCCAAGCACCCAGGGGTTGGTTATCCAAGACCCTGCGATGACCATTGCTACCAGGTATAACCTTGCTTACACTCTCATCGCTTATTTTACCTCCTCGTCAAATACCTCTACGCGCTACCAGTCGTTGGAAGATCTCATCGACTCCATTTCAGCCGTTGGCTTGTTTACCGATTTCAGCAGCAAGATCCCGGAAGCTATGATCAAAGCGGCTTTGCAGCCAATCTGCGAAACAATCACTGAGAACGTCGGTGAGGACGATGTAGAGGTCTACTACAGGTTTTCTCGGGCTCGGTGCTTGGAGTTTTTGATGGCCAAAGTCACCAAGCTTGCAGGCCACTTCCCTGAGTCTATCATGGAAGCACACATCAAGCCTATGCTATTTTCCCCCACCTTTGCCTCCTCTGCCGATAGTGAGACAGGTAACGATGAAGTCGTGTACCAATGCAAGTTGAAGTACTCTGCGTTTCTCATTGGCTCGTACCTCAGCCCTGAGTTTATAACCGAGTTGATGAAACAGTTAGATATTACAAAGTTGGTGGTATATTTGGATGAGTTGAAGGCTAACAAGGAGAAGGCTGCATTGGCCGAAGAGAACATGAGGTTGTTGGCGGAGCAAAGTGCCGGGGCAGGCAAGTCCAAAAAGAAACCCACTGCTACAAAGAAAGCCACCAAGAAGGCCACGCTTCCTAGGAAGGTGGCCATTGGATCTGGGGCCTTGGACGGCTTCTTTAAGAAGGCCTAGAGCATGAATTAGCCCCAGTACGCATTTAATAATATACACAAAAACCAATGAAATATCACGCCACCAAGGTAACCATATCGGAAAACATCTCCTCCGACCCGTAGTGCAGATTCACAAACAACCCTGTCCCACCAAACGGACCTAGGTGCTGTTCCACATCCAATTCTTCGTTAGAGCTGAACAAAGTCTCTGTGTCCGAGCGCCAGCGATACCTTGGGACACGGCTCAAGCCTCGTGTGTTCACCATGTCTATTTTTTTAATCGTGGTGGGTATACGGAAGAGGCCCGTGGGCTGGAAGGTAGAATTCGACGCAGACGCCACCTCCAGAACATAGCCACTCAAGACATGCGTGACATTGAGCAAGTTTTTGACATGAAAGTCGGGGTGCATAGTGGTTTTTAGAGTGCTATTCCCATCGCTACTCAAATCTACAAATAGGTTTTTGTTGAAGACGCTGCCTCGAAGGTCATCCACCTCTCGATCACTCAAGGTGAATGAATATTGGGCAATAACGCGGACTTCCGACTTAGCGATAAGGTTGGAAGCCCTCGATGCTTCCATGACCCCTGTAGACATGGTGTGATACAGCGTAACCGTTTCGTGCAAGTTGATCCGTAACTGATACGTTTCGGGCCTGGCTAGCGAGGAGTCCTGAGAGCTTGTTACGCCTGGGGGTGGCATCACATTGTAGTTCAACTTAAGTGGAATGATTGGGTGTACACTTGGTCTAACTCCTTCCATGAGCTTGTTCATTTCCCGCGTGATGTTCCTTCGGTAGATTAGCGGAAACTTAGCCGAGAAGCGGGAGTCGGCCTTGACCATGGTGACACTGATTTTGTGGAGCACCTCTCCGATAATCATCAACGACGATAACTCCGGGTGTAAATCCAAGGAGAACGGAAAGGTGTGGAAACCAGCACTGAGAGTGGAGGAAGTGGCTAGATCCCGGCTGCAGACATGGAAGCAACTGTCGGCGAAACGCTGTTTTATAGCGGGGTTGTTCTTTACAGGAATCTCACGTAAGTAGCTGGATTTGTACCGGATGGAGAGAGCAGAAAGCTTGAGCTGGCTTCTTAGTCTGAAGGAAAGAGACCCTGTAATGATCTTTGGCTGCCGCAGATCGCTGGTCGCAGCGTTATCTAGGACGAGGGATATAGCCTGGACCTCGGGTAGTAGTAATCTCATTTCTAGATGGTTCATTGTAATTTCTAGAAGGTGGTGTAACTGTAGGAGCAAAGAGGTTGGGAATAAAAGGATGAAAAATAAAAAGACGGAGTGACCTCTATTAACATTTAAATTAAGATACGATTTCTTTTTTTGATAAGCTTGCGCGCGGCTGTGCTCTGAAAATTGTTATCGCCGTTGCTGTTGGCGCACGTGAAGGAAGGAGCGCTCGGAATAACGCGAGGAGGGAATTGAGAAAAGGGCAGTTGATCTGTGGGACGTTTACCAAAAAGGTGTGAAAGGCGATCCAGGGGTCGAGAAGCTAGTGTTAGACAGAAATAAGAGGGTGTATATATTTACTGAACCACATCAGTGTCCGGAAGTTAACCTGCTGGAATTCTTGGAGATGCTACGTGTGCCGCGGCTGATAAGATTTAGAATTCTCGGGTTTACTCCTCCTTCAGCCCCGGTTTATGATAGGCTCGTCATATGACGAATACCGGTTACGGCGAGTGGAAAGATAAGACACACTTTTGGATCTCTAAATCGCGCCGATGACCTGATTAGCTTGTAACGGAACATATACTGCATGTGACGGGAAATTGAAGCCACAACTGAGCATGCATCGTATATACACAGACCTCTGGAATTTATGTCTATCAGCACTGAACTTTTTCAGTGTCAGCCAGCATACGTGGCTACGAGAGCTGTGTGTGTATCCAGATATTTGACCGCTGGCTGAAACCTCGTTTGCATCTGCTGGGCTGGAACGCCCCGAAAGCATTCTTGGTAGCTACATTTGGCCGTCTCTGCAGTTAATACTCAATGAAACGAACACAGGACTCTGTGGGAGTCACATGGTGCTCTGTTATTGTTTTGTGTGCAAAGGAGGGGAGTGGAAACAGCCCCGCCACGAGATGCAGGATTTTGCCTGAAGAGAAGGCCTGAGCCTCTCGTTTTTAGGAAAACGATTGGAGACTATCGGGTAAAACAAAGACAAGGGTGGGCAACACTCTAAAATGACTTGTTATTTACCTTGTGGGGGCTATTTTGAGTTACAAATGGGCCGGAGCCAGAACTCCTACTAAGCACGGGCAGATGCATTCTTCGGATATTGACCAGTTCGATCGTCGTAAATTAACTTCCGGGTTTAAATATGGCACTCTATGCAGAAGTCCATATGCCGATTGTCGCCCTTCCAAAAAAAGTACGAGCTTAAGCGGCGCTGCCGAGTCACCCAAACCAGTTCAAAGAAATTAATACGAGCGCCTGTAATTTACGTTCTATTACTACATATATTCAAGGATAAAGTACCCAAGCTTTGACTAGGGATTTGATCCACTGCATAAGAGTCTTTTGAAGGCTAAGGCGTTTACACAGATATATGTTCAATCCACGAAATATGCAAAAAACCACGAAGCCGAGCACACTGTGGGGTTCACTCCTTATGATTCCAACGTGAAAGTATCCAACATCTTTTTAGGTCTATACAAACCGCGACTCAGCAGGGCGTCCTTTTGCCGATCCAGCCTAAAGCTATGTCATATTTCATTGTTCGAACACCTGCGGTTCGGCGATACCCCCGGCTAATCGAGCAATATTAACCTTTTTCTAGCTTTCGGGACTGATGTCTAGAAGTTATCGACTCATGCAACCAATGTCGCCATGTCAAAGTTATCGTCATTTAAACCTTGATCGTGATGAGAAAATAAACCAGCATTAGTCTCCGACTGTCCGTCCACTGCGTGTTCCGTAACGTGTGAGTGATCCTTCTCTCCGTCGTAGATCGTTTCAAGGTCATCGTTCCAACCGGACCTATTGTACTGCTCCATCAAGTCACACAATCCTTGATCGACCATACTTTCCGTAATCGCGGTGGGCATTTCAAACATCTGTTCACCTGTAGCACCTAGCAACAAGCACACAAGCTTGTGCCTAACCGTGACAGTAAGCCCGCTTTTCCCCACTTTGCTCAGGTGATCAGCCAAGATTTTATCAGTAGCATCATCCACCATGAGTAAAAGTGGCTGCCTGGTAATAGCCGTGTCAGAAATGTACGTAGTGTTTGAGCTGTCGGCGTCGATTGTGTATTGGACAATGATTCTCTTTGTAGTATGCGTGGAAGAAACTTCTTGACCTCTCCTGTTGATCAATACTCTTTCGTCATGCAAGGATCTGGCGGCGCTAGGATTTGTGATAGAGACGGTCTCCACGAGTGAAACCATGCACTTCCGAATGCTTCTATTGCAATGTGGATAGGTAATGTGGAATGGAATGAGAAGTTTCTTAGAGGAGGGCTTCAACGGCAAAACCGTCGAAGAACTGAGGATATGGGAAACCACAAGCGGGAAGTTACTTGAAAGCATTGAGTGGGATTTTACCAAGGTGATAGTTAAAACCTGCTTTATTTTGGACGACATGACACCAGAAGCAACCAACTTCCCAAGACGACCAGGCATCTGAAACTTAAATGGAAGGTTGTGCTCACCGGCACCAAGAACTGGTAACGTACAGCATTGGGATTGCAGATTAAGTATGGTCTCATCTTGTGTGGGCCCGCCATTCATGTTGTGCAGAGCGGTAGCGGCGCCTCTATTGGAGGTGTACACCGTTTTCAACGATATGGTCATGGCCTTCATCGGCACTTTTCTGTTAAGCCGGATATGAATTCTCCCAGTGACATGGTAATCGTTAGCCCTGGACGGATACTGCGAAGGGCGAATGCTTATGCTTTTGATTTCAGAGTAGCCAAACCTCATGTTTATATGGTATGTAATGCAGTAATTATGGGTGAATACTCCGGGCCGGATTTATGAGTATACAATGGCTTCAGTGCATGTCGTCGGGCGGATGGGCTCGATGATTTATATAATCACTGTCTGGTTCAGGAAGTTCACTGTTTGGATAATCTGCTCCTCTCGGTACAAAGGAGACATACTGAGACAATTTGGATTGGCCAGGCCACACGGATTTGTACGAGATAAGGATTTTTAGAGACATATTTCTGCATGCATGAATCTCGATATTACAAAGCGCTGTGCTCTGGCCTTCTCCGTCTAGGATCGTAAACTTTTGAGCCGCGCTAATATTATGTGAAGGAGACGTATCCCCCGCGGAATTTCTCGGCGAAACCTTGGAGGTAAACATCCGGCATTTAACCACACTCTTTACTAATCACTCACTTCTGGACTGTACGAAAGGGCGTGAAGTTTCAGTCTCCAGCCCTGTACAGAGGGATCTGTCAAATAGTTCGAGCAACGAAGAGAATTTTGATGCACCAAGCCTAAGCCTTTCCGTATTTGACGCCGAGACCGCAGGCTTATTAATGGGAAATCGTGCAGTTTAGATTTAGACTCTCGAAGAGTCTAACGGGATTTGTGAAACCATACACAAATAGGATGTTGAATTAAGACTAGTGGTTGCTATCGACTGGCTTAAATTACTGTGAATTGGCTAAATATAAAATACACCATGGTGCATGCTAGTCTCTAATGAGCCATTGCAACGGTTTTTGCATATGTTGTAGGTTGATACAGTGATTGTATGCCAAAGACTGGATACACGGGGTCGTTTAGCACAGGCCATATAACCGGAAGTCTACCTGTAAAGCAAGCGACAATGCACTAAGATTAGATCCTTCGTTTTTCGATATATTATAACTGCATTTATGCTACCAGGCATTTGATTTTATAGCTATACACAAGTGTGGGTGTAGCCGGTATCTGCCTGTGTAGCTTAGGCTATCACACACGATAGCTTTTAGTACTGCCAGACGCATCGATGGTCATATAGAGCAACATTATGTTGGGCTTTAACTCATAAATCATTCCCCAGGACAGGTTTAAGAGCCCGATGTGATTAAGGCTGAAAAGTAATATTGGTTCCCAGGAACTAAAAACCAACCGTGCCACGGTATATAGCTAATTGGTTGACCTAGCGTATGGATTGCCATAGGGCTGTCTAAGCATGCATTTACAGTATTATATCAGATTAATAGCCCTTCAAATTCGTATTTATACTTACACTTATGGCCAAACATCAGCGAAACCGTATCTAGAGCATTCATTAGAATTCCCCTATACACGGACCCATGGAATCCTGTAACGAATTATTTACTTGTAGACAAACTGGGGATAAGTGCTTCTATGCGACCAACTCCAACTCGTCATCCACAATGCAAATCTCTGAAGCATTCGGCTGGGGCTTACAGTAAAGCTTTCTGCGCATTACGTCAGCTCGCCTCTCCGCCAATATCCGACATATTACCGTTCTACCATAGTGTCTATTCGCGTATTAAAAATTGTCTTGTTCGCGATTTTCGGTGCGGCCGCCATGCCCGTCGATCTAGCGAAGCGCCGCTCAGCACATTATCCTGAGGGGGAAAAAGTGAAGCTGAACCGAAAAAAGCACCACAGACTAAGCCATCAGCTCCGCTACAAGGTATGGAATCCTACTTATAAGAAGATAAACCCGTGCTTTACCCTGCGAGCTCATCACCCTACCTTTACCAAGTTCCATTAACTCGACATAGCTCCTTTCTGCCATCCCAAAACGACGTGTCTCAGCATTTCTATTTTTAGACCGGCTGTTATCACGAAATAAGAATCAGTTTTTAAAACCCCGGTTAAGCACTAAAATCACTTTGGCGCCGAGTAACCTTCTCTGCAGCAGTAGCCTATCTGATTGCGTTGAGTTTAGACTCCCCCCCAGTGCCGTGCTTTGAAACCCCTAACTAACTACTTGCTTTGCTCCGAAACTTTCAAATAATCCACGATGGGAAGAAGAAAGATTGCCATCGAGCCAATCACTGATGAGAGAAACCGAACAGTAACTTTTGTCAAGCGCAAAGCTGGGTTGTTCAAGAAGGCCTACGAGCTTGCAATCCTATGTCAGGTTGACGTTGCCCTCGTGATCGTGAACAACAACAATCGCGTGTACGAGTTCTGTTCCGCCGACGCTCTCAAGATCTTTGACATCTATAAGAGCCACCCGAAACACTACGAAACCAAGACCCCGAAGGACTACGGAAACCATGTGAAAAAATCTCGGATAAAGATCGACGGCAAAACCCTGATAGAGGAAGAACCAGACGCACAGGAGGACGGTAGCGGGTCGGAATCCGAGGAAAGATCCGAGTCCGAAGCAGACTCGGGCTCGGGCTCTGACTTTGGCGAGGATGCCCACCCGTCAAAAAAGGCCAAACTTTCCAACAAAGTAAGGACAAGGGCCGCCAAGAGGACTGTAACGCTGAAGTCAAAGACCCGAGGTGCTAAGAAAACCAAGAAGAGCGTGCTGTCTTCATCGTCCCGGCTCAATCCCGAGGAAATTGCCGCGATACCTACGTTTAACCATTCCTCCCAACCGTACGGGTTCCCTGGGAACACGCAACCCATGACGTCGCTCCACCCAGAACAACTATTTTCCAACCAAAAAACAATGCAGTACAACGCATATGGTCCGGCCATCGCCCAATTCCAACCGTCGCAGTATGGGTACCGCCCAATGCTTCCTCAACAACCTTTGATCTCAACCCGGTCATCGGTTGTGCCTAAGACACAGGTGGACGACCGGTTCCGCGCCCCTTCCAGACCAACGTCCCTCCCTCCAATCAGTTCCACAGCTGCCCATGCCGCCAAGAAATCACCATTCAATAAAACGGGGAGCGGCAATACCAAAAGACCTATTTTAAAAGTGAAAATCCCCATGACAGATGGGCTTGTGCTGGGCTCATCACAAAAAGGTACCCGCTCTACCGAGCCCCTGATCGGTGCGCTAATTGGAAACAAAGGCAGTCTTGAGGAAAATCGGAACGCCATGCCTTCTAGCGGTATCAGCGACGCTACCATCTCCGCCAGAACCAGTCACAACTCATCAAACGACTCGAAAGGCCACGGCTTATCCGCTCTTAGCCAGTACCAAACGGGAAATCCCAAACCTTCCTTCAACCCCTCTCTTGCCAACTCTAATGATACCTCGCCCAAGCTGACTCCCATTTCTGCTGGCTCGCATCTCTACAACCTCCCCCTTCCGTCTCCATCCCAACTTACAGCTAGTTCCAATGCGCTTGCATCTCTTGGGAATAGCACCAATGGGCTAAATACCCCGGTGGATAACACCAAGAGTGGCAGTGGTGGAAGCAGTGACCAGGGTAGCGGAGACAGAGAGCGGAGGAGTAGCCGAAGCGCTTATAACACTACGCCAACCGGCACTTCTGCTACGCAAACCTCCACCTTTCTTACTAGTGGCGCGCAGTCAGGAGGTGCTAGCGGTGTACAGCCCATTACGCCTGGATTCCGTCCTCCGTTGGGATCTTTGAACACTACAAGCATGTACAACCCCACCCTACAGCAACAACAACATTTTATGCAGCAGAACCATATGGGCGATAACACACCAACCAGCGGGCTTCCGTCGAGATATGTTAACGATTTGTTCCCCTCGCCGTCTAATTTCTACCTGTCGGAGTGGAACATTCCGTTGGGAACTGGTTCAACGCCGTACCCGATGAGTGCCATCAACAACAAGCAGCTACCGTTTCTCCAGCCACAGTCGTCCAACAACCAAGGCAATCAAAGTACGGGTCCAATGCCCTTTCCTACTGATGGGCGAGGTGCCAGATACGGAGCGAACTTAGGAACTGTCACCCCAAGAGCGGAGAACGTCAACGACATGTTGCCGTCGCCACTCCAGTTGTTTAATAAGGAGTTCAACCGAAAGAACTGATGCAGCTGCGTATTTTGGTTTTATATATGGAGATAGATTGAATTGCCCTAGGACATGTAATGTGGGCCAATTCCTAATGAACGAATGAGACTGTCCACCGTAGACCAGTAGTCTGTAATAGAAAAGGTGCCTTCTAGGCTGTTATTAAAGATTAAATATAAGCTATTTATTCTTTTTTTATTGTGCCTTCGAGGCATGCACTGCGATGATAAAGCGTTCAGACAGGAGCCGTTTGATGCAAGATTGGGAGGCTGCATACAGCCCTACCGTCGGCGTAGAGAAACAGACTTGGGATGTCTTGTGTAATATATGTGAAACTTGATTAAGAACAAATATGATTTGTGATGGTGTTTAATTCCATTTTATGTATTATAAAATTTTTATCTTACTCTGGGCGGGGGGTGGCCATGAGCCAAGCTCTTATTTAAGGTATTCTCTGGGTCCCCTGCACGTATTACAGTCACGTGAATATAATTAGGGCTTATGAATGCCTTGTGAAGTAGAAAGTCACAGTTATAAGTGTAAGTTACGAACCAGCCTGAGATATGCACGCACCAGCTTGCACCTCTACTTTTTCTTGTTCTTCCCTGTACTATCTCATCCTCGCCTGCGCCTAGCGCTCACTTTTCGCGGTCTCTCTCTGTTTACAACGGTGGGAAATTCTCTGGGCGTTCGGTGCAGGCCGTTCTAACAATCTGGCCTCGTACTAACAATTTGGTAAACCAAGGTAGATGCGCTTACGTCAGCGCAAAACTTTTTCGCTCTGTAGGGAGTAGGAAAATTCTTCCACTGTGCTGTCTTGCGCACACCCACGAGTTAGTGAGGGGGACACACCACTCACTGTAGGATAGGCCTTTTCGTACCAAATTTTCACCGGCGCAGCATTGAAAAAAACATCTATTAAATTCCGTACCCCCATTTCTTTAGTACCAAGGTAGTTTATTAACGGCAGTCTCCATCAATATGAAGGTATGTTGAAATTACCCATATTGAACAGACGGATATCCCTGAGTCAGCAGAATCACGCACCTAATTGGACGATGAAACCATCACCATGAGCCTCCGATAACATCAAAATGCCGTGGGAGATGGAAAAGCGCAGAAAAGAAAAGGCCCGGAAAGTCTTGTCAGACCATCGTGCTCAACAGTAGCCTCGATGAAAAATCTTCAACTGGGTTCCCAATCCTCCGCACCTACAAAACCAGAGCCCCACGTTCCCTCCTTCGAAATGTTTGATTTGCCTGTATCTGTTGACCCACCGTCTGCTTCAACTCAGCACCCCCAAGTGTTGTTACTAACATCATATAGTTAAACATCTCTTACCCAGCCAACGGTACCCAAAAGTGTATCGAAATTGATGACGACCACAAGTTGCGTGTCTTCTACGAGAAGCGCATGGGTCAGGAAGTCGAAGGTGACTCTGTTGGCGATGAATTCAAGGGTTACGTCTTCAAGATTACCGGTGGTAACGACAAGCAGGGTTTCCCAATGAAGCAGGGTGTTTTGTTGCCAACCAGAGTTAAGTTGTTGTTGGCCAAGGGTCACTCTTGTTACAGACCAAGAAGAACCGGTGAACGTAAGAGAAAGTCCGTTCGTGGTGCTATTGTTGGCCCAGATTTGTCCGTCTTGTCCTTGGCTATTGTCAAGCAGGGTGAACAGGACATTGCCGGTGTTACCGACTCTACCACTCCAAAGAGATTGGGTCCAAAGAGAGCTAACAACATCAGAAAGTTCTTCGGTTTGTCCAAGGAAGATGATGTCAGAAAGTACGTCGTCAGACGTGAAGTCGTCAAGGGTGACAAGAAGTACACCAAGGCTCCAAAGATCCAGAGATTGGTTACTCCACAGGTCTTGCAGAGAAAGAGACACTTGAAGGCCTTGAAGATCAAGAACGCCCAGGCTCAAAGAGACGCTGCTGCTGAATACTCCCAGTTGTTGGCCCAGCGTTTGACCGAACGTAAGGCTGAAAAGGCTGAAATCAGAAAGAGACGTGCTTCTTCCTTGAAGGCTTAAGCTTAACAAAAATATGTTTTATATCTTTGTATCTCTTGTTTTCGATCTTTTTCCCCCCTCATCCCTCCCACTCTCTCTTTTTTAATATATAAGTTTTTTAAAGAATGGAAAGTGAAAAGTATTAATTATTTTGTTCTAAACAACTGAGTAGGATCCGATGTGAGCTCTAGATTCTGGCAATAAACCGGCTCTGACACTGCCACCGAGACGTGGGTCCAGCACCGCTCATATATCCTTTATATACAGATTACCGAGTTTCGCACCTCTGTCCATGTCTCCCGAGAGTGAAGTGTTGGAGGCCGAACCACGTCTCTTGGGTACCTCTATTACGTGGCACTTTGGCCGTTGGCGTACACTAAGACTCGCTTACAGCGACGGCTCTTCAAGATGCACGCTAATTCCCCACAGAGTCAGCATAGATCGTGCCGTACAGTGGCACGTGAAAAAGCCACCTGAGGGCATACCCCCAAGAAAATCAGATCAGTGGCTTGTAAGAATCATATAGTGATGATAAAATAATCCTGCGATAATATCCAGCACACTGCCCTAATCAACATAGTTTGAATTACCGCTAACCACGGAGAGTACTTATGGACCCTGGAACCCCGTTATAGGTGCTCCTCCACCTCTAAGGACGAGTATCCACCCACCAGACACAACTATAGAGCTTCGGCCGCACTTGCTTAATCTTTAGATCGGGGTATGATCTGAGTATCGCTTGTAGGGAAACTGAGTTCACCCGTGTAAACACTATAAATTGAACGATTAACAGTGTAGAAAAATCCAATCATAAGCAGGCCTAGAAGCCGCGTTCGCGAGTATTGCTGCCGAAAATAGAGTTATGGTCACCACTCCCCGTGTTCACGTGGCACTAACACATAATTGCCACGGCAAACCAAACTTCGACAAGTACAACGAGAGCACGGGCAACATGTCATACATTCACATATCGCACCTTCGCCGCTTAGGGGTGCGTGCCGGTTGTCGCTACGTCATTCCGTATGGACTACGTCTCCGTAAGCCGCGCATTTCCGATCAGATACATGCGCCCAAGGCGGCTGCGAAAATCTAAACGGAAAAGCGAAAACTTTCCTGGCTACCAACAACGTCAGTAAAACAGGAGTACACCGTAGAAAAAACCAAGTGGATCGCTTTTAAACATAGTACAAACTTGTATATACCTCTATTTGTCTTTGGAATGAAGTATATCGCTCCGCGAAGTCTAGGGCTCTCCTTGACTCGGGCAAGGTTTTCCACGCTTTGTGCCACACTCCCAGGTGGGCTCACGCCGAGCGGCCGCGGCACCCAGACGTCGTGGCTCAGCGGCAAACTCAAACTCGATATAAATACCCCCTCCCCCACTTTTTCGTCCCTAACAACCCACTCTTTCTCTTCTCTCCAACACAGATACTATTGCCAAATGTGTCGCCACGCTACTACCGGTGGAAGCTCCACCATGTATGTATCTACATTCTGTCGAAACGAAACCAACACAGGATCGAAAAACGCCTCACAAAACAGGAGCAAGCGCCATCGGGATAGCAATTGCAGTCCAAAGAGAGCCAATAGTTACAGAGGCAATTGTATGCTCTTTTTTCTCTGGCCGTTTCTTGTTTTCCCTCAGTGGACTTTGGCAGGCAACTCTACCCAGCTCATCCTATCGTTCGTTTACCCCATGACAAAGACCCCCCCCCCCCCCCCCCCCCCCCTCTTTTTGACCAACCGTTGAGCCATTACTAACATTCCCAGCGTTCCCTCGGACCGCCAGGTTCTTCCAACCAATGTCAAGCCTACTAAGTACGACGTCACTATGGAGCCTAACTTCTCCACCTTCAAGTTCGACGGCTCCATCAAGATCGACTTGGATGTCAAGGAAGATACCCACACCGTCACCGTCAACTCCTTGGAGATTGAGATCCACTCTGCCAAGATCGCCGGCCAGGACGCCGCTTCCACCACTTTTGACGAGGACAAGCAGTCCGCCACCTTCACCTTTGCCGAAGAGTTGAAGGCCGGCACCACCGCTCAGTTGGAATTGACCTTCACCGGTGTATTGAACGACAAGATGGCCGGTTTCTACCGTTCCACCTATCAGGAGAATGGCGAAACCAAGTACTTGGCCACCACCCAAATGGAGCCTACCGATTGTCGCCGTGCCTTCCCATGTTTCGACGAGCCAGCCTTGAAGGCTGTGTTCGACATCACGCTTATCTCCGATGAGAAACTCACCTGTTTGTCCAACATGGATGTCAAGAGCGAAAAGAAGTTGGCCGGCGGCAAGAAGGCTGTTTCCTTCAACTCCACGCCGCTCATGTCCACCTACTTGGTTGCTTTTGTCATCGGTGAGTTGAACTACATCGAGACCGACGCCTACAGGGTTCCTATCCGTGTCTACACCACCCCAGGGTTGGAAGAGCAGGGGAGATTCTCCCTCGACTTGGCTGCCAAGACTTTAGCCTTCTTCGACAAGACCTTCGGTATTGACTACCCATTGCCAAAGATGGACATGATTGCGATCCATGATTTCAGTGCCGGTGCTATGGAAAACTGGGGCTTGGTCACCTACAGAGTTGTGGACTTGTTGTTGGACCCCAAGACTTCTTCCTTGTCTACCCAACAGAGAGTCGCTGAGGTTGTCCAGCACGAGTTAGCCCACCAATGGTTCGGTAACTTGGTCACCATGGACTGGTGGGAGGGCTTATGGTTGAACGAAGGGTTTGCCACCTGGATGTCCTGGTACTCCTGCAACCAGTTCTACCCTGACTGGAAGGTCTGGGAACAATACGTCACTGACTCCTTGCAATCTGCCTTGAGCTTGGATGCCTTGAGAGCCTCCCACCCAATCGAGGTCCCAGTCAAGAGAGCCGATGAGATTAACCAGATCTTCGACGCCATCTCCTACGCCAAGGGCTCCTCCTTGTTGAAGATGATCTCCAGATGGTTGGGCGAAGAGGTCTTCATCAAGGGTGTCGCCAACTACTTGAAGAAGCACAAGTACAGCAACACCCAGACCGGCGACTTGTGGAAAGCTTTGTCTGAAGCTTCCGGCAAGGATGTTGTCAAGGTCATGGATGTCTGGACCAAGAAGATCGGGTACCCGGTCGTCAGTGTCACTGAAAAGGACAACGAGTTGACCGTGAAGCAGAACCGTTACTTGACCACTGGTGATGTCAAGCCAGAAGAGGACGAGACCATCTACCCTGTCTTTTTGGGCTTGAGAACCGCTGCCGGTATCGACGAATCAGTGGTTTTGGACTCCCGTGAAAAGACCCTCACTTTAGACGACGCCTCTTTCTTCAAGATTAACGGTGACCAGGCCGGTGTTTACAGAACAAACTACACCCCAGAGCGTTGGGTTAAGTTGGGTGAAGCCGGTCGTCAAGGCTTGTTGTCGGTTGAGGACCGTGCCGGTTTGGTTGCCGATGCCGGTGCTTTGTGTGTCTCCGGCTACTCCTCCACTACCAACTTGTTGTCTTTGGTTTCTGGCTGGAAGCAGGAGCAGAGTTTTGTGGTTTGGGATGAAATTATCACCCGTATTACTTCTCTCCGTGCCGCCTTCCTCTTTGAAGACGTGGAAACTAGAGATGCCTTGAAGGCTTTGACCCGTGCGTTGATTAGCGAGAAGGCCCACGTTTTGGGCTGGGAGTTCAAGGAAACCGATGGCTTCTTGGAGCAACAATTGAAGGCTCTTGTCTTTGCTGCCGCTGTTGGTGCCAAGGACGAAGAGTTGGTGGCTGTTGCCCAGGACTTGTTCCAGAAGTACGTTGCTGGTGACAAGTCTGCTGTCCACCCTAACATCCGTGCCTCTGTGTTCTCCACTGTTGCTGCCACTGGCGGTGCCGAGGAGTATGATCAGATCTACCACATCTACCACAATGCTATCTCTGTTGATGAGAAGATCACTGCTTTGAGGACCTTGGGTAGATTCGAACAGCCAGAGTTGATCCAGAAGACTTTGAACATCTTATTGGACAGCTCTATCGTCAAGGCTCAGGATGTTTACATCCCAATGCAAGGTCTCCGCTCCCACTCTGCCGGTATTGAAGCTTTGTGGACCTGGATGCAGGCCAACTGGGACGAGATTTACAAGTTGTTGCCCCCAGGATTGTCCATGTTGGGCTCTGTTGTGCAAATCTGTACCTCTGGGTTCTCTTCCGAAGAGAAGAAGGAGGAAATCAGAGCCTACTTTGCCACTAAGAGCACCAAGGGCTTTGATCAGGGTTTAACCCAGTCTTTGGACAGCATTCAGTCCAAGGCCAACTGGATCAAGAGAGACAGCGCTTCCATCAAGGAGTGGTTGACCACTAACGGCTACAAGAAATGAACCACCTTAGTGAAACTTTAAACGGGTTTGAGCAGTCTTCTATATGAATCTAATGATATTGCGAATGGGAACGGGTGTAGTTGCATACGTGTGTTGATATATAGAGAGTAAACGGCAGACAAGGAGGTATAGGCTTATAACGGCCTATTTTTATTTTGAGTTATTCATTGTGGTTTGCTTTATCAACGTTAGCTCTGTCATACTTAAGTTTCAGGTCAAAAAAAAAAACAAAAAAACATACATACAAACCATTTTATCTGATAAGAAAAGTATATTCATCTATTTTATTGTAAGTATCACCCTCAGAAAAACTCATAACTGGCCCCAAACGTGAAAATCACCAATTATGCCAACTTCAATTTCCGTCTGGTTCAGACGTTAACCATACAATAGAGGCAGTTCACAGCACCCCACCTGAGGATAGACTATCTCCATATATTCTTACCCTAGTTTTCAAAGCCCCGAATGTCAATGATCACAATACCATGTCTAAATTCCCCACCGTATTTGGAATGTAATTCGTTCGGATTAAATCCGTGGGCAATTCGGCAACTACTCCTGCAGCCTCGTCGCGTGAATTTTTCACGTGTCGTGTCTGTCCATAGGCCTGGTGGATCATAAAAAGCCTACCGTTCTGCTTCTCTTCACTTTTGCCGTATCTCGCTACAATTCTTCATCCACATACCAGAACATGTCTTCCATTTTAGTCAGATCCTTCAGATCGCAAGTCCTGGCCAGACGGTTAGTTGGCACCAACGTGGCGAACTTGGGCATCCGCCACTATGCCACCCAGGGCCAGCAAAACAACAAGCAGGACCCACCAAAGAAGGGAAGCAAAATACCAGCCGTGCTTTTGCTTGCTGCTGCTGCCATTGGTTCCACTGTGTTTGCCACCACCTACCAAAAGAATGGTATGTCTAGCAATGCTCGTGTTCCAGACAACCCATACTAACCCGTTTAGACCCAATTGCCTCTATTGAGCCAGCCAGGGCTGCGGCAAAGGAGGTAACCAAGCCACAACCGGTCTTCAAGGACGGCGAGGTTTCCGTTATTTTCGTGCTTGGCGGTCCAGGGGCCGGTAAGGGCACCCAGTGTGCCAACTTAGTCCGTGACTACGGCTTTGTGCATCTTTCCGCTGGCGATTTGTTGAGAGCCGAGCAGACCAGAGAGGGTTCCAAGTACGGTGAGTTGATTGCTCAGCACATCCGCGATGGTCTTATCGTCCCACAGGAAGTAACTATTGCTTTATTGGAGCAGTCCATCAAGGAAAACCTCGCCAAGGGCTCCAAAAGATTCTTGGTGGACGGGTTCCCAAGAAAGATGGACCAGGCGATCACCTTTGAGGAGCAGATTGCCAAGTCATCTTTCACCTTGTTCTTTGAGTGTCCAGAAAACGTCATGTTGGAAAGATTGTTGGAGAGAGGGAAGAGCAGTGGCAGAGCCGACGACAATATCGAGAGCATCAAGAAGAGGTTCAGAGTGTTTATCGAAACCTCCATGCCGGTTGTCGACTACTTCCAGAAGCAGGACAGGGTTGTCAAAGTGGCCTGCAACCAGCCAGTGGATGAGGTCTACGCCGAGGTTCAGAATGCCTTGAAGACCAAGATGAATATCCAGTAAGATGATTATATAGATACCATAATCAATCGAGCGGAATGACAATGTGTTTTATTGTAGATCGATCAAAATCTGTAGAAGAGTTAGGGTTTCAGAATTAATCATTCTACGGACCATCTTTAAATGCACAAGTGCACTTTGGCATTCTCTCAGAATGAGCAGAAATCAGTACAGCAAAATAGCATTTTCTAGTTAGATTTCACCGCGTCATGGTCGGATAGACCCTTCGAAAGACGCAATATTAGAAGGTAATGTCTCCAGTACTGAAGATGCATTTTTCGCGTTATACCTTATCATTTTCGCGTGCTTTTTTATTTTGTAAAGTTTCGCGAGTCTCTTGCAGATTTCGCGTTGCCTTCGATGAGACTACACAGGTGATCTGTAACCAACGAACCTTGTAAGATGAAAGAAACAGCCACGGTTACATTCGATACTCTAGACATATAAATATCAAGAAACATTATTATGGGAAAGAAATCCAAGGCGAAACTTCTCCCAGTGGCGATCGAGGACCAAAGCAAGTTCCTGGTGGATGATTACGACTACATGCAATTGCAGAACACCGGCAACGAGTTCGATCTTGACCTCGAATATTTGCTAGGCAACAGCCACAGTATGACCTTGACTAATGCAATTTCGGGTGAGAGTTTCTATACCAGGGAAGTCGATGCTCTGGTGAGGATTGTGGACGTCAAATTGACCGACCTCAGAGCCTTGCATAAGGAGGTGGAAAGGGGTGAAAGGGACGCAAAACAGTCCACCATCAAGAGCAAAAAGGAGATTAATTTGTTCGAGGGACAACAGAAGGTATTGCTTAATGATTTATTGGATTTGGATTTTTCCTCAGATGAAGAGGCGAAAGCTACAAGGATTAATAAGGCACCCAAGGAGGACGTCAGAGAGACGACTAAGGAGAAGAAAGCAAGAGAAAACACTCTGGTAGCTGAAGGGAATAAGAAGAAAAAATCAAAGGAAAATACCCCTGTCGCTGAAAGGAAGAAAAAGGAGACGAAATCCAGGGAAAATACACCGGTGAGTGAAAAGGAGAAGGGAACGAAAGCCAAAGAAAGTACCCCTGAGGTGAAGAAAAAAGAGAAAGCCAAGAATAAACTCAGGAAAGACACTTCAGAAGTGAAGAGATCCAAGAAATACTCTCCAGAAGTGACGATGCCAGAGAAACTGGAACCAATTTCGGGGCCCGAACCAACACCAGGGCTCGAACTAGCTCCATCTAGTGACGCAGAAAATGAGACAAACAGACAGGCTACGAAGGCACCTCGATTAAAAAAGCAAAGCAAAATCGACATGAGTCTTTTGGCGGGCGCGGAAGCTTCGTCAGAGGAACCTGCCCCAAAGAACAAACAGTCCAACACAAAGAAAGAAGATATTGAATTCGCCGAGTTTGAAGCCCTGACTAAAAGTGAGGCGAGCAAGAAAAAGAAAAAGCCCAAGGCAAAGACAGAAGAAGCTATTGATTTCGCTGAATTTGAGGCTTCAACAAAGAGTCCAGTGAGCAAGAAGTCCAAAAAGAGCAAGCAAGTTCAGGGAAATGTGGAAAAAGTGGATGTTGAGGTGCTAGAAGCTATTCCTGCTAAACCAAAGAAGGCTAAAAGACCTAAACAATTCTTATCCAGAGAAGACGAAAACGAAGCAATCCCTCCGATTCCACAGACAAAGACCAAAAAGAAAACCAAGAAAGAGACTGTTGAAGAGGACTACGAGCTCCTCAATGACCCTGAATTGCAACACATCATCAGCCAGTTTGGTAGCACGGACCTTGAGGCGCCTATGAAGGGCGTGGAAGCTTCCCCTAAAAAGAATACCCCACGGGCGAAAGACCACACCAGGAGGAGCGTCCCTGCACTAAATGAAGAAAGCCTAGAGTTGGTAGAAAGCAAACAAGCAACACCAGCTAAGAAAGCTCGCAAGAAAAAAAGTAAGAAACGCTCCAAGGGGACTTCAGAGGAAAGCAAGGAATCTTCTATTGAAGCAGAACCGAGCAAGGAAGGGGACAAGGAAACCCCACTGGAATAACCCAAACCCAGAATTCATGCAGGGCAAGAAAAGCTCACAACATTAGCAAGAAAAGATACAAATAGCCCTCTGGTTGAGTAAAGGCTTCCATGGCCCCTTAGAGAAACATCCATTGTCTAGGGCAGGGCGACTAGTTGAACCATCGTTACAGGTGCTATACGTATAGCGCTTGGCAACGCAGATAGCACATTAAGACGAGATGATATTACCGGTTTGAACTCAGCATGCAATAGCGATCTTTCAATATAAATAATTAGCACACACCAAGGGATAGGACTTTCTAGGTTTAAAAGTATAACTACAACTTCGAGTCACGGGTCTCTGCGTAGTCGATGTCTGGCATCACAAGCCCTTCTTGAACCACAGACGCGACACATTCACCCTCTCTAGTGTAGATTTCCCCATGCATCAAGGCTCTGGTGTCTTGGTATCGGGAGGTGGTAATGTGGTACAAAAGCCAGTCGTCGGCATCGACCTTGTCGCTATGTATATACAATGCGTGGTCCAACGACACGGTGAATTCGGCAGTGAATGGTGCGTGACCGAGCAAACGCTGGAAGCCCATCAAGAAGAAGGAGTCTGACATGTAGCCCAAGGCGGCGAAGGAGTTGAGTTTATCCACGAGGTTCTCCTTAGACTTGATCCAAAAGTAGAAGGATCTGCTGGACGGGTCGCCGCCATCTCTGGCCAACGGAACCGTGGAGTTGAAGGCATCTTGCGGGAATCGCCACTCCGGGCCACTATCCAAGTAGCTATTTGCGATTTCGCGCACGCTTTTCTCGTCCGGTATCTTTCTTCTCAACTCCGGCGACTGCATGAACGCGTCAGTGATGGTCAAACACTCCTCTGGGGGTTTACAGTAGGCAGGAAACGGCTTCTGGTACGCCACTTTGTTGTACTTGACAGCTGCATCCTTCATTCTAGACAAGGAAACACTGGCAGTGAAGGTGACTTCACCCAATTGCATCGCCTTAACCTCCCTCGCTAAGTAGTTTCTGCCGTCTCTGATCGAGGTGACCTTGTAGTCCACCGGGAGCCCGGATTTTCCCGCTTTCACGAAGTAGGCATGGAAACTGTGCGGTCTGAAGTTGCCCCTATCGGCGTCCGGAACACTTTCCATAGCGGCAGCGATCGCCTGGCCCACAAAAACACCGCCAAAAACACCTCTCGCCCCGAGCGGCACCCACATCTCACCCTCGTTTCTCAATGCAACCGTGGCCCTTTCCGTATTGTGTCTTTTAACCACCGACAAAATCTTTTCTAACCCTGATATTCTGGACATTCTATAGTATTCTGGTGCTGTTTGTGAGTGGTGGGAAGAAGCGGCCAGTGTTGCAATTCCTGTACTTATACGACTCTATCGCGCTGGCATCGGTTCGGCAGAGTGTGGGGAGAAAAAGTAGATCCCGAATTCCGTTCGGCCGATAAGCGGATTACAAACATTCGTCAACGTTATGCTGGGGAGTTTCACGTGCCACAAGTGGGGAAATGTTTCTACGAAGTCGTCATCAAGGATATATGCTCAGTTGTTTTAAATTTAGCGGGATGCACTGTAAATGGGCTTGCGGCGTACCAGTTTATACATGGCTGTACTGTGCCAATCTCGGATAACAATTTCAAGACAGCATATATTGAAAGATGGGAATATCGTTCCCAACGCTTTCAGTGTCATCTAGCTCTGATTAGTTGACCTAACTTGGAAAATAGCGGCAGTCTGATGCTTGATTCGGC